TCTCTCTCTCTCTCACACACAGTCTCTCTTTCTCACACATTCAGTCTCTCTCTCTCTCTCACACACAGTCCCTCTTTCTCACACATTCAGTCTCTCACACACATTCAGTCTCTCTCACACGTTCAGTCTCTCTCTTTCTCTCACATGTTCAGTCTCTCTCACACGTTCAGTCTCTCTCTTTCTCTCACACGTTCAGTCTCTTTCTCTCACACATTCAGTCTCTCACACATTCAGTCTCTCACACATTCAGTCTCTCACATGTTCAGTCTCTCTCACGTTCAGTCTCTCTCTTTCTCTCACACGTCTCTCTCTCTCTCACGTTCAGTCTCTCACACATTCAGTCTCTCACATTCAGTCTCTCACATGTTCAGTCTCTCTCACGTTCAGTCTCTCTCTTTCTCTCACACGTCTCTCTCTCTCTCACGTTCAGTCTCTCTCTCACGTTGTCTCTCTCTCACGTTCAGTCTCTCTCTTTCTCTCACACATTCAGTCTCTCTTTCTCACACATTCAGTTTCTCTTTCTCACACACATTCAGTCTCTCTTTCTCACACTCATTCAGTCTTTCTCTCACACATTCAGTCTCTCTCACACACATTCAGTCTCTTTCACACGTGTTCAGTCTCTCTTTCTCTCACATGTTCGGTCTCTCTCTTTCTCTCACGTTCGGTCTCTCTCACACATTCAGTCTCTCACACGCGTTCAGTCTCTCTCTCATACATTCAGTCTCTCACACATTCAGTCTCTTTCTCTCACATGTTCGGTCTCTCTTTCTCACACTCATTCAGTCTCTCTTTCTCTCACACATTCAGTCTCTCTTTCTCACACACATTCAGTCTCTTTCACACATTCAGTCTCTCTCTCACACATTCAGTCTCTTTCTCTCACACGTTCGGTCTCTCTCTTTCTCTCACGTTCGGTCTCTCTCTCACACTTTCAGCCTCACACACGTTCAGTCTCTCTTTCTCTCACACATTCAGTCTCTCACACATGTTCAGTCTCTCTCTTTCTCACACAGGTTCAGTCTCTCTCATACACATTCAGTCTCTCTTTCTTTCACACGTTCAGTCTCTCTCTCTCACATGTTCAGTTTCTCTTTCTCTCACACATTCAGTCTCTTTCTCTCACACGTTCGGTCTCTCTTTCTCACACACGTTCAGTCTCTCTCACACCTGTTCAGTCTCTCTTTCTCACACATTCAGTCTCTTTCTCTGAAATGTTCGGTCTCTCTCACATGTTCAGTCTCTTTCTCTCACATGTTCGGTCTCTCTTTCTCACACTCATTCAGTCTCTTTCTCTCACACATTCAGTCTCTCTCACACACGTTCAGTCTCTCTCACACCTGTTCAGTCTCTCTCTTTCTCACACATGTTCCATCTCTCTCACATGTTCAGTCTCTCTCTTTCTCACACAGGTTCAGTCTCTCTTTCTCATACACGTTCAGTCTCTCTCTTTCACATGTTCAGTCTTTCTTTCTCTCACACATTCAGTCTCTTTCTCTCATGTTCAGTCTCTCTTTCTCACACATGTTCAGTCTCTCTCTTTCTTTCACATGTTCAGTCTCTCTCTCTCACACGTTCAGTCTCTCTTTCTCACATGTTCAGTCTTTCTCTCTCACACACGTTCTGTCTCTCTTTCTCTCACACGTTCAGTCTCTCTTTCTCACACATGTTCAGTCTCTCTCTCACACGTTCAGTCTCTCTCTTTCTCTCACACGTTCAGTCTCTCTTTCTCACACACATTCAGTCTCTCTCTCTCTCACACATTCAGTCTCTCTCACACACGTTCAGTCTCTCTTTCTCACACACATTCAGTCTCTCTCACACACTTTCAGTCTTTTTTCTCACACATTCTGTCTCTCTCTTTCTCTCACACATTCAGTCTCTCTTGCTCTCACATTCAGTCTCTCAGACACATTCAGTCTCTTTCTCTCACACACATTTAGTCTCTCTCTTTCTCTCACACACACTCTTCTCACGTTTGTCCATGATTTAGATGCTTGTAGTGAAATGGAAGAGGCGTCTGAAACTGAGGACAGTGTTGAAATCAGAAGAATTGTCTTCAGATGTGCAGAGAAATGCTGAAAAGGGGACACAGAGTCAAAACTGACCCACAAACAGCAATGATGTAACCGATGGTTTTGTATAGAACCTTTTAGAAAACAACAGAACCATTTTTGGATAGCATTACTGCTACTGAGAGCTGATGGGTTAGCATTACTGCTACTGAGAGCTGATTGGTTGGCATTACTGCTACTGAGTTCTGATTGGTTAGCATTACTGCTACTGAGCGCTGATTGGTTAGCATTACTTCTACTGAGTGCTGATTGGTTAGCATTACTGAGTGCTGATTGGTTGGCATTACTGCTACTGAGTGCTGATGGGTTAGCATTACTGCTACTGAGAGCTGATTGGTTGGCATTACTGCTACTGAGAGCCGATTGGTTAGCATTACTGCTACTGGGCGCTGATTGGTTAGCATTACAGCTACTGAGTTCTGATTGGTTAGCATTACTGCTACTGAGCGCTGATTGGTTAGCATTACTGCTACTGGGCGCTGGTTGGTTAGCATTACAGCTACTGAGTTCTGATTGGTTAGTATTACTTCTACTGAGTGCTGATTGGTTAGCATTACTTCTACTGAGTGCTGATTGGTTAGCATTACTGAGTGCTGATTGGTTGGCATTACTGCTACTGAGTTCTGATTGGTTAGCATTACTGAGTGCTGATTGGTTAGCATGACTGAGTGCTGATTGGTTGGCATTACTGCTACTGAGTGCTGATTGGTTAGCATTACTTCTACTGAGTGCTGATTGGTTAGCATTACTGAGTGCTGATTGGTTAGCATGACTGAGTGCTGATTGGTTGGCATTACTGCTACTGAGTGCTGATTGGTTGGCATTACTGCTACTGAGAGCTGATTGGTTAGCATTACTGAGTGCTGATTGGTTAGCATTACTGAGTGCTGATTGGTTAGTATTACTGAGTCCCGATTGGTTAGCATTACTGAGTCCCGATTGGTTAGCATTACTGAGTGCTGATTGGTTAGCATTACTGAGTGCTGATTGGTTAGCATTATTGAGTGCTGATTGGTTAGCATTACTGAGTGCTGATTGGTTAGCATTATTGAGTGCTGATTGGTTAGCATTACTGAGTGCTGATTGGTTAGCATTATTGAGTGCTGATTGGTTGGCATTACTGCTACCTTTATATTAAAAATGTTTAACTGTGATTCAACAGAAACTCCATAGAACCCCATTCATTCTGGGCTCGCTCGGGAGCGCCCTCTATCGTCTGACAAACCCAGAAGACATTGCTGAGTGGCAGTTCTCCTCTGCACACATTCTCTGTTCCTTCCTCCTCGCGCCCCCACCGGGCCCCCACTCGTGCCTGTGTGTCATGCGCAGTCCGCCCTCTCTGCTCTTCGCAGCAATGTGAGAGGCGCGCTCTGATTGGTCCGCTCAGCCTCCACATGGATCGGGTGACTTTGGGCGAGAGACGGTCAACGCCTATCGAGAGTTATGATCTCCAGCACGGGTCTTAAACCCGGACAGCGAGTGTGTTCAGTTCAACCTTTACTGGTCATACAGTCCTGTTTACTGTCCATACAAATACAAATAATAATAATAACACACATAATCCAAGAACGGGCTGTGTGAATGCAGGAGTACAAACTTTAAAGGAGAAGTCCACCAAGTTTTCAAAAATTCTGCATAATTAAGTGGATGAGATGTAAACAGCTCCGTTCTAGAGAAACTTATCAGAGTTGTTTACAGTGGAAAGTTATTACATGAAATAGTTATGAATTCACTGCCTGATGTCTGAGACACTGTTTTATGATAGTTTTTTGATACAGTAGAGGCTTAAAATGTATTTTAATCCATTTATTTTAATCCCTTCATGATGAAGGGACACATGCAGGACGTTGTGACCCAAAATAGTCCCCAAAGAAAGCTTTTTTTTTTTTCAGATTTATGACTATTTTAGCATCATCAGTGTTCTATATAAAAACTAAAAACGCACGTAGGTTCACTGGTGGTTTTGGATTCTAAATAAAATATGTATATTTGTGTTGTAGTCATGGTGATTCGTGGTTCCTATCACCACCACTGCGTCTCTAATTTAAATCAACCGTTCCACACCAAACCACTCTGAATGACTAAATGATTTAGATAGAATTATACAGAAATTTGAAAAATTGGTGGAATTGCCCCTTAACCCAGCTCCTCACTGAGTCCACCGCCTACAGCCAAACTAACCAAAGTCAGTAGAGACTGTTTTTCCATTCAGAACACCCCATGTTAGCTTTGTTGGCTTAGATGAGGTTCACACAATTCATATTTCCTCAATCAATCAATCAATCAATCAATCAATAAAAAAAACATTTAATGTTTTTTTTTTTGGTTCTTTATGGTTTTGTAACGTGTTTTGACTGTTTTAAAGGGTTCATTAAAAATTGTGTTGTGGCTGTAAAAGTAGATCCTACTGTCCTTGTGCTGCACGCCCCGTGGTCAGCTCTGAAAGGGGAAGTCCAACGATTTTTCAAAATTTTCATAATTCAGTGGTTAAAATGTAAGCAAAGTCATTCGTGGTTTGGTGTGTGGTTCAGATCTCTTTACAGTGGTGCTGATAGGAACCAAGGGTCACCATGACTACAACACAAATATAGACATTTTATTTACCATCCAAAACCACCAGGTAAAACTATGATTTGCCAGATGTTGGTAAAATCACAGTGTAAAGGATCCTAATAATTTACTAGTTGACCAATGGCTGACTCCAAATGCATGCCCTGGTTTCCTAATGGGATCCAGATCTCTGTTGGGAACTATTAATAAGCAAAACCGTTAGGTTTTAATCATAAATGGTTTCTAATAGTCCTTTTTCATCAAGGAAGGGGAAAAAAAACTTTATCAGCTCACTGTAACTCGAGGCTGAGAAGGGCAGGCAGTAGACTTTGTCCTATCAGGCTACTGTGAGACATTGCACCCATCCCGCTAGATGCTGCTTTAGCTCCGTCCCTCATGACGCGCTCTCACTTCACCAGCTTTTTCCACTCATTCGCCAAAGAGTTGAGCAGACAGAGAGACGCAGGCACCGCCGGCTCCACAAGGACAGCAGACGAGGGGGAAACAGAGGTATGTTTGGGGGGTTTTAGGGGGGAAAGGCTCTATTTGGAGCTCTCTCAGCTCAATCTGCTTAAATACCCTCCATTCTGGCTACATTTGAGCCTCTAAAACAGCAGATGCCTCATAAGGCAGCCTGGATGCTGCCCGTTTCTGTGACCTGTATTGCAGAGGATGGAGTTACTGCGAAGGCGTATTACGCACTTTTAGCACGAAGCGGCGCCTTTTTCTCCCCCGTCAGAGCCAAAACAGACTCTTTTCTTTTGAATAGCCCTCATTTGGGGCGTCCACCGTGTCTCCTGGCCAAGAAACGCTCTCTTTGGAAAGTCATGTGTTGTGGCTGTAAAAGTAGATCCTGCTGTCCTGCTGCTGCACGCCCCATGTTCAGCTCTGAAAGGGGAACTCCACCGATATTTTAAAATTTCTGTACGATTCAGTGGTTGAAGTGTAAGCAAAGGTCAGTCAGAGTGGTTTGGTGTGATGGTCCATTGTACTTAGAGACTTAGATTTGTTTACAGTGGTGGTGATAGGAACCAGGGGTCGCCATGACTACAACACAAATATAGCCGTTTCATTTAAGGAGCAGTGAACCTGCGCGTCTTATTAGCTATTTTAACGTTTGGTGATGGTAAAATAGGCATAAATATGGAATAATAAGTTTTCTTTGGGGACTGTTTTGCCTTAGAATGCTCTTAATGGTTCCCTCAACCATGAATTGATTAAAATAAATGGATTAAATAACGTTTTAGACCAAAACTGTTGTAAAACGGTGTCTCAGGTATCAGGCAGTGAATTCACGAGCATTCAGTGTAATACACCTTCTGTGAGGGAGCTTTTAGAGGTGGACGTCTGGTTCCTATCATCACCACTGTGAACAATTCTGACTCGGCAAGTTTTTCTAGAACAGAGCATTTCACACCAAACCACTCTGAATGAACTGTGTAGACCTATTTAACCATGTAATTACGCAGAAATTTAGAAAAAATCGGTGGAGTTCCCCTTTAAGAACTGATTAACTGTTGTCCAGAGTGAAACTAGAAATGTTAGTTACAGAATTACAGTTAGTTATGGTTATGTGGTTATATGGTTTGCTATTACAGACAATAGGAAAGTGTTTGAAATGCTATAATAGAGGATTATATGGCATAATATAACAATATTTTACCAACATCAACATTTCATGTAAAACTCAGAAGACACGTGTAGGTTCACTGGTGGTTTTGGATGGTAAATAAAATGTCTATATTTGTGTTGTAGTCATGGCGACCCCTGGTTCCTATCACCACCACTGTAAAGACATCCGAACCATTTCACACCAAACCACTCTGAATCACTTTGATTATATCTCAAGGACTGGATTATGCAGACATTATGAAAAAGTGATTTAAACAACAGCCAATCAGAGAGCTAGAAGAGTGGAGGAAAAGGTGAAGAGATGCACATGCAGACCACCTGAACAGCAGAGCGGAGACAGAGGAGCCGTGTGTAAAACACAGGCAGATAAGAGCCGATATCATGATTATAATGTTTATAATGTTGATTCAGACTTCAGGTCATCCTCTTTACAGTTTCAGCTCAGCTGCCAGTTTGTAGTGATTTATTTCTCCAGCTCTCACTGTATCAGTGTTTCTCACCACAGTTTAATCCCCAGTTGCACTTTCGCTGTGCATAAAAGCCCAAACAAGTCCAGTAAGTTTAGCTTCATAAGTGATATGTGATCTGAGGAGATCTGGGAATTTGAGTTCTTATTTGTTTAAACTTGCTATATGTGTTGTACCTTCTCTGTGCCTTGTCGGCTAGTCTGAGCTCCCTCACGACAAAGAGACATGAAGTTCTATGAAATTCTATGACAAACTGCCGTTTAGAGTCGTGTAGTGAACGCCCAGCCTCAAGATGATCATCTAAAGGTGGTCTAGGACAGGAGTTCCCAACCATGAAGGCCTACAGGAAAACAATAAAAACGTTTTGGCAAATTCAGCACAGCAATTTTTGGGTGCCACAACATGCAGTATGTATCAATGAACATTGAATATCAAGCAAGCAAAGTTTATTTGTATAGCGCCTTTTACAACAGGTGTTGTCACAAAGCAGCTTTACAAGGAAATCAGCATTACAGAAAGAAATCCGGGTCCGAGCCCCCATGAGCGTCGCCAGTGGCGACAGTGGCAAGGAAAAACTCCCTAAGAGAAACAGGAAGAAACCTTGAGAGGAACCAAGACTCAGAAGGGGAACCCATCCTCCTCTGGTCGACACCGGATAGTAAACATTGTTAGTATAAAGTATTATAGTACAAAAACGGGGAAAACAGGTGGAGCAAATGATTAATTTGAATAGTTTAGTTCATGCAGCAGCAGCAGCGGCAGCGGCATCAGTGGGGTCAGGTTGTGAGGGTGAGGTTTGCACGGCGAGCAGTGGCACCTGATCAAGGCAGAAGAGGCAGCAGCATCAGACGCACAGGATGGGCGGCTGTTCAACTCAGCAAAGGAAACAAAGAAAGGAAAAACACACAGAGAGTCAGTTCTGTAATGGGTGATTGATTAATTTGATTAGTTTAAATGATTGATTAGTTCAAATGATTAATTTTGATTAGTTTAGTATGATTTAGTTTAGAATATCAACAGATGAGGTGAATATAAACTTGCTGTACGCCTAAAAATGCAGAACTTTTATTTCATTATATTTTTATTTTAATTTTATTATAAGTTTCTCACTCGCGAGTGGACAGTTGAAACTTTTGGGGCGGTGTGTTTCATTTCTAGAGACAAGGGGCTAAAAATAGATGAAGCTGCTTTTTTGCACCATTGTATTAATATTATTTTTTCATTGATTTTTATGAGAAATGATTATGGACTATGGACTCCTTCTCAGTATTGGCCAGAGGACCACCAGAGGGTGGTCCACGGCCTAGTGGTTGAGAAACCCTGGTCTGTGATGCTGAAACTACTCAATCACTCTTAATCCCACATTAGGAGCTACACAGCTAACGTCATCACATCACCTCACACAGAGGGAGTGAGAGCTGTTTCAGGACAGATTTGTTACAGGATTGGATCAGATTTATTCTGTTATCTTCTCCGATGTCCCATCCAGCGTTTTCACCTGTCATCCACTCAATACTAATAACTGTAACTTAATTACAGCACTGAGCAAGTCAGAGACATCCCTTCGTTAATTTAATTTCTAATCAAAAAAGCCAATAAGTACAAAATATTCATTTTCCAGCAGAGAAAAAGCAGAAAATGACATGAAATCCTCAACAACTAAATCTAATGTCAGCTGTTTGAGTGTTCAGAGTGTCACTCTTTACCTTCATTACAGCTTCCATTCTTTTCAGGAGACTCTGTAGGGATGGACCGATATGGGAATTCTGGGCTGATGCCAACATCTGATATTTGATCAATAACAAATCTGCCAATACCAATAAATAAACGTTTATAAAATGTTGTAACAGCGTCCACCTGGATTGGCATTACAGAGAAATGAAACATTTATTTGTGTTAAAAATGCCGTTAAATAAGTGTAGCTCAGTGAGGCCTAAACATTCTGCTCTTCCAGAGAACCTTTGCATGATTAAAGGGTTCTTGGCATTGTTAAAGGGTTCTTCACATCGATGGAGAATGTGCTGTAAAAGGTTCTATATAGAACCTTTTTGAAAAGGGTATATAAGGGTACATATAAGCTGTATAGCACCTAAAAGGGTTCTTCTATTGTTACGAGCTTAACATCATAGCAATAGAAGAACCATTTTGGGTGCAATATAGAACACTTTTCAAAAAGGTTCTATATAGAACCATCTAGAGCACATTCTGAAGACCTTGTTCATTATGCGAAGAAAGCTTTAATCATGCGAAGTCTTCTTCGAGTGTTCATAGTTTTATATAGAACCATTTTCTTTACTAAAGAACCCTTAAAGAACCATCTTTTTAGCAGTGTACGTGGCTGTATTGGATGGTAATTAAATCAGTACAGTCTCTGACTCTCACCCAGCTCTGTATGGATTGCTGTTGTGAGTGAACTGATTCAGTGCTGAGCTCTAATAACTCTAATAACGTACAGCACTGAGCAGCTGGCAAGTCACATTTCACAGTTTAAGTCCTGTGATAATATGAAGCGAGACAGCTTTCAGCAGCTGTTTATAACTAAATGGATGTGTGTTTAGTGTCAGCTGCTGTGAGGACCAGTAGTTTGTCTTCCTAACATAGTCTAAACCTGAACTGTGCGGAGCTTCGGCAGACATTCAGCTGAGGTCCATCTCGAGTGAAGTAACTGTGGTCCATGCAGCTAATTCAGCTCTATTTTGTCTCTGAAAACGATTCAGGTGACATTCACTGCCTCCTTAAGCAATTCTGTGTTTTGTCCTCGTTCGTTCGAGCTGCTTAAGCCCTCACTTCAATGGGGGAGAGTGAGAAGGTGAGCTAGTCTCACTATCCTTTTCCACAGGCTGGAGATGGTGGTCAGGATTATATATAGGAGTATATATGACATATAAAATGTAATATAGGGGATTATATGACATAATGTAACATAATATGACGTAATATAGTATGATGTAATATAATGACTTAATATAACAAACTTTTTGTGAAATAACAAACATTTTGTTAATCATTTTTCAATGTTGAATCTAGGAAAGCGCACGTTTAACCAGGCAGTGTCTTAAAGGGGAACTCCACTGATTTTTCTAAACATTTCTGCATAACTAAATGGTTAACATGAGTACAAAGTCATTCAGAGTGGTTGGGTGTGAAACGCTCTGTTCTAGAGAAACTTACAGAGTCGGAACTGTTCACAGTGGTGGTGATAGGAACCAGACGTCCACCTCTAAAAGCTCCCTCACAGAAAGTTATTATATGACGTGGTGATGAATTCAATGCCTGATGTCTGAGACACTGTTTTAGGATAGTTTTGAGAAGATTTTGGCCTCTAAAAAATGTTCATGGTGGAGGGATACATGCAGGGTGTTGTGAGGCAACATAGTCCCCAAAGAAAACACATTATTTCAGATTTTCCGCTATTTTCCCATCATCTACATTCCATATAAACTCAGGAGACTCGTGTAGGTTCACTGGTGGTTTTGGATAGTAAATGGTAAAAAAAAAGATGGTTCTTTAAGGGTTCTTTAGCAAATAAAATGGTTGAAGAAGTTGATAAAGAAACATGAACCTTTTGGATGATTAAAGTGTACTTTGCATCATGAAATGGTTCTTCAGACTGATATTTTGTGTTTTGTCCTTGTTTGTTCGAGCTCTTTAAGGTGAGAAGGTGAGCTAATCCTGCTGTCCTTTTCCACAGGCTGAAGATGGAGGCCTTTAATCACAGACTGAACACATATATTGACTCATGGATGGGTCCCAGAGGTGAGTTCAGCCTGCCTCCTTTAATTTATGCACAGCGCCTTCACTGAGGACAAAGAAGGCCTCTGATCTTTGGGCTGTTTCCTTTTAGTGCACTTCAAAAACTCCGACCACATTTTCCTGACCTGCATTTTGACAGCTGACCGTCACATTTTGACAGGGAAGATGCTGCTAATGCTTTTACTGCTGAAACATTGCTTTATGCTTCAGTTACAGACCTGCCAGGTCTTTACATTGCAGGTCTTGCAGGATTATTTAAAACCTGCAAATAAATACATTGAAATTTAAGCGTGCCAGTAAGTGTCAGCTGCTAATTCTGACTGTGGCTCATTGAGGCTAATTAAGGCTTATGTTATACACTAGTAAAGGCATTTTTAATTCTCTATTAAGAAGTAAATCCATGTTACTCAATGTTAATCCTTGTCATATAATGGCTGGCCAAATAGGATTTAGTGGGAAATGAACTATAATATAATATTAAGCCTCTCATTGTGTGTAAATCCTCAAATAATATTTACAGAGAGGTTTTTTTTCTAACTACATATGTTGTAAATTAAGTACGTTTTATTTAACAAGGACATTGGAAAGAACAACACTTGACCAAGTGGTGTACATAAATATGAATCTATGAAATATCAAAAATGCAGAGTAAATATAAGCAAAAATAACTAGTCAAGAACAATAAAAAGTAATAGTAATAATAAAATGAAGATGATTTTAAAATGTTAGTGTAAAAAAGTTCATTTTAAGTCTTAAAAAACAGTACTGAGTTATTTCTAATATTTACAGGTAATCAATTCCAATGATTTCTGAGATCTGATTCGTTTTAAAGGGTCCATATTCTACATTTTTCTTCACTTACGACATTTAAGTTGTTTCATAATTCATTTTTTCATGACTATGTTTTCATTACTGTGCCTTTAAGACTGATGTATGTAAATGAGCTCTGTTCTGATAGGCTGTCCTGTTTTGTGGTGTAAAACACAGGGCTGAAACACTGCTTATAATGTCAGCATCAGGGGGCAGAGCTAAACTGCTCTCGGCTGGATAGGGGAAATACACCAATCAGGCATAACATTATGACCACCTCCTTGTTTCTACGCTCACTGTCCATTTTATCAGCTCCACTTACTGTATAGGTGCACTTTGTAGCTCTACAGTTACAGACTGTAGTCCATCTGTTTCTCTGATACTTTGTTAGCCCCTTTTACCCTGTTCTTCAGTGGTCAGGACCCCCATTGACCCTCACAGAGCAGGTACTATTTGGGTGGTGGATCATTCTCAGCACTGCAGTAACACTGACATGGTGGTGGTGTGTTAGTGTGTGTTGCGCTGGTCTGAGTGGATCAGACAGAGTTTTTAAAGACCTCAGTGTTGCTGCTGGACTGAGAATAGTCCACCAACCAAAAATATCCAGCCAACAGTGTCCTGTGGGCAGCGTCCTGTGACCACTGATGAAGGACTAGAGGATGACCAACACAAACTGTGCAGCAGCAGATGAGCTATCGTCTCTGACTTTACATCTACAAGGTGGACTGACCAGGTAGGAGTGTCTAATAGAGTGGACAGTGAGTGGACACAGTGTTTAAAAACTCCAGCAGCACTGCTGTGTCTGATCCACTCAGACCAGCACAACACACACTAACACACCACCACCACGTCAGTGTTACTGCAGTGCTGAGAATGATCCACCACCCAAATAGTACCTGCTCTGTGAGGGTCCATGGGGGTCCTGACCACTGAAGAACAGGGTAAAAGGGGGCTAACAAAGTATGCAGAGAAACAGATGGACTACAGTCTGTAAGTGTAGAACTACAAAGTGCACCTATATAGTAAGTGGAGCTGATAAAATGGACAATGAGCACAGAAACAAGGAGGTGGTCATAATGTTATGCCTGATTGGTGTATATAAATGAGTTTGTTTGTGGTGACCTCACAAAAACAGTGAATTTACAATAGCAGACTTTTTCTTCAAAACAAGCATAAAAATCGGTAGTATGCTGATGTAGGTAGCTAGCTAAATTTCCCATTCCTAAATTTTCTATGGTGCAGCAATGCCTCAGGTGTCAGAACTGCTGCACTATTTAAGGTGGAACGGGAATATTCGAACAAGAAGCTGGTGAATATCTGACTTCAGCTTCATATCACTGAAGAATTAGTGGGTGATAATAAATAATTGCTTTGAAGGCATATGAGTCCCTAAATGTAACTAAAGCCCAGCAGTGTGGAGCTGAACTTTACCCTCCTCTGCTGTCACTGCAGACTGGCAGGGTCGCCTACAGAGCAGCGCTGGTAGCTGTTAATGAAGTGATGCTCTTTTTATTTGAGGGTCCCATTTCAGAGGGAAGATTTCAACCACTACCCCTTTAACTCAGTTCCAAGGGGCAAGATGAGGGCTAAAAATAAGAAATGGGGTTGGGCCTACGTTGGCACTTTGTGTTTTCTCCCATTCTGGATGTTCTCAGATGTTATTTTTCAGTGTTAGATTATAGTGGGTCAAATTCAGGCTTGCAAAGTCAGATTTCAGGTTAATTTGATTTCAGTATGAACAATTTGATCCCTGCCTAGTCTTTAACCAGCTTTTATACTGAAGAGGGCAGAGAGAGAGCACTGACTGCCCTGAAATACAACACGCTAAATTAGGCTGCATTTCAGGGCTGCATCGCACACAGTGACGTGTCTTCTCCCCTACCTGTTCCATTTAATACCTCTCTTTGCCTGAAGGCACTCATTTCCGGCCTTCCTCTCCCTCTTTCTTCATTTCAGTGCTTTGAGCTTCTTTCACTGCATTATTTGATGGCCTGATTTACACGGCTGAGCAGCGTGATCAGTTTAAGCGGCGCCGCCTAGAGGGAGATAAAGATGTAGATGTTTTTGCTCTTATTTTTCAGATCCTCGTGTGAGAGGATGGTTTCTGCTGGACGACTACCCCCCCACTTTCGTCTGCACCATCCTGTACCTCCTTATGGTATGGATGGGGCCAAAGTATATGAAGGACAGGCAGCCGTACTCCTGCAGGAGGATCTTAGTGGTGTATAACCTGGCCCTCACTCTGCTGTCCCTCTACATGTTTTATGAGGTGAGTCGACTGTACTGGTTTTCCAATGTCACATTTCTTTGCGACTATTTTCTCGATTTGTGCATCTCTTCTTAAACTCTCCTTTAAAGGCTCGTCATATAACATGATCCTCATATGTTTCATATCTAAATGCTCCGTTTTCTTCATCACTACTTTCCAAATCGCTGCAGCAGCTTCAGCAGCTGTAAACTCTCTGTACTCTGTTTCACATGAGTCTCCGATGTGGACTGAATGAAGAATGAAGGGTTTCCTGCGTGATGGTCAGTCCTTAGTGATTTCCTGAGTGTCTATTGGTTAGTTTCACACAGAATGTTGACGGACACACAAATCCACCAGTTCCACACGGTGAGAGGCAGATGACGTGTATCTCAGCCCCTCTTCATAGGCTCATAACTCCGGATGTGAGTCTCATATGATCTCGAGATAAGATGGAATGGAAAGGGCGACTCTATGGATTCAGGAAGTGTTTGAACTGGATTTCTGTGCTGGATCATCACAAAGATACAGACACAGATACAGAAACAGAGAATTTGAGTGTTCCAGGCACCTGCTAACATTACTAATGTTGACACAGGCTGATTAGTAAGAATTAAATTAAATTTTTTTTCTTCCAAAAAAGCGCAATAAGTGCCAGTTTCTTGCGTCTGTCCATTTAGTGTGATGAAGTGTTAAACGTCCTGCCCATGAAACCGCCCATAAACACCCACTCTGCTCCTTTTCTGCTTTGCAAAAGTTGCCACAGGCTGACTACTTGCAGTTCACACTTATTTTTTGCAGAGTACGCTCACTTCGGTGATTAAATGAAAAATATAAAACCAGAGATAATAAAGTACTGAGGTAACATCACTAATAAACAATTATTGTCACAGCTAGTAGTATAAAATGCTATTCTGGGGAAATCTTCCCAATCTGGCAACCCTGATCAGGCTGCTGAGACTGATCAGAAAGACTGAATCTGTGTTCTGTGATGTGTTGAACTAAGCTGTTAGCCTGTTAAGCTAGCGCTAGCCTATCCAGCTCCTCTAGCACTCTTCACACATTCAGTGATGTTGAGGTCTGGACTCTGGGGTGGTCAGTCCATTGTTCAGCTTCTTTGTTTGGTGTGTCCGTCTCCTTTTCTCAGTGAGGTTCTTCTTGATCAGCTATACATCCTTTCAGACCCACAGCGCTGAGTCGTCTTCTCACAGTGGAAGGATGGACAGAAACACCTGTGGATGTTTTCAGATCTGAAGCAGCTTGATTTTCTCCTCTCTCTCAGAGATGAAAGCTTTAAGTGCTGTTTATCTGATGGGGGCAGTTTTGGGGTCTACCAGCCATTCCAGGTGGTTGTTAGGAGCCCCATTTTCTCTGTAGCTTTTAATCCAGTTTTGGAAATTTGTGTTTTTTCACTTTGACTTTCTCCTTCATGATGCAAGTTGATTATCTTATATTATATCTCCTCAGAAACACCATCTGAAAGATGAGTAACTTGTACTTGATGGCGGTTTAGCTGGAAATGAAATCAATTAAAGATCTCTGACTTCTACACAGTAATGTCTTTGCAACTGATCAACTAAAAAGTATGTAATAGATTCATAATTATATTCATAAGCGTAGCCAAAGTGCACTAAAGTGCTGAAAAGCCCGTTGGTGCAGGGCGAGTCCAGAGCACAGCTGGCCTTTCACAGACTCATTGTCTCCGCAAGCACATCTGCTGTGGTTCTCCTCAACTAGCACAAGTTTGCTTTGTTGTTTTTGGATTGACTTCAAATGGTCGCGTCCCTCCAGAAAGCTGTTTTGTATTGTAGCTCTTGTAATGACCCTGTCTTATCCGTACAGATTTTTGATGGACTTTCATAAAAGTCAGAGAAGATAACAGTTCTCTTTGAGCTGGCTAATCAGTTCAGCCGTCATACCTGTGAGATTAAAGTCTTCTCTGGCTTGATAAGTTCACATTAATAATCTGTCTGTGTTGCAAAACTCGCTTATTGGCTGGTGACCATTCGATTCGAGGACACATGCAGAATATGCAAGTCATCTTTTAATCTCAGCGTGGACAGGGCAAGGTCTAAAGCAGGAAAAGGGCACGGAGGTGAAAACGGCCTTCTGTTGTATAAAACCTTGACGTTGGTGCTGCATAGAGCTCTTATTAAAAAGGTTCCACTATATAGTACATGTTCTCCATCAGTCTGAAGAACCATTTCACCATGCAGAGAACCATTTCAGCATGCAAATGAGGGTTCATGGTTCTATAAAACCATTGTCTTTACTAAAGAACCCTTGAAGAACCATCTTTTTAAGGTTGTACCCCAAAAGTGGGTCGCAGACTGATCTAGACTGATCTCTTTACTTGGTAGAAGCAGATATGTGCACATCAGTGTGATGTTTAAGCCTAGACTGCTTTTCAATTGAGACAGCCAATCAGAACAGACGCCATTTACACATATCAGTCTTAAAGGGACAGTAACAAAACAACCTGTTTAGATCTAAGGGATGAAGAGAGGCTGGAAAATGAAATGTAAAAATGAATAATGGCTGTTAATATACATTAAAAATATAGGATATGGGCCCTTTAAGGTGCACCCATTGCTGACACAGACGCTCACAGTTGTATAATCGCCATAGAAAAGCACTGCCAATACAATGGGACGCATTGGAGCAGCCACACATGAGCGTAACGTCAGCATGACTAGAGGGGTATAAAGCCCCCCAGCGCTGTCTTTACAAAAGATCCCTTGAAGAACCGTCTTTTTTAAGGGTGAACCACAAAAGTGGGTCACAGACTGACTCTTTACTTGGTAGAAGCAGATCTGCGAAGACTGTGCACATTAAGGTTCTGTAGTTTAGTGGTAGATCTCCAGCTGGGCGAGAGTTCACCTTAATGTCAGGCCAACCTTCTGACTGTCCACAAGCTGAAGTAATCAGATTTTATGGGGGCGCTCTCATTGACTTTTATGTTCCTTGAATGCTCTTCTGAAGAGGCTGTTAAAACCACAGTGTCATCTGAATACAGCAGGATTTGTAGGAAATAAGTAAGAAAGCTTAAGTTCACATGTCAGATTCTCTGTTTCTGTATCTGTGTCTGTATCTTTGTGATGATCCAGCACAGAAATCCAGTTCAAACACTTCCTGAATCTGTAGAGTCGCCCTTTCCATTCCATCTTATCCCGAGATCATACAAGACTCACATCCGGAGTTATGAGCCTATGAAGAGGGGCTGAGATACACATCATCTGCCTCTCACCGTGTGGAACTGGTGGATTTGTGTGTCCGTCAACATTCTGTGTGAAACTGACCAATGGACACTCAGGAAATCACTAAGGACTGACCGTGCAGAGAGTTTACAGCTGCTGAAGCTGCTGCAGTGGTTTTGGAAAGTAGTGATGAAGATAACGGAGCATTTAGATATGAAACATATGAGGATCATGTTATATGAAGATATGAACAAACCGAGAGGCTGACCTCAGACCAGAGAGGGTTAATAGCAAAAGTAGCAAGATTGCGTACAGTTGTGTGCACAGGTTTGGGCACCCCTGGCTAAATGACATATTCTGTTGATTTTTAAAGTGAAAAGAAGTAAATACAGCCTCTACAACAAACTATATATATATATATATATATATAAAACAATATCATTATAATATATTATTAAGAACCATATTTAACAGCTAAAGTCAATTTAAAATATAAAAGCAGAACTGAACAATATGTTGATAAATTGCCTTTTTTGGTGTTAAATGTTTTCTTTTTAAAATACATCATTTAAAAGCGAATTTTCATGATCTCTATTTATTTGCTGAATTCAGCATACTGTAAAAAAGTCAAATATAAAATATGCTGTAACATTAAATAGTAATTAAATAATAAAGTTTGGCCAGCCTACTAAGTCAGTACTTGGCAACCCCACAGACTTTGTCAGATATCACAGCTTGCAGATGCTTTGTGTAGCCAGCCAGGAGTCTTTCTGCTCTTGTTTAAGCCTAGACTGCTTTTCAAACGAGACAGCCAATCAGAACAGACCCTATTTACACATATCAGTCTTAAAGGCACAGTAACAAAACAACCTGTTTAGATCTAAGGGATGGAGAGAGGCTGGAAAATGGTCATGTAAAAATGCTTTTGGTACATAAAACCACACAAATGTCAAAAAATCAATAAAATACATTAAAAATATAGGATATGGGCCCTTTAAGGTGCACCCATTGCTGACACAGGCACTCAGTATAACAGTATATACTGACACAGTATAATTGCCATAGAAAAGCATTGCCAATATAATGGGATGCAGTGGAGCAGCTGCACACGAGCCTAAGGTCACCTTGTCCAATGCTAAGCGTGGGCTAGAGGAGTATTAAGCCCCCCAGCATTGGGCTGTGGAGCAGTGGAACTGTGTTCTCTGGAGTGATGGAGCTCCATCCAATACCTTTGTGATGAGCTGGAGTGATCCAGAACTGACCATCCAACATCAGTACCTGACCTCACTAATGCTCAATCAAATCCTCACAGCAATGTTCCAACATCTAGTGTAAAGCCTTCCCAGAAGAGTGGAGGCTGTTTACTCCAACAAAGGGGGACAAACTCCCTATTAAAGGGCCCACGTCCTATATTTTTATTGTATTTTATTTTTCTCCCTGGGGTCAATTATTCACATTTGAGTGGTTTTATGTACCAAAAACAAACATTATTCATTTTTTTACGTGATCAGTTTCCATCCACTGTTTATCCCTTAGAATTAGACAGGCTGTTTTTCTTACTGTGCTTTTAAGACGGATATATATAAATGCTCAAACTGGCTGTCCCGCATTGTGTCTCAAATAAAAATGCAGTCCAGGCTGAAACATTGTATAACTGTATAACTTGAAATGTGAATAGGCGGGGCTAAACTGTTGCTTTTTTGTGACATCACAAAAACACTGAACTTAAAATGGACCATTTTGCAACATAATTTCAATGTCTGGACCACATGGACTCAGGAGAAGAACAAAAAGTATGTTTTTGAAACCATTTTTACTGCATCAAAAAAGAAAACTTGTGTTGAAGTCCAGGACGTGTTCATGTGAATCCAGCATTCTTCTCAATGTGAACACGGTCTTGATACTGTTTTGTACCACCATAGGACAGAAGAGGTGTTGATATAGGAACGAAAATTCCAATAAGAAGTGAATAGAAACTCATCAGGCAGCTGTTGCATAAGAAATAGACACAGTTCACATGCTAGCTGTCTCTGAAAGCTATTCCGACCTATATGGGGAAAAAATATTTATACAGGGTGATTCAAAAAGATTCATCCGATTTTCTAAGCACCATATTTTTACAACCTTGAGGCGTTTAGGAACCAATCATAATCCAACTGAAAGAGGGGGTCATAGAGTTTCTGTCTGTCAGTGGAAGATGGCTCTCTTCAGTCTGAGAGGAGATGTGACCCCTGAGCAGAAAGCCTTCTGCGTTCTCCACTTCAATAAGAGTGAATCCGTCATAACTGTGCAGAGTGATTTTCGTGGGTAGTGAACCTCCAACAGCTCAGAGCGTTCGTCGTTGGTTCCACAACACTGGATGATCTCCGAAATCACACTGAAAGAGCCGTGAGTGCAGCGACACCCGACATGCTCAATCCAGTATGGGATGAGTTTGACTATGGCGTTGATGTTGTCTGTACAGCTGGAGGAGGTTCATACTGAGACCTTGTACAATTACATAATAAACTTTATGCTCATTTAAATAATTTACAGTTTACTGCATTGATCTGTAATGATTTACAAATGAAATCATTTTGAAATCAGATGAATCTTTTTGAATCGCCCTGTATAATAATGCCTGATGCCATGCATGCTTGGAAATTGTATCTACCAAGCTGGCCTACAGAGTTTTTCACCGCCCTACCCAAAAATTTGCCTCTGCCTACGCCACAGATTTAGGCACAGCAGCCTGCGTCCTAAATTTGAAAAATATGGTGAAACAAAGACTTTATTGAGAAGGTTAAAAAAGCGCGGAGCAGAGAGACAGTAAACAATGGCAGGTCACGAGCTTCGAGGAGACTTTGGCAGAGAAGAGCCTGGAACACTGATAAGTGCAAAACTATCTGAAAGCAGAAACTGTGTTTTCATTCCTGAGTTTATTGCGGTCAGCGTTTGATTGTGCCCGTACCCCAGCCCCGCACCTGCACGCCCACCGATACAAGCCTGTGGAGATGAGAGTTCTTTCTAAAATGAAAGTTGGATATAGTAGTTTAAAACCTACCCAGTCCATACTGTCCATATATGGACGCTCCAAAAAACAGCCTGTTTTGTATTTTGTGATGTCACATAAACACACATTTAAATATATCGGCTTAACGGCCTACAGCAGTTTAGCCCCGCCCACTCACACTGAAGTTATAAGGAGTGTTTCAACCAAGTGTGTTTGTTTTTTTTTTAATATACAGGGCGGCCAATCAGAACAGAGCTCATTAACATATCAGTCTTAAAGGCACAGTAACAAAAACAGCCTCTTTAATTGTAACCAATGTGTGATTGAATTTTCCCTGTAATTTCACATTGATGTCCTACCAGCAGGGTTATTATAGTTTTAAAATTTTCATTATTTTTTATTGTTATTTAGTTTTTAATTTTGTTCTTTGGTTTCTGTTAGTCTTAAGATGCATTAATAGTTTTAGTTTTGTTTTTATTTTCTGAAAAGTAAAAGTTTTAATTTAGTTTCTATTTAGTTTCAGTTTTAGTTGTTATTATTGAACGCTGTGATAGGGTAAATAAAATTAGCACAACAGTTTATTCACTTATTTGTGCACTGAAAAAACAAACTAGTTTTTTTTTCTTAGTAATTCTGTTTCATTTCAGTCAGTCTTGCAGTGGACGTTGTTGTTTTGCATGAGCTTTTTAGAACAGCCATTTTTATTCTTATTACAGTTAATGAGCAGGTTTTCACTGCTAGTTTTTCCTTTAGTAATAATTTTAGTTTTAATAATAGTTTTAGTTAACTATAATAACCCTGACCATCAGTGACCTGTTCAAACAGGGTCGATAAAGAGACAAGAGGGCTTTTCGCACTATGGCAAGTTTAGTTGCTAGTCAACTTACAAAGGTGCTCTTCTCTTACGTGACGGTTCCTCTGTGAATGAAGAAAATGGAGTGGTGTGTGGACGCTGTGAGAGAGCTGGTTTGAGAAACACGGCTCTTAATGACGATGTCTGTGAGCTGTGGTTCTAATTAGTGCTTTAAGCTGTGCAGTAATGGATTTGCACTTGTGCATGCAAAATTTATGATATCACTCCGGTTTTACTATAGTCATCTGATCATCTCACTCCAGGCACCTCACCCACACACTTAACCACCCTATTTAGCTGTTACCATTTTTAGATTGCTTTTATAAATTACATATATAGATATTTTCATAGCCTTAGGCTGCAGTGTTATTTTATCTGGCCCTGGCTGGAAATGAGATATTTCTGAGATAGAAGGATAGACAGGTGGGTACATAGACAGATAGACAGATAGACGAACAGACGGACAGACAGACAGACAGACAGATAGATAGATAGATAGATAGATAGATAGATAGATAGACAGATAACGTAGACATAGATAGACAGACAGACAAACAGACAGACAGACAGGTAGATAGATAGATAGATAGATAGATAGATAGATAGATAGATAGATAGACAGATAACGTAGACATAGATAGACAGACAGACAAACAGACAGACAGACAGGTAGATAGATAGATAGATAGATAGATAGATAGATAGATAGATAGATAGATAGATAGATAGACAGATAGATAGATAGATAGATAGATAGGTAGAGATAGGTAGATAGATTGATAGATAGATAGATAGATAGACAGACAGGTAGGTAGGTAGGTAGGTAGGTAGATGGATAGATATATAGATAGATAGATAGATAGATAGATAGATAGATACATAGATACATAGAGATAGATAGATAGATAGATAGATAACGTAGACATAGATAGACAGACAGACAGACAGACAGGTAGATAGATAGATAGATAGATAGATAGATAGATAGATAGATAGATAGATAGATAGACAGACAGACAGACAGGTAGGTAGGTAGGTATACAGACAGACAGACGGACAGATAGATAGGTAGTTAGGTAGGTGGATGGATGGGTGGATGATTAGATAGATGGATAGATAGACAGACAGACAGATAGACAGACAGACAGATAGATAGGACAGGAAGAAGGAACAAACTACATCAATCCTGAAGAGAAATTGCTGTTACAGTAGCAAGACATATAATTGCACATAAACTTACATATATTACGCAGAAATAAAAATAGACAGAAATTAGACAGAAACAAAAGAAAATGACTAAAGCAGGACTAAGAGCATATAGTCACTGCCAGAACAACACCTTGTATGTCCAGAAAAAGTAGCTTTACAGGAGGAGGAAAAACATTCTTACTTTTCAGTGTTAGTTAATGTAACAGGATTTTATTCCGAGTCATTTTGGATCGTTTCTGTTGGTCTGTTCACCAGGAACGTTTTCCACAACGTAAGGGGCAGATTAAAAAAAATAAAAATTAAAACAGTAACAGTAAAGATGCAAGGTCTTTGGTCAGACGGTGATGATATTCTACTTAATTCCGTTTAACTGCATAAAAGTCTGTGCTACATTTCACCCCATGTTGGTCGTGAGCCTCTTTAAGATTCTTAATGCTTTCAAATCCCCCCTGTGTCTCCGCAGCTTGTGACTGCTGTGTGGCAAGGTGGATATAATTTCTTCTGCCAGGACACTCGCAGCGCAGGAGCGGCCGACGACAAGGTAAAACAAGCGCACGCATGCTTTTCATTCACATCCTGTACAAATCCAACCTGGAAAATTGCATATGATTGAGGGTCTTGCACAATATGCCTCAGTGTTACTCACATCCTACCTACACTTTGCGCTGCTTTCCGGGATGCATGAGTGGATGCCAAATTAATTGCGTCACCCATTACCTCGTCTCAACAAAGCCCACAGTCACAGTGCCAAAACAGTGCTGTGAACTTTAACCTGAACACCTCATCGAACAAGCCAACCTGCCGGTGCGCACTGAGGGTCATCAAGTGTGCTATGGTAGCAGCAAACATAAAGAGTGGACGTCCGCTTCAGCACTGCAGTAACACTGAGATAAGAAGAGCCATTAATGCAGCCACAACAGCCCTCAGCGCTCTGCATTTTTAGAGGCAGTAAAATGAGCCAAGAATTGAAGGTGGCTGGGTTTGTACCTCTAATGATTCCTCAGGGAATTCCAGGCCTTCAGAAAAGGGCTAATGACTTCTATGAAATTAAAAAAGATACATCTGTAATTTTTAGTTCATTTTCAATTAAAGGGGGGCTATCATGCTCCTTTTGGGCTCTGCTAGAATAGATCTACTTGCTTTAATGTTCCAAAAACACATTATTTTCCTCATACTGTTCATCTCTATTCACCCTCTGTCTGAAACGATCTGTTAGAGCTCCTGTGTCTTTAAGCCCTGCCTCCTGATGAGCCTAGTTTGCTTTGATTGGTCAGCTTGCCCACTCCGGTTCCACCCCGCCACATTCCGCCCCTGTCCTGCGGTCAGACCCTTCTCTTCTGAGCAGCTGTAACTCCGCTGTGGCTGTTTCTCCAGCGGCGTCGGTTCTGCCGGGTCAGTTTGATCCAGAGTGGATCCTGAAAGTCCGGTCAGCGTCTTCTTCACACATTACAGCGCTGAACACACTCTTCCTCCTCCAGTAGCTGCTGTGCGCTGTGTGAGGGTGGGCCGAGCTCGCCAGTAGTCGGGCACTAGGGACTGTGTTACGAGATTGAGTCATCCTGTAACAAAGGAAAAGGGCTGGAATTCCAACGAGGCAGCTGAGAAAAGTGGTTTCTGTGGGAGAGAGTTTCTCCCATCTAGAGTGAACTGTGAGCTTTGCAGAACGTTTAGATGCACAAAGAGCTACATAACACTAAAAGAAAGGAAAAACAACATAAAAGCATAATAGGTCCCCTTTAAAGGAATTATCAGTTATAATAATTATTAATTAGTATAACTCTACAAGGATTGCAGTACTGCTTTTATTGCATTGTTAAGTTTGGGATGTAAACAAAAGGGTTTAATTCTGGTTGAAAACTGTCCAATCAGGATTGTTTTCTCTGTGGTATCTGGGTAGATACAGCCAAGCGAGCTCTCCCATTGGTTAGGACTTTAGGAGCTGGACTGAAGACCTTACACATTAGATTAACTACCAACATAATTAGGAACTGACAGAGGAATCAACTAATCACTCTTTGATTTTGGGACCTAATTCGAAGAGTAAACCACCACTCTAGGCCTTCTGGAAGTTCTAGATACATCACTGACTGTGAGCTGTAGTCTAAGGAGGTTTGACTCAGTTGTTAGGAATGGAAAACAGTGGCAGCAGCTTTATGTCAGGACTCTTTACTGAACGAGTCACTATAAAACTGACATACAAGCTCAAATATATGTTAATGTCTGTTAAAAGCTTCAAATAAAACACATTTGTTTAGTAAATGTCCATGTTTAGTATAGGACAGGGGTGCCCAACTCTGGTCCTGGAAGGCTGATGTCCAGCACAATTTGGTGATTTACCTGCTTAAACACACCTGATTACACGTATCTTTTAATCACCAGGTTTAGTGGGTGTGTTTGACTAGGGAATCTACCAAACTGTGCTGGACACTGGCCCTCCAGGACCAGAGTTGTGCACTCCTGATCTAAAAAATCATCCCAAAAATGTTCATGTAATTAGCTTAGTGCTAACATACAACTAGAAACCTATAGAAATTAGCTTTATTGGAGAGGTTTCTTTCTTGTTTCTTTGTTTTTGACCAGTTTTTGTCACTGAAGGCCCAAAATGAAGGCCCGGCTCTCACAGTTCATCACAGTTTATCACCGGATTGTATTCATTTTTTTGTATTATATCTATAATATTTTGCATGATGAGAATGCATATTCAAAATTTTAAATGTAATATTCCTTACAGTGAGAAACAGCATGATGGAAGCTCCAGTTCGCATGCATTTTTTTGAATGTTTATATATTTTCTTTAAGGTTTTTTAAAAGGCTTCCTTGTATGGCTTCATGATGTGCAATAAAGCCTCTGAATATAGTGATAATGATGTAAAATGTGATCAGTTATGATCAAAATAATTCAGTAAAGCTCAAACAGTGTAAGTTTTTTTAAGTGTATTAAGTGTATTTTAAGTGTTTTTAGTGTTATTTAACTGTATATTAGACACTGCTCTTAATGCTACAGCATAATTGTGTCAGGCTGGTGCTGCATCTGTCTAATGTAACTAATATCTAAATGTAATATAATCAAAAGCCCTGACATCTGCTTATGGAGGCTGTGTGGGTATGATTTGGTAACTTTAGGTAGAACATGCTAACAGAGCCAAGCTTCTGGAATAATAGTCCATTTTAGCTTGTAATTATATTAGTGTAAAAACATATTAGTGTAAAAAATAACTTGAAATTTTAAGTCAACCTTTAAGTTTAGTCAAAAGTTCTCGTTAAAAAGGTTTGGTCAATCTTAGGTCAACAAAACAGTTTAACCCTTTGACATTCCAGGCTTGTTACATACTGAGGCTTATTATTCAGTAACTACATGGACTTCAGTGCAAACTAAAGGAGCTATTCTCAGGTTATAGAAGTGTGTAATAAACCTTTGGACCTGCCGGTGGGCCCATGGCTTGGTTAAGGGTTTAAGTTGAGCTTACTCCAAAAACGTGTGAACACAGTTGCCTCCTCATAAGCTGAACTTGCTTACATTTTCAGAGGATATTTACTCAGTTCCTCCTAAATTTAGTCATCGCTACGTCTCACCCACAACCTATGACTCCCTCATCACACAGTGAACCAAGGCTCCCTAACCACAGATGGCTGAGGCATCGCTGGGATATGAACTCATAATCTCTTGATGATGATGCAGTCAGACAGTTGCGCCACTCAGGAGCCATAAAGTTGCTTGAATTTCTGTGTTCAAGAAAGAATGAAAGGCAAGACAAGGCAAGTTTACTTATGTAGCACATTTCAGAGACAGAGAGTCATTCACCTGAACAAAGGCAAAACAAAAAGGACATAAGTGGAAAAAAAAACAGGGCTTAGGTTTAATTAAAATGAAAATAAAACGAGATAAGTTTAAAATCAGATAATTTTAAACAGACAGTAACAATGAATCAATAGTAAAGTGCTTTGCAAAGCACAGGTGAACAGACCTTTTCAGTCTTTTTCATAAAATGGGTCTCAAGGCGTCTCATTTCTGGGTTTTTATTCCAGCTGAATGCAGTGTAGTGGGTGAAGGCTGCCTCACCATGTTTGGTTCTGGTTCTAAGCGCCGTTAGCTATTAGCTTTACCGGGATGCACATGTTCAAACATGCCATGAAAATCCCAGTAAACAGGACAGGGCATCCTCAGCATGAACAACCAACAGCTCTTTCTTTTCTCAATCAGTCTCATAAAACTCGACTGTAAAACACAAACATGTCACATAGTCGTTTTGCTCTGCTGGCCAGGCATGAGTGCAGTGTAGGTTTTTGCCACTTCTCACTAGAATCATGTACGAAATACACTCCTGTGATGTTTTCACTCCCAAAACGAAACTAAAAACTTCACAAACGCTTCACAGAAACGTTCAGCTTTATTGGCTGTAATCTAGATGTCACTGTCTTTCCCAGTGTTTTATCAGCTTCTGTTCACACAAACCCTCCTGGTCATTTCCCGGTTGTTGTACTGGGTGTCATGCAGGTGAACTGTTGCTTTAACCTTACCAGGATTTCCACTCCAGCTCACCTTCACACCCTTCCCGTTTAATGAGTGGTAACTACTGGGGTTAAAGTGCATGTGTGAAAGGGGCTTGTGAAGGGGGAGTCATAGTTTGGGGGTGGAAACTTGAAATGACTAAACTAAGAGGAACTGAGAGGTGAGGAACTGAGTAAAAATCCCACAGCTCATGAGGAGGCAACCGCATTCTTTTATTTCTGATTCAGCTTAAATTAAACTGTATTTTGTAGAACTAACAAAGATGCAGTACTGAAAATGTAAGTTTGGACAACTTTAGGCTAAACTAAGTTGAGAGAGTTTTTATAAAGCTATTCAGAAGGTTGACTTTCAAGTTTCAATACATTTCAAGTTGACCTGATTTTTAATTTTTTACAGTGCACAGTGACGAGCCCTAGCTGTTAGGGATAGGCCTTCAATTTGGGCCATAAATATCAAAACATTATAGAAAAAAAAATAGCTCTATGTAATACTAATTTCTGCTATTTTCTAATTAACCTTTTGTTAAAAGCACATATTGAACCCTCCCAACCCCCACCAAAGGTGGTTTAGACAGGTTTGATTGGTAACATTGGTGGGATAAAAAACCTGAGCGTGTCATTTCCTAAGATAGCACTGTCACCAATACTGTCATAGACATTGACACGTGTTTATATCAACTCAAAATAAATCTAGTTAGTCTTTAATATGTGAAGTTATTGCAAATTGACAAACATGCTAATTTGTATTTAAAACATTTTGGTACGCCACGTGTCACCAGACTATTGAAGGGCAGTGTAGATAAGAGGTAAGTACAGGCAAATAAAAAGAATAGCTGGTCAGTGACCTCGGCTTGACTGGCATGATGTGACATGACGTGATGTTTTGGTTATTTGTTATGAGGAGGCAACCATATTCTTTTTTACCTGATTGAGCTCAAATTAAACTGTATTTTGTAGACCTAACAAAGATGCAGTACTGAAAATGTAAGTTTGGACAACTTTAGGTTAAACTAAGTTGAGAGAATAAAAAAAAACTATGGAGAAGGTTGATTTTCAGCTTTCAATAATTTCAAGTTGACCTGACTTTTAATTTTTTACAATGCACAGTGCATTTTTTTATTTTTAGGCTGTTCTAGATTGAACACAGACATTTAAAACATCTAAAATACATTGCATCTTTTACTTGAAGCTTGTGAGAGACATTTTAGCTTATCTTTTACCAAAAACACTGGTATAGTTTTACTGTGATTCTTTTAGTAAAGAGTCCGGACATAGAGCTGCCGCCCCTGTTTTCTATTCCTAACAACCTACTGATTAGGTTGCTTCTCGTATTCACAGTCAGTGTTGTATCCAGAATTTCCAAAAATATATCAAGAAATTGGTCCCACCTATTGTGAATCAAAAAGTGATTTGTTCATTCCTCTCACTTCATGATTATATTGGTAGTTAATCTATCATGTGCCTTCAGTTCAGCTCCTGAAGGTCTAACCAGTGGGAGAGCTCACTTGGCTGTATCTACATAGATACCACAGAAAAAACAATCCCCATTGGACAGTTTTCTGCTGGGCATTTCAAGAACGTAACCTTTGTTTTCAATTAAAACTTAATAATGAAATGAAAGTCTTGCTGTAATACTTGCAGAGTTTAAAAACAAGCCTGAGACTGTTGAACAGAAATGAACTACAAATCACAGACATGCATTTTTAGTTGCCAGAAATGATTAGGGCTTCTTTCAATCTACTTTTAGTAGTCAAAAACTGCTGATATTCCTGCAGACGTCTCTTTATGACACCCCACATCTATTATAAATAGATTATATATATTATAAGGCCATTCAAAAACATTGCTCATCATTTGTGTCCTACTGGCTCTAAAAGGTGCAAAGTGCTTGGACCCCGAAGATCGCCACTTGTAGTGTAATTTGTAGATGGTCATTTAGCTCTCGTAGCCGTTACAGTCCACAGAAATTAACTTTACATAAAAACTAAATGAAAGCTGACCATCTTGGTTGCTAACAAGGATAATTTACACAATTTAACTTTTTTGCACTCATCACAGAAAAGTTGCTGAAAAAAGTAATTTGAATATGTGAAAATACAGTTATTAGCCTTGTTTATCGAAATGTCTTCCTTGGTATAAATAGCAGGTTTTTCTTTTCCCAACTTTTGTTACAAGTGCATATTAAAACTCTTTCCTGCCCCCTAAAGGTGGTTTAGACAACTTAAAAGTTTGTGTGGTAACAGTGGGATAAAATACCAGAGTATGTCATTTCCTGAGATAGTACTATAGTAATACTGTCACAGACGTTGACACATGTGATGTCATCTCAAAATAATTCTAGTTAATCTTTAATATATTATCTTACTGCAAATTGGCAAACATGCTAATTTGTATGTAAAACATTTTGGGACGTCACGTGTCCCCAGACTTTTGAAGGGCAATGTAGGTTATAGGTACAGGCAAATAAAAAGAATATGCGGTCAGTGACCTCGGCTTGACTGGCATGAAGTGACCTGACATGATGTTTTGGTTATTTGTTAACTTCACTCTCTCCACCATCCCCACAGATCATTCACGTCCTGTGGTGGTATTACTTCTCCAAGCTCATCGAGTTCATGGACACGTTCTTCTTCATCCTGCGGAAGAACAACCACCAGATCACCTTCCTGCACGTCTATCACCACGCCACCATGCTCAACATCTGGTGGTTCGTCATGAACTGGGTGCCGTGTGGCCACTGTGAGTTCCTCAGACAGAAGCTGCCCTTATCTCGCTGTTTTAAGTGCTCCTGACAGAGCTGAGGCCGCAGTTTATGTGCTGAATAATTCAGAAACAGAAAAGCGAATGCGAACGAGACAAAAACGCTCCATTCCAGATGCTTCTGGAACAAATGCAGCGTTACGTAATTTTTGAGACACTTTTTTCCTTGTTTAGGCAGATAATAGGTCAGATGCAGTGCATCCCGATAAAGGTCGTGGATATCGATAGGTGGGAGCTAGAAAGGGTAAAATAGTGCAAGGTAGAAGAAAGACGCGTCCGTCTGTTGGCAGCTGTGATTGCTTTTATGATTATTTCATTTACTTAGCCAGGACACTCTGTCCTGTAAGCCGCTGGGCACACTGTGTTATCAGTACGGCTTTATGCTTGCCAACTGGAACACAACTGCCAGGAAAATACTTAAGCTACCACTCTGATGCGCAATAAAATACCAGAGCTGGACTGTAAACTTTTGGACACCATGGATTGTTAAACTTGACCTATATTAACCCTTGTGTGGTGTCGATGTGTTTGTTACTCAGTGGTCTGGTGGACCCACCACATTATTGGCTTTTTTAAATCAATACAGCCACAAGAATTTATGTAAAAATACCAGATGTTTAAAATATCACAAGTGTCCAGCATAGGGTTCTCCTTTAGCAGCTGTAGCCAGTCAGCAGCCTGTCCATGTTGTTCACCCTCACACACACACATGCAAACACACACACACACACACACACACTAACAGCAGGCCATGTAGGAGGAGAACAGAGTGAAGGACACAGCACCTCCACACTTTTACTCCCCGCAGGTTCACCCAACACCACGTGTAATATAAATGTGTGGGGGGTGAACAGAGTGAAGACACTGAAAATGGGTTATTTTATATGTCCTTCACAGAAAATGAGCAAAGGACAAGAATCTGAGGTTGAAATAATAATAAATCACAGCATTTTTTCTTTTGGCAAACATTGAAAATGGGTCAACACACAAGGGTTAACTTAGTAAGATTTCGGTCCACTCAAACAAATTTCTTGTTTTTATGGAGTCTTGGAAATACTTGGTTGTGTTGTATAATAATGGTATAGAAAAAGCAACGACTGGAGATTAACTGTGTCATGTTCTTTTTTCACCAGCCTATTTCGGTGCCACCTTCAACAGCTTCATCCATGTGCTGATGTACTCCTATTATGGGCTCTCAGCCATTCCTGCCATGCGACCATACCTTTGGTGGAAGAAGTATATAACTCAAGGACAGCTGGTGAGCTGCTGCCATGGCTGACATTATTATGAATGACATGATTGCTGCACAATATGGGCAAGATATACTGCCTATTATTACGGTTATTATTAGTAAGGTTATTATAGTTAGAATTATGTAGTGTCATGATATATTGTTATATACTGAGAGTTTAATATTATTTGCAATATATAAACATATTTATAAACATTAACAATCCTGAGCATCGAAAAAGGTGACAAGTCCAGAAACCAAACACCTGTAACAGGGTCCGGTGGAATTGTTCCTAGTAGAACATTTTATTGATTTTACTTTTTAAAATAAAAATAAAATAGATTCTGGTGCTTTCTGAGACTAACATATAGATATAATTGCTATGGAGTTCAAAGTCGCATCCAAAAGCTGGAATGTTTTCAATGGAATGATTTGCTTATTTGTTAACAATTTGTTGCTGACCATGCCTAGGTTAGATAGCCAATGTGTGCAAAAATCTCCTTTTGAGACCACACATCTATTATAAATAGAGACCATTCAAAAAACTTTGCCCATCATTTGTGTTCTACTGGCTCTAAAACAGGCATGTCAAACTGGTGACCATTCAGGCCAAAGTGCTGCCGAGATTAGCGTTTACCCTCATCTAATGCTCTGAATTCAGTTCATGAAGTTCTTGCTAATTAGCTGATGAGCTGAATCAGGTGTGTTTAATGAGGCAGTGTGCTGAAGTCTGCAGTGTTTTGGCATATGAGGACTGGAACTTGGCGCATATGCTCTAAAAGGTGCAAAGTGCTTGGACCCCGATGATCGCCACTTGTGGTGCGATTTGTAGATGGTTGTTTGGCTCTCAGCCGTTACAGTCCACAGAAATGAACTTCAGATGAAAACTAAACAAAAGCTGACCGTCTTGGTTGCTGACAAGGATAATTTACACAAGCTATCTGTTTTGTACCCATCTCAAAAGGTAATTTGAAAATGGTAATGTAAAGGTAGTGTGAAAATGAAACCAACTTCACCGTTCATGAAAAACAGCTCCCTTTTCACATTTTAGTAATGATATCTTCGTAATTGGCCTATAAGAATAAAATACTGTATCTGAATGATGTCTGTGAACTGCTGATGTGCTGTGTTTAAGGGGAGAGGACGTCCTAAAATTAAAAACTAATCAAATCTACACATTCACATGAATGTTTGTTGTTCAAAACAGCAAAATTGGCCAGATTTTGTTTGTTATGCCTTTAACTTTTGGTTCATCCAAACTCCTGCAGAAACACATCTGGACTGTCTGTGATTGGTCAGTTGCTCACAACATGCTGTAAAGCATTCAGTGATTGGTTGGAGACTCAATTACATAATATGACCTTATGTGATATGTTGTGATGCTGATCAACTTTATTAAAGCATCCATTCTGAGAATTTGTCGTTCTGTGAGTGACTGTGTTTCCTATCACTGTGTAAAAGATGCACAAGGCTTCTTTTGTTGTTAGATCCACTGTGATTTTTTTTTCTGAGCATGCTCATGAGCACATTCAGAGAGCAGTTCACATTGTTAAGCACTTATTAATGATTTTTTTTTTATCAGAGTAACGATAAAATGAGATTTACGGGTGACTCATAATGCTATTTATCTATTTTCTTGTTCAGAAAGGCAGTTTGTGACAAACTAAATAAAAAAAACTCAGCTTTGATTTATCACTTTCTTTACTTATCAAACAAATGCAACAGCAGCAGCGAGTCATCACAATATCAACAGAAAAGAGCTGATTAAACAGCAGGAATAGCCACGTTTTGCTTTTTTGCTTTTTTTGTTCTTAACGAACAATTTATCACACAGCCTTATTGCTCGTCTATTGGGTAAAAACAATTCGCTGTTGTCGGAACAAAACCTCATATCTCCAAAATGGTAACTTTACAGGAGAAGGAAAAAACCTACTTTACTTTTAATGTAAGTCAATGGAACCAGAATTTTTTCCAAGTCATTTTGGGCCGTTTCTTTTGGTCCATTCATCATAAAATTACACACAATATAAAGGGAAACAGGCATTTTCACATTATGTCAAAAACAGAAAAACGACAAAAATGGAGATTCCAGGTTTTCTTCCCACAACAGCGAATTGCTAAATTACTACAGTAACTGTTGATTTTAAAGGCTGGTTTCTCTTTCCTGCTCTTACAGGTCCAGTTTGTGTTGACCATGATCCAGACGTCCTGTGCTGTAGTCTGGCCGTGCGGTTTTCCGATGGGCTGGCTGTATTTCCAGATCAGTTATATGATCACTCTAATCGTTCTCTTCGTAAACTTCTACATAAAGGTAGGAATTTGGTTTAGTTTCCTCTTAACGCCCTCAGAACCACAGAGTGATTCTGTGAATCGCTGGAGGAAGCACTTAGGGTCATATTTCACACTGACTCATAGGTTGTTCTCTGACTGCATGACCAGAAATAAAGATATAAAGAACAATGTTTTATTCTTATAAACGTTTTAGTGGCTCAGTAGTAAACCTTTGGATTCAAACTCCTACACAGTAGGGTGTGTAAATGAGCACACGAGGCCTCTAAAAGCCTGAATCAGTGGTAACATAACCACTGTATGGCTTTTAGATGTATGTAGTATCTCCAAAATTGCACGTTTACAGGAGACTGCAAACACGTTTGTTACTATTTCAGATTTTTATTTCAGATTTCAAATTATTTTGAAGCATTTCTATTGGTCCTTTCATCAAGTAATGTACATTTTACATGATGTAAAAGGCAGCTGCCGTGCTCAAATGCTGCAGAAAAATATGCACAGTAAATTCCAAATATAAAGTAATACAGAAAATAATGTTCGTTGTACCCCTTATCCCCCATTACAAACAAAATGAAAGGTCCACGTATAATCTTAAAGTATATATGACCATCTTCATCTTCATCTTTCGTCATCTCAAAAGTCATCACATTACAGATTTCCAGTCAGAATCATATACTGTGTAAAAAAGTGAGTTATTTTAAGTTATTCTTATTTATTGGAGGGGTCTGTGCACTGCACAAGACAATATCTAAGTGAAAACATCCTAAATGTAATGTAAATGTAATATAGCTCATATTTTTTACTATGAAATTATATTGCAAGATTATTTAACTAATTTCTTGATATTATTTACTAGTTTTATATAATTTTATCTAGTGAAATTGTAATCTGAATCTGAAGGTGAATACTTTTATTTACCATTAATGTAAGTTAATGTAAAGAGATTTTATTGCAAGTTATTTTGGAGCATTTCTCTTGGTCCATTTATCAAGACATTTAGATTTTACATGATGTAAGAGGCAGCTGTTGTGCTCAAATGATGTAGAAAAAAAAGTAAAAAACATTATTTTAACAATTTATATATATACACATAGGAAATTCCAAATATACAGAAAATAATGTTCTTTATACCCCTTTATTCCCCATTAAGAAGAAGTCCACGTATAATTTTATTGCATATTATCACTACTTTATAGTGTATATACAGTATATTTATAGTTGTCACATTACAAATTTCTACAGTCAGAATTATACACTGTTTAAAAAATAGTGGATTCAAAAGTTATTCTAATTTATTGGAGTGCTTAAAAATACGATTTCTAAGTGAAAACATCTTAAATGTGATGTAAATGTAATATAGCTAATATTTTTCATTATGCATTTCCATTGCCAGACGATTTGTTCAATCGTTGATTTCATAAAACAAGCAGAATCATCTTCATTATTTCTTGAAAACAAGTAAAATGGTCTGCCAATGGAATAAGACGCTTTTACTACATAAAATCACTTAAAACAAGTAAAATTGTCTAGAAACACTGAATAAACTTATAATATTCATATAACAATTTCATAATGAGAAATAATGCATATATTGACTCCATTTAAGATGTTTCCACTTGCTGAGATATTTTTTGCAGTGCAGGATTTTCTCATGTTGTTTTTTTTGGACAGCATCCTTAACCGGGACTCTGATGTTCTAAAGTTCAGTGTTTCTTCCAGCAGTAGTGTCTCCTCCCGTCATTCTTTCAGTTCTGACATGAATAAAACAGTGAATTTGTCAAGAAATGGTGCTGAAATGTGATCTGAGTCGTTCGTCGCTCTCTGTCCATCAGACATACAAGAAACACGGAGCTTCCCGGAAAAAGGATTACCGGAACGGCGCCGTTGCGTCTGTGAACGGCCACACGAACGGGACGGCCCCAGCGGAGACGGTCAAACACAGGAAGCCGCGGGCAGATTGACGACTTCTCCGAGTCGACCCTCCGATTCCTCACTGCTCATCCATGTCTGTGTAACATTGCTATGAAAGTGATGTAGGACTTCTTTACGCACCAGAGGAGCCCAGTAGACCCACTGTAGACACAAACAAACAGCTAAGGCCATTTAATCTTTAGGAGATTCCTAACATTGCAAACCACAACCTGTTATTGTTCATATTGAATCAAAGACCAGAGGACAGAGAGGACAGAGAGGACAGAGACAGGCTGTAGGGAAAAAGGAAACAGGGTCCAACGTATTTAGAATGACTTTTTCAGTTAATTTCATTTCAATTCTCGTTTCATTGAATGAGATTTCATTACCATTTGTGTCACCACCAAGTCTTAAATGTGTCTTATGAATGTCCAGTACTGTGCAAAGGTCAGAGCCCACCCTTTTATTTATTTAATTCCCAGGCAAAATGGCCAATAAATGCAAGTCATTTTTCAGCTTCAGGAAAAAAGCTGAAACATATTTAACAGGAAATTCCAACATCTGAATGTAATATCAAAACTGATCAACATCAAATTAGGGTCGTTTTATTTACGCCTTATTTTTTATGAAGTCCAGGTTTAGAAACTCCTGTTTTTTTCCCACTTATTTTCGTTTGACTTTGCCCTTTCTTATGCCCAAAAGTTTTGGCACCCCTGTCATGCCATGACCCCCACCACCTGTCATAATATGTCCCTCAACATCCCCCCCCCGCCCCCCACCCAGGAGACTCGACTTGGACTCTCCCTGGCTCCGCCCACTCCCCTCCTCTCTCACACACCTGCAGCTCATTCCATAGACATTAAGACTCCCATATAAACCCCTTTGTTGTTTTCAGTTGTTGCGAAGTCTCTGTGTTTCCTACCTGAGTTCCGAGCCCATTTTTGTTTGTGTTGTTTTCTTGTTCTGACCCTTTCTTTTCTCTCTGTTTGGATCCACCTTTTCTATTGCCTGCTAATGTGTTGACCCCTGCTAGTCATATGGAGTGTTGGACTGCCCCTAATAAAACCATTTCGCATTAGCAACCCGCTTCAGCCCCTACGTTACCACCCCTGCTCAGATGACGTTATGTTGTTTTACTGAATTTAACATATTGGGAAAAATAAAAGTAGAAATTTGAATATAATATTTAAGACTGGAAGTTAAATAAATGAAGGGTGGTCTGACTTCTACACAGTACTGTATAAGAATGCTAAAGCTTATAGGATATTTTGTACAGTCAAATCAAGCCCCAATTGCAATGTGAGTATTCTGCACAGTAAACAATGTAAACATTAACTTGGTACAAAGGAAAGTGAAGGATATTGAATTTTCTCAGCATTAAATGAGTCGCTGGTATTGATAGCACTGTAAATTATAGGATATTGAATGTAAATTAATAGAAATTGTTTGAAATTATTGGCTCCAAATTGGTGAAACCAGTGTGTCGATTATTAGTGTGATATTTTTAGATTATTCTGTAGGTTTACACATTTAAAAAACGTGTGTGACTTGGCGAGGGGGACTGACCCTTCGAGGCTTATGCACTGAAAAGGCCTGACTCAGGAGATCGGACGTTTCGAGCGCAGCGGCATGAGGTCTGAATGTACACCATTGTGTTTTATATATTTGCTACTGAGAAGTAAAAAATGTATTTGACACTTGATATTTCCATCGAAAGTGGAGCTTTTTGCAAATGTACGCACTCGACCTTCAGTAGTAGATCGTTTTGCAGCTTGTGCTAAGCTTTGCAGCACTTTGAATGCATTAAACACTGTGGTTGTTGTTGTGCATTGGTTCCGAGTCCAGATCTGGGAGTACACCTGTCCTGCGTATTGTAGTGTTTTGCCGCTCTAACACCCACTCCAACTCAGAAAGGGCTTCCTAATCAGCGGACGAGTTGGACCAGGTGGATCAGGGCTTGCAGGATGTACTCCGGCACCAGGGTGAGGAACCACTGCCAGTGTGAATGCTATTCCATGTTCTTCTGCCGCAAGAACTCGTGCAGATGCAAGCCAGTGGTGAGAATCTGAATGTGACTTGGCCCTCGAATACACTAACAGCATTCCTAGCGTCCTTTGCCAACTGCAATATGAGATTAGCTTTTAGACATGCTGCAGCAGGATTCTGCCCAGGCTCAGTATCTACAAACCTGACTGCACACCGCACTGATCTGCACACCAGTATTTATTTTCAGCCTGGTTCCGGCTCGCAGATACCCCAGCAGGAAGGTCCAGAACACATGCGACCTGAAGTTCAGTATGCTTAGGCATGTGCTGATGCATAAATTGGACATCACGATAACTGCACAATAACAAGTTATGGCACATTTTACCTCATGAATGTGTGGGTGGCGGAGCCAGATCTTACAACAAAAATACACCTCTGGGGACAACAAGGCTACACCACCGTTTAAACCTGCTCCCCAAAATTTCTCTAGTGTGTACTATTTAGACGTCCAGGGTACGATCAGTACCACAACTAAAACAGGCTAGCTTATCGTTATCTGACGTTCATTCTTCAAAATGAATGTTTTCGATTGTCAGGCATGCCTGATGCACAAAATCGACTCCAAGTAAACCACTTCAGATACTTTATTTAAAGACAGTAACTCAGATATTAGATATCTTCTAAAGCTAAAGTACAGTGTGGGTTAACTGAACTGTTTTGCTCTTGTAAGGCTGCGTTCACACAGCAGGTAAAAGTGGCCCAAATCTGATTTTCTCACCAACATCTTTTTTTGTTTGGCTGTTCAGATTATCTTTTAAATGTGATCTGTATGAGACAGTCTGAACAGATCAGCTCCTAAACTGAGCTGCATGCGCAAAAGATCAATGCTTCACGCTGCTTCACGGCTCATCCAGAGGTCAACAATCACGACTGCCAACGAACGCCAGTCACTCCCGGAGGATCAGCTTCATCTTCACCAGCAACACAGGAGCCATCATGATGCTTCACTGACTGACAGCTGGGCTCATCACCCAGAATGTGTTTGAGCCGTAAAAAGGGCGCGGTCACTTCTTTGGTTCGCGTCCTCGGATTCTTTAAACTCTGCTTTCAGACTTTTAACTGTTCTTTGACGCTGCAGCCTCGTTCTCCTGCGGCCGCATTCGGACATTTCTTTCTAAATCTCATTGAACGCTGAAGGTTTTGGATGAGTCTCTTCTAATTTTTTGTACTGAAACATCAGCCTAAACGTTTCTGAGTCTCAGCAGCGCGAAATTATAACGAATGTGGAGCTGGATTGACGTAAAATTGCATGAATTCCGATCTGGCTGTTCAGACTGAGTCGCATCGCTGCAGATCGGATACGTATCGTATTGCAGTACCACATATGAAAGCGTCTCAAATTGGAATTGAAAATGTCAGATTCAGTGTGTTTATCTGTTCACACTGACACACAGACACACATCTGTGTCACATATGAAGAAAGAGATCAGATTTGGGCCACGTTTTACCTGCTGTGTGAACAAAGCCTAAGAGGTAATTATTTTGGGGGACTTATCAGCCATGCTAACTTACATTCCATCCATGAGCTAACGACAGGTTCGCTTGTTGGACAATGTTGACGAGCGCACCAGCGCCCCCTTCTTTGATGAGCTCTTGGATTGAGGAATTTCACACTCAATTTGTCCCCATATAATAAGTCTAAACTCCCTCTACATTTAGCTCATGGTTGTCCTCAGACGTTCTCATTATGAGATTACATCTGACCCTGCAAGACTGACCGTTGGTGTTCTAGATAGCACATTCAGTATAAAAGGATAGCTCTGCTCTGCATATTTCTCTAAATTATCTGGCAAAACAGCAACTTGTTTGACTAAAATGCATTAAGATGTATTTTACACTGTCCACAATAATGATATTGTGTACATTGAATATCATGGTACTTTATTATTGAATGTCGGCACATGTCTAAACATGCTAGTATTTTAGCAAAATCTGTTCCAGCTATAATACTTCCAAATTTGACGACTGCTATGCTGTTAAAAACTAACAGTTTCAGTCTACGTAGTTTTAATTGCAGTGTCTAAAGCAATAGTAGTCAATTGTATCAATGAACAAAACTGAAGTTATATCAGAAGCATTAATCAAGAGATACCAGTTCAATCCCACTTCTGACACCATGAATTCTGCACCACCATCAACTTGATAATCCACCTGCTAATGCTGTTATTAATGTGGCTCTGTCACTGTTATGTGTGCTGTTAAGTACATACATCTCACCAAATAATGTTAAACTTGACTTTTTTAGGCAAATCTAGGACCGCACAGCGTTTTGAAAGCCCGCTTATTTGTGCTAAAATGACGCTGGGCTGTTTGTGTACTGTTTGTTGTTATCTTTTCTTTCAGTTCATTCCTAATATTGCCTTAAAAGACGTATGTAGCCATCCTCTCTGAGCATATCGCTTATGATGTTCTAGGTCACTGTGGTGTTCATTATTGGGATGCCTCAGTATTTCGAGTATGGCCATATTATTTAGTCAGTACATGCCTTAAATGTTGGCATATAGGCCAAAATATCCAAAGTAGCTGATATGAGTTCCTTATTGTTTCACAGCTGTGAAGTGGAGATGTGTTTCCCTATGATGTAGCAACACTGTTAAAATCACACCCAGAAAATAGAATAGAAATAGAAGCTGCCATAGAAACAGTGATCTGTCATTGCGATTTGAATAAAGGTATTAGTGTCCAACGTGTCATGTGCTTGATTTCTCTAATTAGAACTGACTTATTCAAACCAATTTCAAATAAAAAAACATGGTTTAATTTTATATGAATTAAATCATTGAAACAAGCAGAGACGTTCTGTTGAGAACATGGATTCTAAATGTTTAATCAAGATCACATTTCTGTGAGATGTTTTTATTATGATATGAATTTGATTAACTTTTTGCTTTGTCATCTTTGGTGGAACGAAGAACCATTGTTCACATTTTTGCGCTTTTTTTTAGTTTTTATTGATATTAAAAAAAGAAAGAGACTCAAACATGTTGATACAGAATGTAAATTATAAATGTTATTCATTACTGTGACAGAATGAACAAACTAGTTTCCCTAGTCAAATGTATTTCCTTCATATTCCCTCTTATTTCAGTCCCGTTCTGTCTCTGCTCTGGTTCTACAGTAGTTTCTCTCACCATTTGACCAGCTAATGCTGCTGTTTATGTCTCATTACTATATCAAATTTTGCTAGCTTGGTACATAATATCACCTTTTACAGTTAAAGTATTGAGCTACTGAGCTTTACATCATGATACTAGCAGCAGATTTACAACTTGGAATACTTACATGGGCTGCATTTACCTTCCTGGTCTTGGAAAAGGCCCAAGCTTAGTTTAACTGTTCTTAAATAATGCCTGGGCACATTCAGACATGCTCAGTAGAACTCTATTGGAGTGGTCCATTGGGGGAGTGGGGGGGTTATGGGGTACATATAATTTAAAATATATATTGTTTAATTTGAGCTTGTTATGATTCAAGTATCCATTTCTGGATTCTGTATTTACTTTATCAGTTATTGTCTATGGTCATTATTGTCTCCCCCTGCAGAGGTTCTTGAGTGTTTACACCACTGTCTTTCCTAAAGAACCCTTACAGAACCGTCTTTTTTGAGCAGCGTGCAACATAATTTTACTTCAACTTGGAAATCAAAAGAAATCAAAGTCGCACACAATTCTTTTGATTAATCCACGAGGTCGCACTAAAAAAAGATGGTTCTTCAACGGTACTTTACTAAACGGTTCTATATAGCACCAAAATGTTCTTCTGTCGTTACAAGCTTGACATCATAACAATAGAAGAACCCTTTTTATTTCTATATAGAATCTTTTCAAAAAGGTTCTATCTAGGACCATCTACAGCTCATTCTCCATCAATCTGAAGAACTATTTTGCCATGCAAAGAACCCTTTAAACATGCAAAGGGTTCTTTAAATGTTCATAGTTCTATATAGAACCATTTAATAAAAACCCTTGAAGAACCATCTTTTGTGTGTTGTTGCACAAAAGTTGTGTATTGTTGCAGCTTGACAATATAACAATAGAAGAACCCTTTTTGGTGCTAAATAGAACCCTTTTCGAAAAGGTTCTATTTAGAACCATCTGCAGCACATTTTCCATTAATGTGAAAAATGCTTTCATGATGCAAAGAAGCCTTTAATCATGCAGAGGGTTCTTTGAGTGTTCATGGCTGTATATAGAACCACTGTCTTTTCTAAAGAACCCTTGATATATAAAGTGTTTAAAATGCTAATATCAGAAATATATAGTATCATATATGTATGTCTAGATACACAGATCCTGATAATTAATAGTTTGATACTATGTCATTCTATGCAATCACATGATACGTTATCATTCATGAAACTTGTTGAGAGTTTCAGATGAGTTGCAGGTGCTTTTACATTATGCAACTCAAGTGAAATTTAGTTTCATGTAAGTTTCAAGCAACTTTCACAGGGACTATGCTGCCTAAGATCATTAGCCTTAGGCACAACTAAGGCTGGTGTTATGCTGTGAAACTTACATGAAAGTTTGATTGCTTTACATTATGCAACTCAAGTGAAATTTAGTTTCATGTAGGTTTCAAGCAACCAAAGTTCTATGTAAGTTTCGCAGCGTAACCCCAGCCTTAGTTTTTGCCAAAGGCTAATGTAATAGACATCTATAAAGATCTGAGGTGGCTTAGTCGTCCATTACTCATTAGCTACATTTGCCTCATAGCTTCAGTGCAACACACAAGAAGCAAGCTTTGGACACCAAATATTCAATTCAATTAAGCCTAATATCAAACTCCACTGTGACAATTTGCAACAAGCCTTCTTCAGTGTTTGAATCAGAACTTTCTGTGTCCCCCTCTATCAACAGATGTGTCCCATTCACTATGGACTCAAGGCATGTCTCACTGGGAATAGCATGAAATGACCGTTCATTTTCTGTACGATTTGGACAGTTTATTCCACAACTGCAGCCCCAAAGTCCTCTTAAGGAGCTTAGCCAACTGACAGTTTAGGAACCAGAAGGGGGAGCTTAGCCGAGCGAATACAAATTACATTCTAATCCAAAACGTGTGCTGCAGACTTCTTATCGAAGACTGTTACAGCGGCCAAAGAGCTGCATTCTCGAGGCCTCTCATGTCTCATAGGAAGTCAGTAGAGCTTTTAAGTGTGTTTAATAGGGGTCACTTACACATAATTGATTAAGTGAGTTCACATAAACAGCCTTATCCATAGGGCATAATTACAGTAGGCTATTATAGAGAATAATTCTTTCAGCCTGTCCCATAAATCTGGAATAGCTTTCCTGAACACGGCTGGACACACCACAGCACAAAGTACACAAGGTTAGCAAGTGAAGCAGTGTTATCACCACAGATTCAAGGTAGACGTGGAGGTGGAGCACAGTCTAAAACCGTGGGACATGATTTCACGTGTTTCAGAGACAAAGGCATTAGATTGTGTGTTGACCGCTGGACCTTTAAAATGCAATATTAACAGAGTGGAGCAAGCCAGTGTCCAGTCCATCTCTTCTGTAATCCTTATCAAATGTCATGTTCTAGATCAAATTTGCCCTGATTTCAATCCTTTAAACCTTGAAGTTATACTGAACACGTTATGGGTGGATTATAGTCGTCTGTTATGAAAGTAGTTTGTTGTGAAAAAACGGACCCAGATTTTTGAGGCCACCGAGTTGTTCTGTTGTGCAGTATTCACAATCAGTCCAGTCGTTCTACATGAGTCAAACTTAACCGATAAAAGGGCCGTATTGAGAAATCTCAACAGATCCGTGGGCCAGAGAACAACTATGTGTTTATTTCATTTTAAATTGATGTTGTGCTGAAACCCAAACTGACCATTGTTTATTCAAAACACGCAAAACCTTCAGCAGCAAAATACAGGCACTTGTAATAGACCTTGAAATATTACATGAATACTTCCATCCATCCATCATCTAAACCGCTTATCCTTCTGGGTCGTGGTGGGGTGCTAGAGCCTATCCCAGCTGTCATTGGGCGGAAGGCAGGAAACACCCTGGACAGGTCACATGAATACTTGAAATTTTCAAAATTTAACTATCCCAGGAGCTCAGTCTTTCAAACCTACCGATTTGCTTGAACTAGACACCTGGCGTCCTTTGTTTCCTGCAAGTTTATTAAGACTCGGGCTCAATTTCTGAGCAGCTGAGCTGATGTTAGGTGTTTATATTGGCTGAAGTGCAGTTGCTTGGTGATATGACTGGTGCTGGTGTAGTGTAGTGGGTAACACCTCTGCCTTCTATGCTGCAGACTGGGGTTCAGTCCCCACCTGGGTAAACACCCTACACTATACCAATAAGAGTCCTTGGGCAAGACTCCCAACACCACCTTCACCTACCTGTGTAAAATGATTAAACTGTAAGTTGTTCTGGATAAATATGTCTGCCAAATGCCGTAACAGTGTAGAATTGAGGTGTAACCATAGACTGTTGTTGGGGTTGGAGTGCACATTGCAGTGCATGCTGGGGACTGCAGTGCATTGTGAAACACGCTAATATTAATAGAAAATGTAAATATTTTGTGGGTTGGATAGGATTGTGTTTGACACATGGGTTCTAAAGTGTAGCACTAGACATCTACCAACCTAGATGTTCTATACATGATATTATTAGCAACATAAGTTGCTTAATTAACTAGGTCGTTTGGTTGCTAATTCCAAAGACAGCAGGCAAATATTGATCCTGTGGCTGGTTAAGGTCAGCACCCTGCTGACTTCATACTGCTGGTTCAACCTCAGACCCAGATTATTGTCCTGCATACAAGGTCTAACTAGTTTTTAACCTTCGTAAATAGATTTTCAGCCTTTCATTTTGGAAAATGAATTAAGACAAATATCACAAACTATTGAGAAAAAATGTAATATAAAATGATTTTGATGAAAATGTTGTTGCTGATACTGAGCTAGATTGATTACAGTATAAAACTGTATGACCAGCTTTATTTATGATATTACTGCTGTAATTATTTACTAATTTACAAAGGATAACGGAAGAAAGAAGTGAAGGTAAAATAAGTAAACTGGACTGCGAGTGAAATAATAAGCACTGAAAAGCGCCATTTTGTCTAATACTCTACTTAACTAGCAGTGGGCTGCCTGGAAAACACTAAGCAAAAAGCCGGTGGGCTGCCAGCTTTGCCGTCAGCAGGCTAACAGTGGCCTGCTATCCTATTACTATCTGGGCTTCACTATAGAAAGGGGCCATATTAAAAAATGTCAACAAATAAGTGCAGTATTAGCATCAGCCTAGCTGCAGCACTGTATTAGCAAGGAAGTTGTTCTACAGTAAATGTTGCAAAGATGGTCATCGAGTGAACAGACTGTCCTATAAGGACTTTGCTGAAACTTTGCCAAGTTTTAGCCTTATTTTAGCCACACCCCTGCAGTGAGGTTGCATGCCTGTCCTTCATGGCCACATGGTGAGCAGGTAGATCCCATTGCTTTGAAGTAAATGTGTCCCAAAGTCTGAAAATCAGTGTGGAACATTAAGAACTGTCACTACTGAAACACATATTATCTGCAATCAAGTACTTTTTGTGTTTTAATGAAAAAAATATAATGGTGTGTGAACAGCTGGTAACAGCTTTGCTAGTCATGTACTGGCTTTTTGAGTTCTGCTCAAAATGAGCCAAAATGGTCACTACTGAAACAGTCACTACTGAAACATTTGGTAAAGTTATGTAGTGTTATGACTGTTTTGGCAGTGACAAAATGGAATGTTCATTCACTAGTTTTAATAAAATAAACATAATAAAGGTATAGAGCCACTCAATGCTAAACATTTAAGTCTGAAGTCTGAGTCCCAAATGTGTTTTCAACTCTGACTACAGAGAAAACATTTAAATATAACAGATTTTCTGCTCATTTTAGTGCACAAGTTCTATTTAGTTGCTGAGGTTGACATATTGGAAAATATAAAACATAAAATATAAAATACCATAAGTACAACATTGTTTTTCCCTCCTTTGCACTCAAGAAGGTTGAATTGAAGATAAGGCAGATAAGAGGCTGAATGTAACCTGGGGTTGCTGATAGCACTGTATGAATAACGCCTTTGGAAAGAAGAAGCCATTTTAGAAGCCGTTGTTCTAAACCATTTCCACTGGTATAATTATTCCCTTATCAAGGTTGCCCACTTTGGTTGAGGTGACTGGAGTGAGAATTTCAATTTTGCATGCACAAGTGAATATCCACTGTTACGCTGCCTAAAACACTAATGCAGGGGTTGCTCAATCCTGGTTCTGGAGGTCCACCACCCTGGAGAGTTCAGATCCCACATAAATGACTCTCACATACAAACCCCCCGCAAAGCTGGATCAGGTGTGTTATAAGGGTTGAAGCAGAGTTGAATAACTTCTTAATGTGTGTTTTCTCTTAACTTTATTCTTAAGAAAAGTTATGAGAAATTGTTCTTTTTCGAACATCTTAAGAATGATCTTATTTTCTTTTCTTAACTATTTTCTTAAGAATAATTCTAAGAACAAGTGGAATTCTTGAAAATATTATATTCTTAAATGTTTTCTTAACCTTACGACAGACTCACACTCGTCTCAGGATGTTAAAGTTGACGAGGTCTAAACATCTACATGTATCAAACTCAGACGCTCCCTAAGCTGCTCCTCATTCGGGTGAATCTCCCTGCTATAACAGCCTCTTCTGGGAGGTTTTTCACTTCCATTCAGCCACAAGAGGATGTGCGAGCTCAGGCACTGGTATTGTGGTACAAGGCCTGGCTCACACTTTTTGTTCCAATTCATTCCAAAGGTGTTGGATGGAGCTGAGGTCAGTGATCTGTGCAGGACAATCAAGTTTTATCACAGCCAAACTCAACAAACCATGGAGCTGCTTTGTGCACAGGGGCTCAGTCATGCTGGAACAGGAGCCGCCACAAAGCTGGAAACAATAAACTTTGTGTGCTGTAGCATTAATATCACCCTTCACTGGAACTAAGGGGACCCTGAGAAACAGCCCAGCCCATCATCCCTCCTCCACCAAACTTTACTGCTGGCACTATGGATTCCAGTAGGTAGCGTTCTCCTGGCATCCACTGAACCCAGATTCATCCATCAGACAAACAGACTGTGATATGTGATTCATCAATCCAGAGAACACGTTTCCACTGCTCCAGAGTCCAGTGGTGGCGCTTTACACCACTCCAGCCGACGCTTGGCATTGCGCATAGTGATCTTTGGCTTGTGTGCAGCTGCTCGGCCACGGAAACCCATTTCCACTTAAAAATAAAAGCGCTTACAGTGAACCGATCGAAAATCTAGCAGGTCAAAAATTTGATTTGTTGGAAGAGAGGCATTCTATGATGCTGCTGCATCTTACATCACTGAGCTCTTCTGTATGATCCACTCTACTGCCAGTCTTGTATACACAGAATAGCTGCACCTGTTTACGCACCTGATAGCAGTGGGTGACGGTGAAATAACCGAACCCACTAATCAAAAGGGGTGTCCACACACTTTTAGCCTGGGGTTTATATACAAACATTTAACAAACAAAAAAATCTTTAACATGTTTATTTGGTTGTTCCAGTCATCAGTAGACATATTTCCTCACACTGAAATCCACACAGAAAAAAAAACAATGTGAAAACATTCATTATTGATGTAAAGTGAGCAAAAGACAGCTGCTTTCTTTATACTTTAGCTTAGACAAATTAACACACTATACCTGTGTTTACGATGGTAAATCTGTTACTACATCAGTTAAAACAGACAGAAAAACCTGTAATGCTGCTAATAAGAATTCTAAAAACCTCAAACAAACATTATCTTTACATTCATCAGAAGCAGCCTCATGCTCAAAGCAAAGACTAGGTGAGGGATGATGCGCATGGTGGAGAGAATTATGCATAAACCTTTGGATGGGCTGACGTTCCACATGCATCTCTCAGCTCACCCTACAGGGGGCGCTCTGAAAAGGCAGTGAAGCTCTTCACTCGTGCAAAAAACAAAGGGGTGTACATTTTATCCAAGTCAAATGCAGTGATGACAGTTTCTCCAGTTGATCTGGAAGAGTGGAAAAGAAAAACAAGGGAACATGAGTCCAAGATTTTAGTCAATTATTCAAATTCAATTATTCACATTATTTTGTTGAGTTCAAGATTGTAGTCAATTATTCAAATTCAGTTATTCCCATTATGGTTTTGAGTCCAAGATTTTAGTCAATTATTCAAATTCAATTATTCCCATTATTTTGTTGAGTTCAAGATTGTAGTCAATTATTCAAATTCAGTTATTCCCATTATGGTTCTGAGTCCAATATTTTAGTCAATTATTCACATTATTGTTTTGAGTCCAAGATGCAGTCAGTTATTCTAATTCAATTATTCACATTACTTTGTTTCCAAGATTGTAGTCAATTATTCAAATTATTCACATTACTGCTTTGAGTCTAAGATGCAGTCAATTATTCAAATTAAGTTATTCACATTATTTTGTCGAGTCCAAGATTGTAGTCAATTATTCAAATTCAATTATTCACATTTGTGAGCTGTAACTACTTGGTGTGAGTGATATTCAGCATTTCCCCACTGCCCAAGTAACCTGCCCAGCATCATGTGAGCTGCCATGTTAAGTTCTTGTGTTTATGGTGATTGTAGTCCATCAGGTAATACGAACAATAGAGAACAAATCTAAATGTTTGTAAACAAAGGGCCTTACAATGTAAAAAAACTCCCAAAAACTGTTTATATTGGGGCTGGAATGTCGTATGCAAAGCCAGCTACAATTTAAGATTTTACTGTGTGCCTCCCGAAAGAAAGTCCTTGTAAACACATCTCTGGATCTGAAAGCTAAGGCAACCCTGCTGCCTTTCCCATCTTTAGCCTACATATCATCTTTACGCTGATTTCAGAATATAAAAACTAAAAAACGTATATTAAATAACACTTAACAACCTTGCCTTTAGGCAATAAACAAGTTAGCTTGCCAATTAGAAATTTATGACTCCAATCATACATGCATTACTGTTGGTGTGGGTTTCTCTGCGCTCAAACACTAATAGCGCCCCCTTGTGAGGAACCTGAATTATTAGACAAAATTTTCTGTACATTTCACAAAAAGACCATCATAAAACACAAACCTTTCACATGCTGTTTGTTTTTTTACCCAGTTAAATGCCATTTTTTTATATGTTTAAGCATTTTATGTAACTTCTGAGTGCTAAAAAAAATTTTGTGCTACAACACTTGCAACTTTAATAGCATCAGCACTACATGCTCAATTTTTTTATGTACAGCCCTGAAACAATATAAAAGCAGACATAAAGGTTGAGATATAAGAAAATATTAACTGTATTCTAGGTGCATAAAATCTAAGATGAAGTCTTTAATACCAGTTTTAATGTGAAGACAATTAGCACAATGAGGGAATCTAGGGAAATAGCCTATGTATTGACCAGGGTATATTTTCGTTTGTCCATCTGAATTTACATGGCCAAATCGTAAGGCAAATTACTCAGTAACTGCATGAAATAATTTTTATTTTATTTATTTTTTGTAAAAGTTCCCCTCAAATTAACAGAACATGTGTTTTATGATCACACATATTGCTATATGCTTACAGTTCACTGCTGAAAGCCAAAAATCTTAGACGCTCTTTGTATTTTTTTATAAAAATAATTTTTACAGAGCAGATCACTGAAGAGACGCCATCTGTTTATAGTTTATAGCCCAGATTTGTGGAAAAATGGGTCGACTTTCAGTAGAAAAAAAAATGGTGAGTTCAGCTTCTTTTATTATAAGGGTTTAAAATTACATCACCCATCTATTTGACTGGAAAGAAGACAGTTACAGCTCTCATATGACCCCCACCTTTAGAATGTAGCTTATATGAATATTATGAAGAATATGATGAAGTGTGTTTTGGAACCACCGGTGGTTCCAAGGAGTTGAAAAGGTTATTTTCAATGTACTAACCGCACATAAATACATCAGTCACAGTGCATTCAGTGGTACTAGAGTGTAGCATATTTAACACTTTGGAGACAAAAATATTAAAATGAAAGACTTTAAGACTAAAATCAGACTTCAAGACTTTAAGGACCTCTGGATACCGGCTACTACTCACAGAGATAAGCACAATGTGCTTAACACTGAGTAAATGACCTTTATGTTAAGTTACTGCCATCTTCTGGTGGTGATGAATCAAAAGGTTAATGCCTTTCAGGTTGTAGCTAATAAATTTACCTGTAGGTGATGTGACAAGAGTGGTGGATCCACACCAGCTTGTTGAAGCGCTGGCGACCCCCAGAGGACAGCTGCAGCCCCACATGGAAGGTGCGGTCAGAGTCGGGGGCTGGGTTCCGCCTGCAGAACCGGCTTCTCTGGTATTCGGGCACCTTCTGCCCACAGAGGAGAAATACATGCCGTTTACCACTAAGTTAACTTGAAATGCAAGAGAAAACTGTGATAAACAAGCCAGTGACTCGATATCTTGGCAACATTAAAATAAATAAGAACAGAATAATAAAAATGAATAACTAAAAACGTACCAAAATCACTTTAAAACTTAACTAAAATCAAGTAAAACAACTGCAGTCTGTTATGAGAGCCGAATTTGTGTGTACTGTTTTGTTGTCCTGTCTAGTTAGCGTCATATATATTTGTCATATACACCGATCAGGCATAACATTATGACCACCTCCTTGTTTCTATGCTCATTGTCCATTTTATCAGCTCCACTTACTATATAGGTGCACTTTGTAGTTCTACAGTTACAGACTGTAGTCCATCTGTTTCTCTGCATACTTTGTTAGCCCCCTTTTCCCCCGTGGACGTCTAGTTCCTATCACCACCACTGTGAACAATTCTGACTTACGTTTTTCTATAAAGGAGAAATTCACACCAAACCACTCTGAATGACTTTGTTTACATCTTAACCGTTTAATCATGGAAAAATTTTCATGGGTGGAATTTCCCTCTTGAGTTCGGTTAAGGGTGAGTCAGTGTTGAGTCACAAGTCTGTCAACTAGTGATCTGGGTCAATCCAAAGTTGAGAGCTCCATCACTCCAGAGAACGCAGTACCACTGCGCCACAGCCCAACGCTGGGGGGTTTTATATCCCTCTAGCCTGTGCTTGGCATGGGGACCATAGGCTCATGTGCAGCTACTCCAGAGCTTCCCATTCTATTGGTCAAAGCTTTTATATGGAGATTATACAAGCTGTATGTGCGCAACTGAACACCTGGACATACAGGGTATTTGGCAGTAAGTTAAATGTAGATTTTATATACATATTGTCCTGCTACATCATCAAAATCAGAACCTCAAAATTCTGTACTTTGAACAAAACCCACCTCTTCTTTTCTCTTGGAGACGACAACATAAACTTTGGTTTGATTGTCCGTGTCCTGGGACAGCCGGTAGTGGCCAAACAGGATGGACTCCATCCTGTGCAAAACAGAGACAGTGTTTCAGAACTTGGAGTAAAACACAGCATGATTTCATTTGTTTTTCATTTTTGAGGATGATTCAACCAAATCATATAAATCACATTTGTTCCTGAACAGCAGACAGTTGAGACGAGAACCTGAATTATAGACAGATCTTTTAGTTAAGGAGCAAAACTCTTTATATCTTTACGAGCAAAGACGAATAGACATCCTGAGCTGCATTATACAGACAGAACACAATCATGTCGATTATAATACTAGAATATCAGCTGCGTTTACATAATGCAAAGCAGAACGTCTACCAGGACTGCTCTGTCATGTCCATGGAAAGGAGTGGTGTGAAATTTGTGACTAAACACTGTTGTGAATGATAAACTGGCAAGCACAACATTAATGTGAATGATGTTTTGTAGCTAGCTAATTATATCAAATTATTACTGAACATTGTCTTAAGTTTAAGCGAGGAAATTTAACCTTATATTGCAGAGCTCATGAACTGGCAGTGTGACAAACTACCTTCAGCATAAAAAGTCTGAAAAAAGGGATGTGTTAGTCTTGTGTGATGCTTTTGCATTACAGCTTTTGTAACAAAGCTATCATGATGTGCATTGCAAAATATATAGGTGTCAACCCGTTTGGTTTACCTCTATAAAGGGATATATGGCTGAATGAGGCTGGGGCATGGGAAATCAAGGCCAATTCCCATTTCTTATTTTTAGCCCTACCCCATGTTCTTGAGTGTCACCTTGCACCTTGGAACTGAGTTACAGGGTAGTGGTTGAAATCTTCCCTCTGAAACGGGACCCTCAAATAAAAAGAGCATCACTTCATTAACAGCTACCAGCGCTGCTCTGTAGGCGACCCTGCCAGTCTGCAGTGACAGCAGAGGAGGGTAAAGTTCAGCTCCTCACTGCTGGGCTTTAGTTACATTTAGGGCATCATATGCCTTCAAAGAGGGGGGCAATTATTTATTATCACCCTCCCCTAATTCTTCAGTGATATGAAGCTGAAGTCAGATATTCGCCAGCTTCTCGTTCAAATTTTCCCGTTCCACCTTAAATGGAGCAGCAGTTGCATTCTGGCGCTTCAGGCGTCAAAACTGCTGGACTATTTAGTGATTTTTTTATGCTTGTTATGACGAAAAGGACCATAACACTTTGAAACGACATGGATAATACAATGTTACTGTATTTTTCTTAATGGATTCATTTCTTTGGTCTCTTGTTCAGCCATCTTGCTGGTTTTTCTTTTTTTCTCATAACACTGTTTGGAGTCTCTGAAAAACCTCCGTTTGGACGGTCATGTAGCCCCAACACTTTGCCCTCCCCCTCTATCTAGTAAAAAAGTGGGACACTTTACCCCTAGAAATGGAGGGCTAAGGGCTAAGTGGTAGGGGTAAGGGGTGAAATGGGATTGGGCCCCAATCTACAGTTTTTCCACACGTTGGCCAGTTAACCTCCAGATTTGATTCTCACTTTCTGTTTTATTTTAAATCATCTGATCAGACTGCAGGTGGCTGGGAGGCACACAGGTACATTAGCAAGGAAATATTCCGGCCTACTCCTTCTGCTCTTTCCCTCAGTCTCTCTCTAACTACCATTCGTAAAGATCAAAACCAGATAAACTGCTGTTGTTGCTGATGATTTTAATGGTAACCATGTACTACACGGTTTCAGTGAAGTCATGCAGCTTGAAGGCTGTGATTATAAGGTTTCCTGCTTCTAGAGTTAGACACCTAAGAATTCAGTGAGTGATGAATCAATAATGTAACATGGTCAAAAGATTAGTCTGCATTATTTTGACCAAACTTATTTACTTTTGCTGCATTGCATGAAAAACCTTGATTCATAAAATCACTTGGATTGGTCAAGATGCTCACAGCACACAGTTAATCAAAAATATTAAACAATTATACTACACAGATCTACTTGTTGCCAGTAGTGGGTGGTATGGCCAAAAACGTATATCACAGTCTAATTAAAATGTGTGATTTTAGTATATGCAACAGTGTCTTATATATAAATATCTAATTAAAAAAATACATTTCTAAGCAAACCTATTTTTGGCTATTAAGAATGCTAATTATTATTCTGAGATTTCTTATAATAAAAATAATTTTCACCAACCGAAGTAAATCTGAGATCTTTCTGTTGTGCAAAACTGTAAAAACTGAACAATATATTGATAAACCTATGGCAATACTGATTTCTGGCACTAGCCCTGTGGGCCTGGCACAACGCTGCTAAATTTTGTGTCTCTTCATTTCTATTGGGCTGAAATTGGCTTCTTATTCGGCAGCTTTTTGTTCTAATTTTCTATTCCAACTTACATGGAGAGGTAATTACAGTCTGGCACCTGTATAGGCATATAAATGTTACTGCTGCACCATTTAAGGTAGAACGGGAAATTTGAATAAGAAGCTAACTTCAGCGCCATCAAATTTCTCAAGCATTTTGTCTCTAATGTCTCATAGACTCACCTCTCTGACCATCAGACACTGCTGGAATTTGGAAAATATCAGTCATTTATGCTTCAGTACCAGCTGGAACTAGTGAGACGGTACGAGAGGAAGGTAACAGACCGATTGCTGTGCATGTTATTCTAAGTCTAACCCCAAAATACTGTCCATGCCTTTACATCCACTGCCTCAAAAACAAAGTAGACTACTTCAAATGTAACAGACAAAACAGCGGGAGGTAATCAAGGAGCTGCTGTGTTTTCATTTAAAACATGACTGAAACCTCCCTAAGCTACTCAATTAAAGCTTATGTCAGCATGTTTCTCATTATCTGTGCTAAATGTAGGCATACCGATATAAACAGTTATGGAAAAACTCATACCTGCGAAAAATGTTTTAACCCGATAAACCGGTTTACCACCTACTACTATTTACTATTTTACTATTTGATATTTGAGCTCAGAACAGGTTTGCTAACTGGAGGATCCAAAGACAAACACCTCGAGTTCCTGCTACGCAGACGTGGAACAGTGGCCAGAGGCTCCTCAGGGGCGGTCAACATCATCACTTGACCATCAGGGAAGAAGCGGAGGTACCTGGACAACACACAAAGTTCAGACAAGAAAACAGTGAGAGCCTGTCATGTATCGGTCACTTGTAATGATTTTTTCCCGTTATCCAGGTCCTCAAGGGCCCTGCAGTGCAGATCTGAAGTGCTGGCCTATTGCAAACAAACTCATTAGCTACTTAAACCCTCTCTGAGTTGAAAATAGGTGCAGGAAAAAGGCTTAGAGCAGCAAGCCTACCTGTAGTACTCCACCTGGTGCCACTTCCTATAGAAGCCATCCAGAGACTCCTCGCCTTGGCGGATGTACGAAGTTTTGCTGATGTAAACACCTGCAAGGATCAGAGCAGAAAATGCATTAGCTCTAAGTTAAAAGGTTAAAATGTGTGTATATATATATATATATATATATATATATATATATATATATATATATATATATATATATATATATATATATATATATATATATTAAAAACACAAAGCACACGCAGTTTACCATCATAGCGCACACGTGGCCTCTCTAAAAACATCTCCCTCCAGGAGGTGAAGGGCAGAATTTTGGTGCAGTTCCGGCCCCAAACCCTCAAACAGGCAGCACGCCAAATCTCAGGGTCTCTGTGAGGACACATCAGAGTTAATACACATCAAACTTTACAGAGCAATGATCATGTTCATTAGTGCATAACTGGGGGAAAACAGTCTTGATATAAATTTTCTAAAACCAAAGAGCCACTTTGTCCTTTCAACAACATGCAAACCACCTTGGGAGCCACAACATTATGGCATTTTATTGAAGTAACATTTTCCCATCTTGTCTGTCTCAGTATGTGTTAATGTACTACAGGCTAAAAAATATAAACAAAAACAGACTCACTTTGCTCTGCTTTAAGCTTTAGCTCAGCTATAGTTGCTTTTCTCGCATCTCCAGCAGGAAACTTTTCCACAAAAGTAGAACAGTTTCTTGTAAAATGTCTCAACGTTCAATTTTTTACGAGGCTGAAGTCGCTTCTCATTCGCCAGTTTCTTGTTCGAATTTTCCTGTTCCACCTTTAGTGGTGTTTGAGGTGCAAGAATGCAACTGCTGCACCATTTAAGGTGGAACAGGGTAATTCAAACAAGAAGCTGACTTTTTAGTGTTTGTCAGTTTCTCGCTGCAGATTAAACGTATCAGGAAACCAGCTGAGCGCTTATAAATGCAAATAGCCTCCAAATGATCAATACTGGTCTTAATTCTTTCTCTTTGCCTTTTCGTTAGCTACTGGCTGGGTGAGACTGTTGTCTGTGTAGCAAAGTGACCAGCAGTCTGTGCTGATCTTCAAGGTTAAAGGGTGAATTAGCAGTTCTACATTAACTCCAGAGTTTAAGACCATTTATTGTTAAACTGTGTTGAACGATCAGCAGAGCTTTATTTTACTGCAAAGAAGGATTATTTTATTTTTACATAAGAACCTAATTCTGCTGTGGAGCCGCAATAGGGCAGTAAAAGAGCCGCATGTTGCCGACCCCTGATCTACACAGACGTAGAAGGTCTTACTTTATATATGGTGTGAGTGTGAACCATTAGATTACAACTCAGTCACGCTATTCAAATATCTGTCTTTTTTTTCTTTCAGCATTTTCATTTCAACTGGTAAAGCAGAAATATGATTATGAAATATGATGTTTGCCTTAAATGTGACACAAGTGGCACAAATCACAAATCTAGATCTGAGCTGCTTTCATATGTGGCCCTGCATTGGCTACATGTCTGATTTGGGGCCTTGCAACTTTGATGAGAATGGTCAGATACAAATTCATCACTTTTTTTTGGTTCCCCTGCTGTGCATGCACCGTAATTCGGCATGAACACTGCAGCAGCATTAATGTTAATGCTGCAAAAGCAATGCATCTGAATGATTTCTCCACTTTGTCTCCCTCTAAAAATGAACATCTGAGAGCCGCTCAGGGCTCAAATTATTTTTGTCACTAAGCTTGTGCTGCTCATTAGTTTGTTGAATCATGTGGTTCACTAATGCGCAGTTACTAAGCGCAGGTTTATTCACTCTAAAGACAGATACTAATCACATGGCCACATGGACGTGAACCGAGAAGTCAGAAAGATCGGATCTGAGCAAAAGAATCTGAATAGAGCAATACAGCTGTAGGAGAAAGACCACACCTGGAATTCCTCCTAAGCTATTACCTAATTAGACTCCATTGCCAGTTCTGTACACCTATCCTGTAACTACACTTAAATGGGAATTACACCGGTTTTAACATTTTCAGCTTAATTAAATCACTAAGATTTAGTTATTAAAATAATTAAGTGAATTATTTCTTTACAGTGGTGGTGACTGGAACACACATATATAGACATTTCTTTTATTTGCTATCCAAAACCACCTGTGAACCTGTGTATATGTACTGCTCATAATGATAAATGTGTTATAAATGCAAAATAATGTGCTTTTTTGGGGACTATATTACCTTACAACACCCTGCATGTACCTCTCCGCTATGAATGGATTTTAAATGATAATGCTGTAGACCAAAAACTTTCTTAAAACTATCAGCACTGTCTTAACAGCATCTCAGGCATCAGGCAACACAATTGGACATGGTAGCTTTCAAAGGCATTAAACATTTTAGACCAGGGGTCTTTAATTAAATTCAATAAGGTCCAGTTAGAGAAAATATCCTCAGGCAAAGGTCCGGAACATCATAATGTCTACATTACATCATGATTCAGTGCCATATACTGTTTACTGAAGTAGCCTAGTAGGTATATCAACATCTTAAACAGTCAACAATGAATGTCAAATCAAATAAAGTACAATTCAGTCATATTTCAACAAGATTTATTGTCAGTTTTCTCTTTTTAGATCACGACATGTGAAATAACTTCCCTCTGACTCACTTTCTTCTCCGACTGCTGTCTCTCGCCTCGTCCCTCCCGTGTGTGTGCGTCACTCGCTTGAGTCTCAGTGCTCATCGTAATTGGCTTATCATGTGTGATATTGACAACGCATGCGATTGGTCTGTGAGTCTCACAAGAAAATTTACGCTGATTAAAATATGACCACCCTGTCAAAATTAAAGAATTCTCCATAGTTTATCGGTTATAGGTCCAGGTCCGCATAGGGCAGCGTCTGGGTCCGGACTCATACCACAATCTGCCTATTAGTGACCTCTGTTTTAGGCGGTTTGGTTCCTATCACCACTACTACGAACAATTCTGACTCCAGGACAGAGCATTTCACATGAAACCACTCCGAAAGACTTTGTTTACCTCTTAATTAAATAATTATGCAAAAATTCTGAAAAATTGGTGCAGTTCCCCTTTAATGAAAATTGTATCAGTACCATAAAGGTGCACTTTATAGGTGTACAATTACTGACTGAAGCCCTTTCAAATAATATCTGGTCAGCTATGGTGTCCCTTTCCATTGATGGACGTGGTAGAGGACAGGTAAAAAACCTACAAGAGACCTACAACCTGCACCTATATGGTACTTGCATATATGCAGTGCCTGGTGTACAAGATAAGTGTATCTAATAAACTATGAATTAAGTGTATATAAACTCTGATTCGTTTTCTTTTCCTTTCATACAATTTGCCCTGCCGCTTATTTGAGCAGGGTGTTTGTGAACGTGGCTCTAAAGATCCCTACTCAAAAATCCAGGGCTACAGGCTTATACTACTTCTTGTAGCATTTTGTAGTTCTACAGTTACAGACTGTAGTCCATCTGTTTCTCTGATACTTTGTTAGCCCCCTTTTACCCTGTTCTTCAGTGGTCAGGACCCCCATGGACCCTCACAGAGCAGGTACTATTTGGGTGGTGGATCATTCTCAGCACTGCAGTAACACTGATGTGGTGGTGGTGTGTTAGTGTGTGCTGCGGTAGTACGAGTGGATCAGTCACAGCAGTGCTGCCTGATCGGTGTATATTGCCCTTTAATTTAATGAAGGTGTAAGTGCAACACTACACTGAGATGGTTCAGATTTCCAAACATCATGTAGTATGCCCGACAGCCCACCTTGCACAGATGTAGAAACCCCTGCAGACAAGGGAGAGCTGCTCTAGAGCGCGCATGTCCAAGTCACAGGACACCACCCAGCGGAAGATATACATCAGCACCTCCATTGGCAAAGCTGTGGGACACAAAGCACAAGGACCATATTTCATGAAACCTCAAAGAGGCTTTTAGGAATATCATAATTCCTCACATGCACCCTGGATCAAGGGTTTAATTCTGCACTGATTTAAATTTTGCTAATCTGAAAGCCATGATAAATTATAGGACTTATTTCTGCACAACCCACGTGATCTGAAAAAGTGCGAAATATGAAAGATGCATACTGTTACCTGAAATATGCACCTGAGATGTTTCCACCTCAGGCTCACAGATCTTCTGAGAGGAGTGCTCAACAGTCAGCTGCTGTTGGAAGTACGCAAGGAGATCATCTATCTCGTTTTCATTCTCCTCCAGGCTGGAGAGACAAAGAAAAACACAACAAAAGAAATCGCAAAAGCGCAAGAGAGAGAAAAAGACAATTAAATATTGACAATTTGTGAGGAAATCCTTTTATTTGCCGTTCAAAAGGAGGCGCGCAGTCAAAGCTACGGCCAATAAAACTCTAAAAAAGTCTTTGTAATATTTCATACACGTGTCTACTCCACAGTCATTACGTTAAGGAACAATCATCACCAAGTACGAAGAATGTACTTGTTTAAATGCACAAGTAAGACAATGTACTGTCCAGTGGACTTACTAGCTCCCGCCAACTCTATCTGGATCAGGAGATCTGTTGTAGTTGATCTTAAACTCAATGTCAGGCACAAGCTGCATTGCACTCTTATAGTACTTGACGGCTGCAACATCAAAAGATGCAGTTACATATCCAGGTCATATCCATTATTTTTTTTATTGTTCACTTTAAAGGCACCAGGTACCTTCGTAAACAGCTCCATTTTGTTCCTCCTCTACAGCTTTCAGAAACAGCTCTCGAGCCTGAAGCAGAGAGAATTCACAATGAGACTGTTTTATTCACAATCATTTTTATGAGTACTTTTGACAGTGAACAACATACTTGGAATTACCTTCATTCATTATAACAGCATTATTTTAACCCTCTACTGCATGCATTAGGAGAGATTTTTTTAAACGTTCACCTTTCTTGCATAAATGGACCTGATTATTAAATTAAATTAAAAAATAAATACATTTTTAAAAATAATACTGTGTGCAAGGGTTCTTCTGGGGTATGTTGCCTTGAGGCAACATTGTGCACCAATTAGAAGAAATGATATGATGCTGTGTGCTTGTGACTGGCTAAATTCATTCCACTGTCACACAATGTTGCTTCTATGCATATTTCCGCAAATTCCCATAACGACTATATTGAATGTTAAAAAGAAGTATAAAAGTGCCTAAAGAGACAGTATGACCAAATACATGCTTTTTATTAATTTACTCACCCTCTTTCCTCTACTGTTAACCTTGTCGTTTGTCTTTAAATATGTGTAATATTATTGTAACGTGAGGAAAATGTGTTTGTTGCCCCGAGGCAACACTGTGCAGTAGAGGGCAGATCAGGGTAATAAAGGTTAATTTGCTTTTAAATATATATTATACATAAAACACATTATACATAATATACATAAAAATTACATCATAATAATCTTTTCTGATCCTGTATAGTTAAGAGTTCAAAATCAGGGGTCCAAGAAGGTCTTGTCATGTTTTTTTGGACCCCGGTATTATTGTGATATGAACTCTCGATCTTTTACAGTAGTGAAAAATGCTTCACCCCATGGGAATCTCTTCTGAATCTTTTTTTAATGAAAATTTCTTGTTGTGTTCTTTTACGTATTGCCTATACTGAATATACAGGGTCAGAAAAGCTTATTATGATGCAATTTTTATGTATAATATGTCTTTTATGTATGGACATGTAGTGATGTACACTATATGGCCATGTATGTGGACACACCTCCTAAATATTTAGTTTAAGTGTTTCAGCCACACCCATTGTGCAGGTGTATAAAATCAAGCATATAGCCATGCAATCCACATAGACAAATACTGGCAGCAGAAAGGGTCGTACTAAAGAGGTCAGTGACACACTACTGCCCTGGTCAACTGTATGTTCTGTTATTGTGAAATGGAAGCATCTAGAAGCAACAACAGCTCAGCCACAAAGCAGCAGACAAACCCAAAGTGTGGAGCCGCCATGGCTTTCTTTGACCAAGCAGCTGCACACAAGCCAAGGATCACTATGTGCAATGCCAAGTGTCGGCTGGACCCTGGAGCGGTGGAGTGATGGACCAGGCTTCACTATCTATAAGTCTGATGGACGAGTCTGGGTTTGGGGGCTGCCAGGAAAACACTACTTATCAGAATGCACAGTGACAACAGTACAGTTTGGTGGAGGAGGGATGATGGGCTGGGCCTGTTTATCAGGGTTTGGGCCCCTTAGTTCCAGTGAAGTGTGATGTTAATGTTGGCTGAATTGTCTCTTTAGTTGCGGAAAGCATTTTTTAATGAGTCACTCCTGTTTTGCTTGTGTATTTTGTCTGTTATAACTCACATCTCAGAAAAACAAAACACAGTGATACATATCACAGGTCATGAAAACACCTAGCATAGTATATTTCCCACCCTGAAACATAACATTCAACGACACACTATGTGCAACAGCGTCAGTAATGCCCACCTTTTCCTCTCTGGCCAGCTCCTGTTTCTTTTTCAAATCAGCAGCCCTGGAGATGCCTTTCTTTGTACCAGAGCTGGGCAGCAGCTCAGACATCCACTGAGCCCTAAAAGCACTGAGCTCCAGCTGCAAAAGGATTGGACGGATTATTATTAATAATGAGAATCCCAAAACATGCAGTCCCTAAATTAGGAAGAACATTTCTGCATAATTAAATGCATAAAATGTAAACAGGTCATGCAGATTTGACTGATGTAGAAATTCCTTTTAGAGAAAATTATGAAGTCTGAAATGTTCACAGTGCTGTTGATGGGAACCAGACATCTGAAAAACTTAATGTCTCTAAAACCTCCTTCACAGAAAATTACATGGAATAGTTATTAACATATCGACTGATGCCTGACATGGTTTTTAAATACCTTTGAAATAAGGATTGGGCAGATTTAACCTGCATTTAACCTTCCTTAACATTACATATAAAAACTCAGAAGACGTGTAGGCTTTTTATTTTGGATACATATATATATATATATATATATATATATATATGTGTGTATATATATATCCACATACACATATACATATATATATATATATATATATATACACATATACATATATATACATATATATATATATATATATATATATATATATATATACACATACATGCATACATACATATACATATATATATACACATACATGCATACATACATATACATATATATATATATTTTTTTTTAATAAAATGGCTATATTTTGACACATTGTTTTATGATAATTTTGAGATAAGGTTTTGGCTTAAGACATATTTTAATTCATTTAGTTTAATTCATTCATGGCAGAGAGGTACATGAAGGGTGTGGTGGGGCAAAATAGTCCCCAAAGAAAACTATTTTTTCATATTTTCCACTATTTTACCGTCAACATTCCACATAAAACTCAAAAGACTCGTGTAGGTTCACTGGTGGTTTTGGATAGTAAATAAAATGTCTGTATTTGTATTGTAGTCATGGTGACTCCTGGTTCCTATCACCACCACTGTAAAGAAATGCAAGTCTCTACAATCATCCATTTCACACCAAACCACTCTGAAAGACTCTTTACATCTCCAACACTGAATTATGCAGAAATTTTAGAAAAACTGTGGACTTCCCATTTAAGATAGAGCATGACTGATGTCTGATCACTGACCTGCAGATTAGAGTCTTCAGAATTTTCATCCTCTTCCTCTTCAACAGATCCAGTACCAGCATTCTTGCTGCCTTCAGCCTGTTGGAGGGAAAAAAGTTAACCATTGCTGATAAGACCAAATGCATGGTTTAGCAGCACACAATCTGCATAGTGTTGTAGGCCCATCGAGAAGCAGGTGTACAAATACTGACAAAACCTACTGTAAATATATAGTTTCAGTAGTTAAACATTCACCAAACACTGGGTGAGTGATTTTGCAAGCCTGAAGAGAGGAAAAAAAAAGCACCTCCCTAAAGGAGAACCCCACCGATTTTTCAAAAAATTCTACCTCATTAAATAGATAAAATGTAAACAAAGTCATTTAGAGTGGTTTCATGTGAAATTTACGTCTCCAAATTCCCTTTGGGGGTTAATAAAGTGTTATCTTATGGAGAACTGTTCACACTGGTGGGGAACAGAACCAGACAGCCACCTCTAAAAGCTCCCTCACAGAACTTTTTTTTTGTTTTTTTTTACAGAAAACGGTTAGATAGACACTGCCTCATGCCTGACACATCGCCTTATGATATTTTCATGATAAACTTTTGCCTTAAAACACATTTTAATCCATTTAGTTTAATCCATTCCTGACATAAAAGGTGTTGAAAGGCAAAACAGTCCTCCAAGAAAACCTTTTTTTCAGATTTTCCACTATTTTACCATCAACTTTCCATGTAAAAGCTCAGAAAGCTTCACTGATGGTTTTGGATAGTAAATAAAATGGCTATATTTGTGCTGTAGACATACCGGCCCCTGGTTTCCATCACCACCACTGTAAAGAAAGCTGAACCATTTCACACCAAACCACTCCGAATCACTCTGTTTACATCTCAAGGACTGGGCAATTGAGAAATTTGGGAAATACTGGATTTGGAGCATTACAAACTGAGTTGTACAGTAATGTTACTCCTATTGCACTCGCCTAGCAATTTGCTGTGCAATGTTAACAGCAATGTTTTGGACGCCCGACCCTGATCTACTTCTGCTATTAGTGACACACTGCCAAACCTAAAATTAGCCAGTTAGGTGAGCACGTCTATGGAGCTATCAGCCAGCCAGCTGCCTCTTCAACAAGATACCAATAAATATAGTTATATTTGCAGGTTGGAGTTTATTCTGCAGTATCTGCCTGATTAACTGCAGGCTGGATTTCTTTACAAGCAAGTTCAGCACTTAAGCTAACGTTAGCTACAGCAGGCTAACTGGACACGTCATACCAAACAGCGACACGAAGCTGAAGAATTTTCCCGTTCCACCTTAAATGGCGCAGCAGACGCATTCTCGTTCGAATTTACCGTCCCACCTTAAATGGGGCAGGCGCCAAAATGCAACTGCTGTAGCTTCCATTTAAGGTGGAACGGGGAAATGTCAATAGGAAGCAACTTCAGCCTCGTAATAACGACGACGTTTAGCACAACACCGCAGGGTTAGCCTATTAGCATGCTAACTGGCTAACACAAGCTACAGACGCTACTGCGTGTTTACCATGGTCGGCGTGTATGCGAGCTCTGCTTCTGACGCCCGAAACGCTTATTCTCGACGTCGTTTACAGATCACGGTCGGAGAAACGGACCACACAGCGGGCGAATTTACGCGCTCGCCACACGGCAGCCATCCCGGAGAGAGCGGAGCGGGGTCGGAGTCTGAAGCAGGTCGCCCGCTTTAGGTCCGAGCGGAGCGGAGCGAAACCTTACACCCCTCAACGGCTCGCTTTCAGTTTCAAAATAAAAGTTCAGCGTAGAGGCCCATGAAAGTTCATGACATTGCGTTCCCTCGCAAATGTTTTGCGTTCCCTCGCAAAATATATGCTCGCCAGACAGCAAGCAAAAGTAGGACCGGAGATGCCCAAAGACACTGCCCACATTAGAGCTTTGCTTTAAGCATATTTAACGTTAAAAGCTGTTTTCCCAGTTTGGCCAGTCTGTGCTGAGTTTATTCAGCAGTTGTTCTCTGCAGTGTCTATGAATGTAGCTTTTACTGTACGAGGACCCTCGACCTCAGTCTCAGTTTGAGTCACTAATCATGTTTGATTTTGAGAAGCGACACCATGTCTTTATATTTCAATCCAAGATCAACGTAAAATTCAATGAGCTGCTCCGTCTCTGAGCTTAAGCAAAGCACAGCTTTTGCAAGTGAATGCAAACTGTTGCATCGTAATGCGAAACATTTGCGAGGGAACTCAAAACATTTGCGAGGGCATGCAATGTCATTAACTTTTTTTTTTTTTTTGACCACGGCCCCTTAGAGGCTCTGTATTTTTCCCGCCAGATAGAGGAAAAACGGCCTACTTTTTCCCTCCTTCTCTGTTTCTGTCAGGATTACTTCACAAAAATTGGCTTAGCTCGTAGCTCTATATAAATACTAATCCACTGATAGATAATCAATATAAATACTAATAGTGATACAATATAAATACAATATAAATACTACTCAGGTTATAGATCTTATCTTATTGCAGATTTCTGTATATTTCTGTTTGTATATATAGATATGTAGATAGTTTTTTTTGTATTTCTTGATCTTTTTATATTGTATCATCCTTATTATTATTACTGTTCTGTGTTGTGTGACTGATACTGTCTGCTAAATTTCCTTCGGGATCAATAAAGTATCTATCTATCTATCTATCTATCTATCATCTATCTATCTATCTATCTAATCTTTCAAAAGTACTGACTTAGTATTTAAAATTAATTTTAACTTATTTTCTTGCAATATTGTCTTAGTATCTGAACATAACGACGTGCTTTGTCCAGATATTTACATCGAAATGACTTTTTTCCCAAAATGATGACATTTTCTTGAAGTACTGATTTTTGATCAGTAATGATTTATAAAACAATTACTCGTTCTAACAAAAAATGACTTAATATCTTGAAATACTGACCTGTTTTTCTCTAAATATTGACTTAATATCCCCCCAAAAAATGTTTATTCTCTCAATATTTTAGGATACTGTATTGAGATAAATATTACATTTCAAGAAAGTGATTATTTTAAATAATTATTACTAAACACTAGATTTTTACTAGATTATTACTAGATAAGTCATTATTTTGCCATTGTTATTGTTTTGACAGTCAATGTTTTGACATAGTCAGACTGTATGTTGATTGAAAATAAGTTATTACTTTTGACTTAAGTCATTATAACGAGATGCAAAATTTTGAGATACTGCTGCCAGAAACTTCCATAGTATTGAGTACAGCCCATACACACAGAACCTTGCAGCTAAAAAAACAAAACAAAACAAGAAACAAAACACAGAATCTATTCAAAGTCTCTGTTGGTTCCTGGTGGTGTCCAGTAGTCAGTAATCCAGTCCAGTAGACAGTATTGTGTGTTTTCCTGTGGTTGATATCACAGTGTAAAGGACTCTAATGGCTTAACAGGTGTTTTGGGACTGATCCCAGATGCATTTGATGGTTTCCTGAAGGGATATAAAGATGTCCTATAGGAAAATAGTGGTATCAAATGGTAAACCTTAAGCCAATTCCCACTAAAAAAACCCACCAGGTCTTAATCCTAATAGTTCTAATGGTCTTTTTTCAGCAGGACTGTTGGAGTAAATGAATAAAATGCAACGAAACACAAAATAATAAATGAAATGAACTGGTTGTTTTTTGCCTGCCTGCATGGTTTAATCCAGCCAAAGTAAACATGGTTTCTTCACAGTTTACAGCTGGTTTGTCGTGCAGGAACGGAAGAGCCGGGCCAGAGTCTGACCCAAAACCATCTGTGTTAAATGATTAACAAAAGACTCTGTCGTTCTGAAAAAAAGAGGTTCAAAATTCATTCTGTATACACATCTTAGATCACTATGAGACTGAATGAGAAGTTCATTCAGAATCACTGTGTTATTATGAAGAGAACATTTAAATGAATTTGTTCATGAATTTAGCTGTCTGGCATTATACATAACCATACAGAAATCTAGGATATGGACATACGCCGAACAGGCATAACATTATGACCACCTCCTTGTTTCTACGCTCATTGTCCATTTTATCAGCTCCACTTACTATATAGGTGCACTTTGTAGTTCTACAGTTACAGACTGTAGTCCATCTGTTTCTCTGATACTTTGTTAGCCCCCTTTTACCCTGTTCTTCAGTGGTCAGAACCCCCATGGACCCTCACAGAGCAGATACTATTTGGGTGGTGGATCATTCTCAGCACTGCAATAACACTGATGTGGTGGTGGTGTGTTAGTGTGTGTTGCGCTGGTCTGAGTGGATCAGACACAGCCGTGCTGCTTAAGTTTTTAAACACCTCAGTGTCACTGCTGGACTGAGAATAGTCCACCAACCAAAAACATCCAGCCAACAGTGTCCTGTGGGCAGCGTCCTGTGACCACTGATGAAGGACTAGAGGATGACCAACACAAACTGTGCAGCAGCAGATGAGCTATCGTCTCTGACTTTACATCTACAAGGTGGACTGACAAGGTAGGAGTGTCTAATAGAGTGGACAGTGAGTGGACACAGTGTTTAAAAACTCCAGCAGCACTGCTGTGTCTGATCCACTCAGACCAGCGCAACACACACTAACACACCACCACCACGTCAGTGTTACTGCAGTGCTGAGAATGACCCACCACCCAAATAGTACCTGCTCTGTGAGGGTCCATGGGGGTCCTGACCACTGAAGAACAGGGTAAAAGGGGGCTAACAAAGTATGCAGAGAAACAGATGGACTACAGTCTGTAACTGTAGAACTACAAAGTGCACCTATATAGTAAGTGGAGCTGATAAAATGGACAATGAGCGTAAAACAAGGAGGTGGTCATAATGTTATGCCTGATCAGTGTATAAATGCACTAAATGGTCAGGCATATATTTCAAAATATATGTACATAAATGTAGTGTACATTTATAAGTAGCAAATATTGCACATATAAGCATGATATATAAATCACACATACATGTCTGATTGGTGAACACATCTATGGATCATCCATATACTGTATATACGGTATGTCTGATACAAATACTGAAAGAGTTTTTTTAAAATCAAAAAATCTAAATGAATCAGCAGCATAAATTCAACATAAAACTTTAGATTATATTATGTGAAACAAGCATTTTTACATAATGTTTTCGATCATATAATGTTTAATATATGTGTTGCACATGTATGTTGGCACATGTTGATAAATGGCTGAACTGTATATGTCCTAAATTTGAAAACAGCCAATTTCAAATAGGCTTATATCACTTATTTGTCTATATGTGACAAACATAAGTTGGATATACAGGAAGGTTATACATGCTAATATGTCATATATTTACAAACAATGTAAAGGACAAAAGGTATTTTCAAATGATGTCAAAAACTGAAAAAGGACAAAACTGGAGATAGGAGGTTTAGTTCTGGCGAGCAGTGATATGTTGTGTAAGTATAATCCATATATTGGCTTATATCAGATTTCTGTATTGGTGGTGTCTGAGGCATTTAATTTCCAAAAATACTTCTCAGATTAATATCTAGTTTAAAGTAGAGATGCATCACAAGCTACATTCACATTACAAGCCTCATTTCTCAAATCTGATTTTTTGCTCAGATCTGATCTCTCTGACAGGATGGTTCACACTCGTTTAGGTAAGTGATTCAAATCTGTCATTAATGTGACGTACCGGCGTCCTGAAATGACCCTCATGAGCTCATCCTACTCAGTAACGTCACGTGAATGAATCACGTTCATCATCAGCACAAACTAACGAGCAGAACGAGCTTCGCTGAGAAGATAATTAACTCTGATCAGCTCTCAGCTTCATTATTAGAGCGAGACGAAGGAGAAAAAGGTGAGATGAGCTGCTTTTCCACCGTTTACAGGCTTTAACTTCTGTTCGGTGCTGCTGCCATGGTAACGCTGAATGATGGAGCACGCGCAGTAGAAAAAAAGCACATGAATTCCGATCTGAGCATCACATTAAGGTCACATGGCCACGAATCGGATACGTATCCGATCTAGGACCACATATGAAAGTGGCTCAGGTCGGATTTGAAAAGATCAGATTTGTCCACACAGCCCTGAAAACATCAGATCTGAGTCACATTAGGGCAAAAAATCGGATTTGTGCCACTTCAACCTGGTAATGTGAACGCAGCTTTATATGAATTTTTATGGCAATATTTTTCAACCTTTTCAAAAACAGGAACAAAATCATTTTCAGTTGATTTAGTGAAGCAGGTCTAATATAACACAGAAGAACGTTATTAACTTCCTCTTTTAGTTTTTTTACAAGTAGTTTGTCACCCCACTAAAAACACTGGGTCTAACCTTCGCTCCCCCCATTGTACAGAGGCCCTAATGTGACAGGCTGATTATTTTAAAATAGCTTTAGGATGTAGCATTTGTGGCCTCAACATAGAAATTTGGGCCTCAGTATAGTAATTTGTGGCTTCAATATAGTAATTTGTGGCTTCAATATAGTAATTTGTGGCTTCAATATAGTAATTTGTGGCCTCAATATAGTAATTTGTGGCCTCAACATAGAAATTTGGGCCTCAGTATAGTAATTTGTGGCTTCAATATAGTAATTTGTGGCCTCAATATAGTAATTTGTGGCTTCAATATAGTAATTTGTGGCCTCAACATAGTAAATTTTGGCCTCATTATAGTAATTTGTGACCTTAATAATGTAATTTGTTGCCTCATTATAGTAATTTGTGGCCTCAATAATGTAATTTGTGGCCTCATTATAGTAAGTTGTGGCCTCCGTATAGTAAATTGTGGCTTCAATATAGTCATTTGTGGCCTCAGCATAGTAAATTTTGGCCTAATTATAGTAATTTGTTGCTTCAGTATAGTTAAATGTGGCTTCAATATAGCAATTTGTGGCCTCAATATAATAGTTTGTGGGCTCAATATAGTAATTCGTGGCCTCCGTACAGTAAATAGTGGCTTCAATATAGTAATTTGTTGCCTCAATAATGTCATTTGTGGCTTCAATATAGTAATTTGTGGCCTCAATATAGTAATCCGTGGCCTCAATATAGTAATTCGTGGCCACACCTTATTAAAATATAATCACCATGTCACCGTAGGGTCTCTGTCCCACTCTGAATGTTCTGGCTACGCCCCCGTTTGAATATTATTCCCTTTCGAAACTCCCGCGCCACCGAATCTCAGGATCCAGCGCCGCAGTTTCCTCACCCCGTGGAGTCCGATTGGAAGGGAGGAGGCGGCCGGAGTGGAGCGGAGCGGATCCCCTCGGGTCTGAGGGCGGTAATTTATTTACCTCAGCTTTTGCTTCCAGATTACTTGCGATGTTAGCCTGAAATTACAACGTGGACGCCGGTTTCCTTCGTGATGAACGCGAATAAACCGTTTCGTATTGATCTGCGGGACTGACGTGTGTCACCGGCTGAGAGTGAATCATCTTTAGCCTGGCTAACGTTAACGCTACAGCGGGGATGCGTCGCCACTGAACCGGAGGCCTAAAACTACATTTTGTTATTAACCGTTTGACTCTCAACACATCAACTTTCTCCCGCACGATGGAGGAAATCCTACGGAAGCTCCAGAAAGAAGCCTCCGGGAACAAATACAAAGCTATTCGGGATGCCTGCACCTCAGCTTGTGGTAAGTCTCGGGCTGAGTCTCAAATTGCTCCCTACACCCTTATGTCCCTATGTAGTGCACTATGTAGGTCATGAAAAAATAGCTTCTACATCGAAACAGTGCGTTATTTGTCTAATAGGAAGCCATTTGCATTCAGCCAAAGCTGCACGACTCCCTGACTAAAATTTAGTGCGCTATTTCGGGGTAGAAGCTGTAATCCCCTAAGTGCACTACATAGGGAGTAGGGAGTAGGGAGCCATTTGAGATTGAGGCACGGTCTTATTTTCATTCCTACACCTGTCAACAGCTCCGTCTTCTTCTTCAGGCTCCACAGGGCGCTGCTGTACAGCTTTATTTACATAATTTTTTAGTCGTTTATGTCGTTGTTTTTCACAGATGTTCACTCAGTGCGACTCTAAACTACATTTTATGTTTAAAATTAAAACTTTTTGGTCAGAATTGGACGCCGGTCGGTGGCGAATGAGCAAAACAAAACATGCTTGCATTGGTTTTGTTCCCAAAATGCATCAAACCTCATCGTTACACTCTTAAAAAGATGCTTCTTCAAGGATTCATTAGTAAAGGGAATGGTTCTAATTAGAACCATGAGTTCTAATTAGAACCATTCATGTTTGGATGGTTCTTTGCATAGTGAAGTGTTTCTTCACATGGATGGAGAATGTATTGTATATGGTTCTAGATTGAGCCTATATGGAACTATATACAACTCATTTGCCATCAGTCTGAAGAACCATTTCACCATGCAAGGAACCATTTAAGCATGAATGGTTCTAATTAGAACAGTTCCCTTTACTAAAGAATTCTTGAAGAACCATGTTTATTAAGAGAGTAGTGCAGTAGTACCGTACTTAAAAAAGATGGTTCTTCAAGGGTTCTTTGGTGAAGAAAATGGTTCTGTATAGAACCGTGAACCCTCTAAGAACCCTTTGCATTTTTAAATGGTTCTTTGCATGGTGAAGAGGTTCTTCAGATGGATGGAGAACGTATTGTATATGGTTCTATGAAGAGCATACGTAGAACCATAATCAGCACATTTGCCATCAGTCTGAAGAACAGAACTATGCAAAGAACCATTTAAGCATGAATGGTTCTGATTAGAACTCATGGTTCTAATTAGAACCATTCCCTTTACTATTGAACCTTTGAAGAAGCATCTTTTTAAGAGTGCAGTGCAGTAGTACCGATCAACCATACACACTTAAAAAAGATGGTTCTTCAAAGGTTCTTTAGTAAAGAAAATGGTTCTGTATACAACCATGAACACTCAAAGAATCCTTTGCATGATTAAATGTTTTTTTTGCATCGTGAAAGGGTTCTTCAGATTGATGGAAAATTAGTTACTTATGGTTCTGTAAAGAACATTTTTGGAAAGTGTTCTGTATAGCGCCAAAAAAAAGTTCTTCTATTGTAACAATATCAAGCTTGTAACAATAGAAGAACCCTTTTTGGTGCTATATAGAACCCCTTTAAAAAGGTTCTATATAGAACCATCTACGGCACATACTCCATCATTGTGAAGAACCCTTTCATGATGCAAAGGATTCTTTGAGTGTTAATGGTTCTATACAGAACCATTTTCTTTACTAAAGAACCCTTAAAGAACCATCTTTTATTAGTATTCATACGTAGTTCTACAGTTACAGACTGTAGTCCATCTGTTTCTCTGCATACTTTGTTAGCCCCCTTTTACCCTGTTCTTCAGTGGTCAGGACCCCCATTGACCCTCACAGAGCAGGTACTATTTGGGTGGTGGATCATTCTCAGCGCTGCAGTAACACTGACGTGGTGGTGGTGTGTTAGTGTGTGTTGCGCTGGTTTGAGTGGATCAGTCACAGCAGTGCTGCTGGAGTTTTTAAACACTGTGTCCACTCACTGTCCACTCTATTAGACACTCCTACCTTGTCGGTCCACCTTGTAGATGTAAAGTCAGAGACGATAGCTCATCTGCTGCTGCACAGTTTGTGTTGGTCATCCTCTAGTCCTTCATCAGTGGTCACAGGACGCTGCCCACAGGACACTGTTGGCTGGATATTTTTGGTTGGTGGACTATTCTCAGTCCAGCAGCAACACTGAGGTCTTTAAAAACTACAGCAGCACTGCTGTGTCTGATCCACTCAGACCAGCGCAACACACACTAACACACCACCACCACGTCAGTGTTACTGCAGTGCTGAGAATGATCCACCACCCAAATAGTACCTGCTCTGTGAGGGTCCATGGGGGTCCTGACCACTGAAGAAAAGGGTAAAAGGGGGGCTAACAAAGTATCAGAGAAACAGATGGACTACAGTCTGTAACTGTAGAACTACAAAGTGCACCTATATAGTAAGTGGAGCTGATAAAGTGGACAATGAGCGTAGAAACAAGGAGGTGGTTTTAATAAAGTGGCCGGTCAGTGTTTTGCCACTATTATAAGTTATTTTTCTTGAGATTTCCCCCAGAATAGCCCTGTCTAGCAGTCTAAATCTGAAAAATCTTCCTCAGATAAATGTGTTAGCGCTTATATTTTTAATATAACAAGAAAAAATAACACATGGAAAAAATCCCACTGACTGAAGATCCACAGGAAAGTATGTGCACCCTAATTCAGATTCCACTGTTTATGACTGAATTATTAATGTTAGGGTGTGTTGCGATTCAGTAAACAGGCTACACGGCTGAAAAGCCGTACAGAAGCAGTAACCGAACATGCAGCTCAACCAGAAGCTGTTCTTTTGCGCTGTGTATCGACAAAACGTGTCGTGTGTTTAGGAAACACTGCCACGTATGTATATTCATCCTCTTAAAGGGGAATTCCACCAGAATTTCTGCATAATTCAGTGTTTGAGCTGTAAACACAGTGATTCAGAGTGGTTTGGTGTGAAGTGGTTCGGATGTCTTTACAGTGGTGGTGATAGGAACCAGGGGTCGCCATGACTGCAACACTAATATAGCCATTTTATTTACTATCCACATTTATTTATATCTGGAACCTTTGTTAAAACTGTATACAATTGAAAAAATATAATATCAAATCTAAAACAGGACATTTTAAAAATATATTTGATAGCTACATTTTTTGGTCTTTTTCATACATTGCAAAATATATATTGATAAATACATTTGGAATATATTTTTTTCCCCATATTGGGTTGCATTTTTTAAATAATTGTGTTGTTAATCAATATAAAACACAAAAAATATTGTATTTTAAATGATATTAATGCCTCAATGTAAATTTATGTCTAAATGATTCCACTTTATTTAAATTAATTATAATAAACAACATACAACAATAAAATATCAACATTCAAAATGTCAATTTTATTTACTAATTAAATAGTTACTGTGATTGTGATAAATCTGAAAAAATAAGTTTTCTTTGCAGACCTTTTTCAGCACCGATTCCTGTATTAAACTCTTCAGATGTCTGGTTCCTATCACCACCACTGTGAACAATTCTGACTTGGTAGGTTTTTCTATAATGGAGAAATTCACACCAGACCACTCTGAATGACTTCGTTTCATCTTAACCATTTAATTATGCAGAAATTAGTTTCAAAAAGTGGTGAAATTCCCCTTCAGCTTCACAGGTTTGTGCTTTCTTTGGCCACACAACTGTTTGAGCAACAAACACTAAACTGGTGAGTGCAACTGGATTTGTAAACCACTGTAGAAGCTTTACCAGCCTACACGGGTTATATAAGAGCCTCTGTTCAAACAGAGATGAATTGGGGATAGAAAAGTATGTACTGTGAACAGCAGGTGTTTATTGTATATATTTATATATACATAAGTCTAATCTTGCTTTAATTTATCATGTTTTACAGAATGGGTAATCTGTCAGATGTTTCCCATATAGGAAAAAAAATATATGGACGTGTATTTTTATGTACAACCCCATTTCCAAAAAAGTTGGGACGCTGTGCAGAATGTAAATAAAAATAGGATGCAATGATCTGCAAATCATTTAAACCATATTTTTAAAGGAAAATACTACAAAGACAACACATCAAATGTTGAAACTGAGAAATTTGATTGTTTTTAGAAAAATATTTGCCATTTTGAATTTGATGCCAACAACCCGTTCCAAAAAGGTTGGGACGGGGGCCTGTTTACCACTGTGTTTCATCACCTCCTCTTTTAACAACACTCTGTAAGCGTTTGGGAATGCAGTGCTGCTGTAATATATGCAGAATGTGGTTTGTCATCGTCTTGCTGAAATAATCAAGGCCTTCCCTGAAAAAGACGTCGTCTGGATGGCAGCGTATGTTGCCAAAACATGTATACAGAGATTTCTTCAGATTCTCTGAATCTTGATGTTATGTACCATGGATGATGAAAAGCAAAAGTTCTTTGCTTAACAAGCAGCTTGTTGCTACGTCAGAGTAACGAGCTCCGCCCACTCGCTGCTCAGCCAGCAGTTCGTTCTCCAGCTCCTTACACTAAATTCCCACACTGTCATCACCACTGAGCAGCTTTTCAGTCAGCAGCTGTGACAGAAGAACAGCTGAACAACCTGGAATCAGCCAGAAATTAACCCAGTACCATTCGCCAAACGTGTAGTCTGATCTTCAGAGTCTGACCAAATCAGACTGAGCCATAAAACTGCCGCAATATCAAGTTCAGCTCAGTTTTGTCAGTTTTTGCCAGATCAGTATTAATGTTGTTTTGTTCCAGCCGGTCTGTAAAGCATCTTACAGCCCATTTAGTTTGGCGAATGGTGTTGGGTTCATTTCTGGCTGATTCCAGGTTGTTCAGCTGCTCTTCTGTCACAGCTGCCAACCGAAAAGCTGCTCAGTGGTGATGACAGTTTGGGAATTTAGCGTCGTCTCATCTTCAGAGTCTGACCAAATCGGCTGTCGGTCAAATGTGATCTTAAAAGTGTCCATTTTCTGTTTGTGGCAAAGTACTTTACAAAGGACTCAGTAAAGACTTTATGCCCGAACTTAAGTACAGACTTACGCAAACCTGGTGCAGCCCAGTCCAGGGGCCGTATTACAGAAACTTCTTAAGACTGAGATCTGCTTTGTCATGGAAACTTCAGTTAAGACTGAAGTTGGGACAGAAGCCATTACAGGACAACAGTTCTTAAGTCTATAACAGAGGTATTTAATTAAATTCAATAAGGTCCAGTTAGAGAAAATATCCTCAAGCAAAGGTCCAGAACATCATAATGTCTAACTTACATCATGATTCAGTGCCATATACTGTTTACTGAAGTAGCCTAGTAGGTATATCAACATCTTATACAGTCAACAACTGAATATCAAATAAAATAAAGTACAATTCAGTCATAATTCAACAACATTTATTGTCACTTTTCTTTTTTTAGATCACATCATGTGAAATAACTTCCCTCTGACTCACTTTCTTCTCCGACTGCTATGTCTCGCCTCGTCCATCCCCTGTGCGTGCGTCACTCACTCGAGTCTCAGTGCTCATCATAATGCACAGATCTGCTTGGCTGAGTAGCATCACGTGTGATATTTACAACGCATGCGATTGGTCTGTGAGCCTCCCGGGTGCTAAACCGGTACCGCAAAGGCTAGAAAAGTTACGCCGATTAAAATAGGACCACCCCGTCGAAATTAAAGACTTATCCATAGTTTATCGGTTACAGGTCCAGGTCCGCATACAACAGCACCTGGGTCTGGACTCGGACCGTGGTCCGCCTGTTAGTTACCTCTGGTCTATAATCTTATCTTATTTCCAGATAAGAAAACGGTTTTACAGAAACATCCTAAGTTGCCAAAATATCCTAAATATTTTCTTAACTTTAAGATAAACCCCAGAGCATCTTCTGTTTTAATCGTCTGTTTCTATTGTTTTATGCAGTGTCAGACAGCACAGTTCACTATAACCAGCATAATGACGCTACATTTATCTACAGTGACTTGAGTTTTTTTTCTAACAGCGTTTAAAACCTAAGACGCTGCAGACTCGATCTCCACCGTCCCTCTGATTACCTTCGTGCATTAACGTTGATGATGAAATATTACAGTGATGGTGGTGAATAACGAGGAGACGGAGCTGAACGTGTGTCTGTTTATTAGGAGGAGTAACGTTAGCGCGCTCGGCTAAAGCGTTTGGGGAAATGGAGACTGAAACTGAAAGTGCCGACGCTCTGATAAACAGCGCAAAGCGCTGAGACAATATTATTAACTTTCAGTTTATCGCGCTTTAGTTTTGTTTAACCTTTTATGCATCAGTAACGGAGGCTAACGTCAGCTGTCTGACTAACTAACTTACTTACGTGTTTGCGTTTCAGCTGTGCGCGTAAGGTCGGTTGCTAGGTAACAGACACGACAGTTGATTGTCGACTTCGGTCGAGTAAGTTAAGATGTCCTAACTTGAGATCAGAAAAGATGCTGTAAGATAAGATAAGATCCTTAAATTAAGATCAGATTTGCTTCATTAATACGAATGTGTGAAAAATCTTATCTTGACCTGTCAGAACTTATCTTAAGACAAAAAGATAGGAAGTTTCTGTAATACGGCCCCAGGTGTCCAGTTCAAGCAAGTGGGCAGTTTTAAAAAGCCTACTGGGCTCCCGAGTGGCGCAACCGTCTAAGCGTTGGCCCTGTCATCAGGAGATCGCGAGTTCGATCCCTGGTGATGCTACAGCTGTCCATAGCCGGGAGTCCGAGAGAGCACAATTGGCCTCGCTCTCTCTGGGTGGGTGGGATGGCTGCCCTTCTCCCCCCATCACTCAGCGCGATGCTAGTCAGCGCAGGCGTCTGTTAGCTGACGTAACAGATCTGGCGGTTGGCGCTTTCCTCCGAGCGCGTTCAGCTGTCCGATGACGTTGCGTGAGCAGCAGCTCGAAAAGAAAGCGGTGGCTGGCTTCACAGGTCTCGGAGGAAGCCTGTGTTAGCTTTCACCCTCCTAGCGTTGATAGCATCGTGTGATTGGGGGAGTCCTAACTAGCGGGGTGGAATCGGAGACGACTAAATTGGGGAGAAAATCCGGGTAAAAATTAAAAGCCTACTGTACACTGGGGACATTTAAAGAGGTCTAACAGTGATCTGCAGCCAATGTAGTCTATTGTTTTGTATAAAACAGTTTGTTTTTATTTACAATTATTTTTAAATCGTTCAAGTATTCAGTGCCTATTTTCTGGCATATTTTGAATAAACACTGGTCAGTTGGGGTCATCATGGCAAAATGATAAGTAAAAATAAAATAACACATCTGGCCCACAGATTTAGATTTTTTAATATGGCATTTTCAGTGGTTGAGTTTGACACCGCTGTGCTGGGGCAAGGCTGTCTCCACCAACGTCAACCATTCCCTCTTATTGCATGTGATCTTAGTTTTTGGTTCATTTTTTCTTCTGTTTTCTCCTCACAGAAACCCTAGAGGCTCAAAATGGGCCGGTGAAGACCTCAGCGGCAAAGCTCAGGTGAGTAATGTGTTGCGTTTCCTCTATGTTGGCTCACTGAATCTGCTTTCAGCCTGAATAGCTGCTGCAGTGCTCTCACACTCATCTACATCCATTTAGCACGGCAGCGTCTACGTATATTTGCTCTAAACGTGTCCCGCCACACCTGACATGACTAATGAGGTTTCCATGCTTGAGCCATTACCAACATTAGGTGAGCCTGTGCTGCGAGGTTGGAACAAATGGCTGTAGACACTGTGGCCCTTGGAAGGGGTCGAGTTGAGCGTTCTTGTTTTGGTCTCTCCTGCCGCTCAGCAGCCGCTGCAGCTGTTTGAAATGACAGCAGAGGAGGCTTTCAGTCGTCTCTGACTGCTGTAAGCAGCATCCAGGCACACCAGTTCAAACAAGAGCCAGTTTCTGAGGAGGTGATTGGAGGCTGCAGAGAAAACCGGTCTCCTAACAACCACCTGCAAGACCTGGATGACCACCAAAACTGTCCACCTTCAGATAAACAGCACTTCTTTACATACACTTCTTAACAGTCACTATCGCAACATTTTAGCTGATGAATAATGACCATATAAATAATTGAGATTATCACTGCAGTTGTGTTTTTTGTTAATTATACGCAATTAATAAAACTGCTACCGCCCTCTAAAGGCGTCATTAACAAACATCAAATAAACGAACGTCGCTCAGCGCCGCCCTCTAAAGGCGTCATTAACAAGCATCAAATAAACGAACGTCGCTCAGCGCCGCCCTCTAAAGGCGTCATTAACAAACATCAAATAAACGAACGTCGCTCAGCGCCGCCCTCTAAAGGCGTCATTAACAAACATCAAATAAACGAACGTCGCTCAGCGCCGCCCTCTAAAGCCGTCATTAACAAACATCAAATAAACGAACGTCGCTCAGCACCGCCCTCTAAAGGCGTCATAAACAACCGTCAAATAAACAAACGTCACTCAGCACCGCCCTCTAATGGTGTCATTAACAAACATCAAATCAACAAACGTCACTCAGCGCCGCCCTCTAATGGTGTCATTAACAAACATCAAATCAACAAACGTCACTCAGCGCCGCCCTCTAATGGTGTCATTAACAAACATCAAATCAACAAACGTCGCTCAGCACCGCCCTCTAAAGGCGTCATAAACAACCGTCAAATAAACAAACGTCACTCAGCGCCGCCCTCTAATGGTGTCATTAACAAACATCAAATAAACGAACGTCGCTGAGCGCCGCCCTCTAAAGGCGTCATTAACAATCATCAGATAAACAAACGTCACTCAGCGCCGCCCTCTAAAGGTGTCATTAACAAACATCAAATCAACAAACGTCGCTCAGCACCGCCCTCTAAAGGCGTCATTAACAACCGTCAAATAAACAAACGTCGCTCAGCGCCGCCCTCTAATGGCGTCGTTAACAATCATCAAATAAACAAACGTCGCTCAGCGCCGCCGTCTAAAGGCGTCATTACCAACCATCGAATAAACGAACGTCGCTCAGCGCCGCCCTCTAAAGGTGTCATTAACAAGCATCTGTTATTTATGTATATTTGACTCAACCCAACAAATGAAAATGCACCCAATTCAGGTTCTGTTTGTTGTGAAGCAAGTATATGATAGTAAAAGCTCACTGTGGGAAACTATTTGTGATTAGCTCACATAATTGCAATCAGGCGATTATGTAATAATTGTAAATAACATAAAGTAATTGTGAAACTGTACTGCAGTGTAAAAGCAATCTTGCTAGTAGCTGTTAGGTTAATGAAAGGAGCTCAGCGAAAGTTGGAGTTATTCTCTCGCTGAATTGCTCTTTGGTGGTTTACATAATCATCTATCTCTCTTGCGTGTTTCCACCATGCACAGGTCTCTAAACTCATTTAGGGATGTTCTCACTGAGGAATGTCCTGATCCATGTTCACGGACTCAGTGGTAATTTGCTGGAGGATGTGAGATTCAAGGCTTGTCTCTTGAAATCACGTCTCAGAGTTTCTCGTTGTTCTCCTCCTCTGGGTTATCTGTTTCAGCACGGGGGGTGGGGGTTGTGGGGGTGTGGCTGATTGTCAGCTATACTGTTACATACAGTAAACATACAGAAGTCAGAACTCCATTTCATTTGTTTTATTTACAGTCAAAACAGCCATAAAGTATTGTCCAATTTATAGTTAAATTATTTATTTTTCTACCATTTGCCCTCATTACAGCTTCCGTTCTTTCAGTTCCTCAAAGAATCTGCAGACACACCTCCGAAGTTCAGTCTTAGAAGCTGGTTGATCATTTTCTGAAGTAATCAAACACATTCAGTGGTGTTGAGGTCTGGACTCTGGGGTGGTCAGTCCATCGTTCAGCTTCTTTGTTTGATGTGTCCGTCTCCTTTTCTCAGTGAGGTTCTTCTTGACAGCTACACATCCTTTCAGACCCACAGCGCTGAGTCGTCGTCTCACAGTGGAAGGATGGACAGAAACACCTGTGGATGTTTTCAGATCTGAAGCAGCTTGATTTTCTCCTCTCTCTCAGAGATGAAAGCTTTAAGTGCTGTTTATCTGATGGGGGCAGTTTTGGGGTCTACCAGGTCTTCCAGGTGGTTGTTAGGAGCCACATTTTCTCTGTAGCTTTTAATCAGTTTTTGAACTCCAGTTTTGGAAACTCCCATTTTTTCACTTTGACTTTCTCTACCCTTACGCACGTGGATTATCTTATATCTGATCTCCTTATCAGTGAGATATGTTGCTCCTCTGCTGACGGTTTGGTCTGTGTTTTCAGGGAGAGATGCCTCTTCCCACTTCGGCTGGCTCTGGAGTCCAAAAACCCCAAGTTGGCCCAAACGGCTCTCGTGGGAATGCAGGTGAGGGCGTCGTTTTGTTTATTCAGCCAACTCTTCTACCAGAATGCAAACAAGGAAATGAGGAGAAGTTCACAATGTTATCTTTTTCACAAACTTAACCAAGATGTTCTGTACTCATTTTATTTTTTTCAGTATCATGTAGTATTTCAATTAAGTTTTATTAAAAAGTGAAATAAATAAGTTTAAATAATGCAATAGTGTGTAATAATAATGATAACATCAGTAATGATAAATAATTGTCATATTAGTAATAATTAAGAATAATAGTTTTTGTGATCAAATGTTTTTATTTTTAAGATAAAGCTCCAATCTAATATCAAATATGGTATGCAACAAAAAACATAGCAACCAAATGGAGCACCCAATCCCCCCAACATTCCCCACCCACATGGCACCCATAAACCCACCACTGATCAAGGAAAAACTAATAGTAAATAAATAAATATTCCTTTTGACATATTGAGTAAAATTAATAATGATAGTTAATAACGAAAACAAAAAAATAATATATATATATATATATTTTTTTAAAGTAAAACGTGTCTTATTCTTACAGAACATTTGCATATTAAAGCGAACCTTCGATAAATTACTAGAAAATGAAAATATCCCATAGTTGCATTCCATGAGTACCTATTACACCTGATATTATGTCTGATCTCCTAGTGATCATTCATGTTAATATCACTCATGGATCCTTTGCCTTTGTATCTCATCATGGTTCCCTCCACCTGGATCTCCACGTGGTCCTACGGCAGAAGATACTTTGTGAAGATCACTTTGTTGCCGCGGAAACAGAAGCGCCGGAGAAGCAGCTGCTGAGTCAGATGCTGAAGGCCATCAGTGTGACGCCAACCCTCCATGAAGACCTACAGGTTGAAGTGATGAAGGTCAGTCTGCATGTCGGTGGCTTATTTAGGCTGTTGCTGTGGATCTCAAACGAAATTTAAATCTAAATGAATTTATGGTGGTTCATGGTTTCAGCTTTTGTCTCTGCCGTATCGGATTAAACTTTGTATTATTTTTTTTAATTTTATTTATTCTTCTCTGTTAGTCAGATGAAAAGAATTTCCAGTGCATGTGAGCTTGAGGTGACGAGGCTGTTCTTCAGTTGAAATTTTGGTTCAGGTAGTTTTACAGTAGAACAAATTTGCATGATTTTACACCTATGCAGCCAATAAGCCAAGATGTGTTTGGTGTCCAAATTTTGCTTCTTTAGTGGGATTTTCTAAATTCTACAGTTCTACCAAGTGCATTTTTACAGATGACACTAGTAGCGGGAGGCATACTGGTTAGAATTCTTCTTTAGGTGCGAGTTTTGCCACAAATAAGCACAGATAAGACAACATACAAGCTAACATCAGGGATGTTTCAGTCATGTTTCAAAGGAAAATGAAATCCCGTTGCCTAGTCCGCTTCATCTGAAGTAATAATAATAATAAGCTTTATTTATATAGCACGTTTTCAACGTTTCTCGAAGTGCTTTACAAAAGACAGAAATAAATAAATTAAAATTGCGCTTATAGACAATTAAGAAACAAAAAGAAATAAGAAAATAAAACATTTTGTGCTAGTGTGTGTTGCGCTGGTCTGAGTGGATCAGACACAGCAGTGCTGCTGGAGTTTTTAAACACCTCAGTGTCGCTGCTGGACTGAGAATAGTCCACCAACCAAAAATATCCAGCCAACAGCGTCCTGTGGGCAGCGTCCTGTGACCACTGATGAAGGACTAGAGGATGACCAACACACACTGTGCAGCAGCAGATGAGCTATCGTCTCTGACTTTACATCTACAAGGTGGACTGAGAAGGTAGGAGTGTCTAATAGAGTGGACAGTGAGTGGACACAGTGTTTAAAAACTCCAGCAGCACTGCTGTGTCTGATCCACTCGCACCAGCACGACACACACTAACACACCACCACCACATCAGTGTTACTGCAGTGCTGAGAATGATCCACCACCCAAATAGTATCTGCTCTGTGAGGGTCCATGGGGGTCCTGACCACTGAAGAACAGGGTAAAAGGGGGCTAACAAAGTATCAGAGAAACAGATGGACTACAGTCTGTAACTGTAGAACTACAAAGTGCACCTATATAGTAATTGGAGGTGATAAAATGGACAATGAGCGTAGAAACAAGGACATAATGTTATGCCTGATTGGTGTAAAGGAGCGGCAGAACGTAACTGCTGCTCCATTTAAGGTGGAACGGAAAATGAAAGCAAAAAGCTGGGGAATAAGAAGCCAACTAGAGTAGAAATGAGCATGAAACAACATTTAGCATCATTTTTGCTGGACCCTGAGGGGCCAGTATTAGAAAGCAACACTGACAAATTTATCTAGATATTGTCCAGTCCTGTTTTTAATGTTTTGCTCACTAAAAATATTCTGGCTCTGGTTTTCAGATGTTCTGAATAGTTGTAACTGCAAAATACGAGTAAATTAAATTAGATTTCTAACTGAGGTCTGATTTCAGTCACAGCCCACCGTGTATATAAATTCACTCACAGTCTGCTGGGAATATTCAACACTATTCAAGGTGCTGATGTCAAAATATGCTGTGTTGCTTTTAGCAGGTATAATCAATTCGGTGTTGCTGCAGATGCTAACTCAGCTTTGTTCTATTACTGTGCCTCTTAATAGCATCAGCAGTGTTGTTATAATAACAGATAGCCATAATACAGCTCAGCATGCTGCATCACTGTGGAAACGATGGCCATTGTGAGGCTCAAGGGCAAGGATTTTTTAACCGTGCTGGTCCTGATCATTGAGACCCAGTGTGGCAGTACATTGTGACAGTATTGTCACACATCCTCAGAGAAACAAATACACAAAATATCGCAGTTGCACGCGTGTGATTAGGCCTGTCGCAACTATTACATAATCATCTGATAACGATTATTTGAGACAATCGCAAATATTTAAGTTATTAGATTTCACAGTCACAATAAGCAGAGTGTGATTTTGCTTGTGTTTCATACACTGCTGTCATTCAAAGTGCTTTACAAATGAGAAAATACATACAGGAGTCGTTTAAAGTGTGAAGTAAAGGAGAACAGAAGTTAAAAACATGATTAAAACAATGGATTTAAAAGAGGAAATCATTAATTGAAAAGTCAAATTAGAAAATAAATGAGGATAATTAAAAATCACATTAAGAATTGAAATTTAAATTAGGATAATGCACTCTACACACAATTCTCTGTAACTGTAGAGGTTTGTGTGATGTGTGTGTGTGTGTGTGTGTGTGTGTGTAGATAGATAGATTCTACAGGACAAACAGTGTTAACTAGCCAGTTTGCCCACTTTAGGTTTGTATTTTAATAGTTGCTGATGGGGTGGGTGATATGGCAAAAATATTATATCACGATAATAATAATGATATTATAATGATATAATGATTGATACTTCAAAGCATGATACATGATACGCATCACAATACTTGGTTTTTCTGAGATTTAATGAGTTGGAATGGACAAAATAGAACCTGTAGTGCTACATTTAAAACATACTATAGCAATAAAAAGTAATAATAGTAATAATAATAGTAATAATAATAGTTATAATAATGGCAAACCTACAACTAGAAAGATTTTTGCTGAATATTTTACAAATTGCAGTGCACTAAATCCAATTAAACAGGCCTAATTATGTTATGAGAGAGATGAGAGATGAGAGATGTAGTTAGTCAGAGTTCTGTAAAGCACAGAAGTAATATTTTATGTTAAAACTGAAAGAAGTAGCATCACTGAGTATAGAGAAAAAAGAGAACATGGAGAACACACCAAAAAAGGGAGTCAACCAAAAAGAACAGTCAAAGTTATTGATTTTATGTTTGTTTTTGTACTTACACACAATAAAAAAACAACTGGGAGAGAACCCAAAGTTTTACAAAAACCCAAACCCGAGAGAATCACGTTTACCAGCTCAGCAGAGAGCCGTGCACATAGCAGCCTAAACTCAAGACATGTTTCCAACAGAGGGGATCTCCAAATCCCTAAATCCTACATACTGTTGCTTTAAGTACTGAAGACATCCAGCATGCGCAGATAAGTGTGTTGTACATAATGTATCGCGATAATGTTAAAATATTGCTATATTGCCCACCCCTGGTTGATTACAATGAACAAGAAAAGGCAATTAATCGCAGTTATTTATATCCCAATTAAGTGTCAGCTAAAATTTCAACATTGTGCTCTCCCTACTAGCTAATTCTAAAGTTTTCAGCCTGTAGCAGAAAAAAATATTTTCATTTACATTTTCACTCTCAAGAGCAGATTTGCTTGAGTCTACACATCATTCTGTGTAACTGTAAACGTGTTAATGGTGAATATTGCTCGAAAGCAAGATGGCTAATCCGTTAATTTGGCCACTTGTAATTTATACCATGAACAAAAAAAAAAAGACTAATTGTTTATCGCAATTATTTGACAGTTAATCGTCAGCTAAAGTTTCATGATCGTGGCAGACCTGCTTCACAGGCCTTTACGCGTGCTCCATTCAGATATTATAAACAAAGTGCTCATTGAAATCTGAATTATTCAACTAAAAATTAACAGTAAAATACAAACATTTTACATGCAAGTTTTTTTCCACTGTTCCACTTTGTGAGATTTAGAAGCATTTTATGTAGTTTTTGTCTTTTTATCTCTTTTAATATGCTAAAAAGTTTAATATGATTATTTTATAGCAGCAGCTCTTTATGCTCAAACATTTTACATACAGCCCCATAATAACACAATTTGATGTAAAATTAATGTCATTTAATGTAAAATAACTTTAATTCACAAATTTTCACATTGCTCTGTTTTTATCTGCCATCTTTGTTAGAAACGTAAAGGGTGACTATTTAGATAAGTGTCTGAGCCTGTTTGACTCTCGTGGGTCACACAATTAGTCAATAAAAGGCTTCTTATTTAAAAGCATGAAAACCACAGGCCTGTTTTTAATGCACTGTGGCAAAGGAAAAACTGTGTTTTGTGACTGACAGGAGAAACTTCGTTTGGTTAGTTTTGTGATTCATGAGCTCGACTTTTTACCCAAATAACATCTGCTGAAATCATTTCCTTAATATACAGCTGTTTCCTCTGATTGTAGGGTGTTTCAGTATTGTTTAAAGTGGCCTAATGACTGCAGAAAATGAGGCATTCTTTCTATCAGAAAGCTAATTTCACTCAGGACTGCTTTGCTGGTAATTTGTAGTACCTACTTAACATTATACAAATGCTGTATTGACTCAAATTACTTCTAATGAACTAATCAGTGCTCTTGCTTATAGGGTACTGATAACAGCCGAGCTGATCGAGTAAATAAAGTCCAGCAATTAGCAGAGAAGAAGAATATCTGACCTCGTCCTGTCTATCTCCTTGTTTATTTTAGTTTTATTGTGTCTCCACTACAGTCATGTAGCAGCCGAGTTGGAGTCAAAGCTCGTTTTTTGATGCAAAACAATTAAAAATGGATTGAAATGTACTTGGATGGCCGTCTGCATACCTGGGTGCACTGACCTCTGTATGGGGAAACACTGAGTGTGCTTACATGCACTTAAAAATCTGCAAAAAATCAGATTTTGTCAGTAGTCTGATCAGTGTGTTTACATGCACTTGAGTAATCAGGTAATGGGGAAACTCCAGGTCTACATGAGTCGGGCAATAATCAGATTTCTGCTTTGCAACCAGCCAATAAACTCACAGAAGATGACATGACGTAAACATAATATAGAACTCAAACATCGCGCCACTTTACCTGAAAATATGGATTTACATAATCTAGAAAACGAAGAATATTTAAATCCTTCATTTCGTCAAGCATGCAGTCGGTTTCAGCGTTACTCCAAAAGTGCTTTCCGCCGTCTGTTTTCGCACATGCTCAGACTGAGAAATCCGAAAGAAATCTGAGTAAGAGTTTACTTGTGCTGAGAAATCTGATTACTGAGCTAAAATCCAGCCTCTTTATCAGATTTCTTAATCTAGACCAGGGGTCTTTATTTAAATTTCAATAAGGTCCAGTTAAAGAAAATATCCTCAAGCAAAGATCCGGAACATCATAATGTCTAACTTGAATCATGACTCAGTGCCAAATACTGTAAATTGAAGTAGCCTAGTAGTTATATCAGCATCTTATACAGTCAACAACTGAATGTCAAATCAAATAAAGTACAATTCAGTCATATTTCAACAAGATTTATATTTATATTTATGTCACTTTTCTCTTTTTTGAGCGCGTCATGTGAAATAACTTCCCTCTGACTCACTTTCTTCTCCGACTGCTGTTTCTCGTCTCGTCCCTCCCCTGTGTGTGCATCACTCACTCGAGTCTCAGTGCTCATCGTAATGCACAGATCTGATTGGCTGAGTAGCGTCACATGTGATATTTACAACACGTGCGATTGGTTTGTGAGTCTCCCGGGCCGCTAAAGCTACCGTAAAGACTAGAAAAGTTACGCCGATCAAAATAGGACCACCCCGTCGAAATTAAATAATTCTCCATAGTTCATTGCTTGTAGGTCCAGGTCCGCATAGGACAGCGTCTGGGTCTGAACTCTGAACTGGGTCTGCCTATTAGTGACCTCTGATCTAGACTTTACTCTGATCTAAAAAATTAGAATGTGCTGTTTACATGACTATTTGCATAATCAGATAACTTCAGAAATCTGATTATGATCAGATTATTGAGCGCATGTAAACGCACTCAGATATTCTGCTGGTTTAGTCAAAGGATTGCGCTTTTCTTTTGTCTTTTGTTGTTGTAAAACAAGCTGGACATTCCTTAAAAGATCACTCACTGTTCTTCTGTTATCGTACCAGGTCTTGCTCTGCATCACCTACTCCTCCTCCTTTGAGATCAATGGCAAGAACATCTTGAAGATTGCGGAGGTAAGGCCTTTTCATAACTCATAACTCAGAGGGCGAAACCTGACAAATAATGACCTGTTATTTAACTCGTGTTTAGGGTTGCCAGATTTCAGGTTTTGACAGAGGAGAAACTGGACCGGCCAGGTAGGGTTGGTTTGGGGCAGGTGTTGGAGGGGAGTTCAGCAGGCATCCAATATGTCCTTATCACTGCCTGCATTCTGTCTTTGGTGGACTGTATTTTCTTTTCTTTCCTTTTTTTGCGTTTTCTGGTTTTTTTTTAAATGAAAATGAATAGTTAAAGAGGAAATTCAACAAGTTTTACAAAGTTTCTGAATAATTCAGTCATTGACGTATAACCAGAGTCATTCAGAGTGGTTTAATGTGAAATTCTAAATTTTAGCAAAGAAATGTACTGCCTCAGATTTCTTTACAGTGGTGGTGATGGGAACCAGGGGTCGCCCAAGTACACAAATATAGCCATTTTATTTACTATCCAAGTGAACCTACACATGTCTGCTGAGTCCCCCCCCCAATTTTCTCCCCAATTTAGACATATCCAGTTCCACCCACTAGTTAGTATACCATCCAGTCACGATACCACCAGCATTATCAGGGCCAAAGCTAGCACAGGCTTCCTCCAAGACCTTTGAAGCATCACCGCATCTTTTCGACCTGCCACTAATGCAACGTCATTGGACAGCTGGACGCGCTCGGAGGAAAGTGCCAACCGCCAGATCTGTTACGTGAGCTAACAGACGCCCGTGCTCATTAGCATCGGGTGGGGGGCGGCGGGCGGATGGCCATTCTACCCACCCAGAGAGAGCGAGAACAACTGTCTCCTGGCCATGGACGGCTGTAGGATCACCAGGGAATGAACTCGTGATCTCCTGATGATAGGGCCAGCACAGTGTATTCACAACAATTTCATGTAATAACGTTCTGTGAGGGAGCTTTTAGAGGTGGGCGTCTGGTTCCTATCACCACCACTGTGAACGATTCTGACTCAGCAAGTTTCTCTAGAGTGGAGCATTTCACACCAAACCACTCTGACTGACTCTGTTTACATCTTAACAACTGGATTATGGAGAAATTTGGAAAAATCAGTGAAGCTTGTGAAGCAGTGAAGTGTCTTACAAGTTAAAAGTAATGCTAAAAATGCTAAAATAGTGCTAAATCAGACTAAAAATACTATTTTACCTGCTTTTACTATTAATGTTTTTTAAAGAAATACATTTTAGGTCAAAGTCTCATCTCAAAACTGTCATCCAACAATGTCTTAGACATCAGGCAGTGAATTCATAACCATTTCTTGTAGTAACTTTCTGTGAGGGAGCTTTTAGAGGTGGACGTCTGGTTCCTATCACCACCACTGTGAACAATTCTGATTCTGCATGTTTTTCTAGAACGGACAGTTTCCAGTGAAACCACTCTGACTGTCTTTGTTTACATCCTTAACTACTGACTTATATAAACATGAAAAATTGGTGGAATGAACCTTTAAATCCTTCAAGTTCTGTACAAAATTGTTCAAGCCTACTGTTTCTCCTGGCCTGCTTAACACAAATAAAACCATGATAAAGCAAACTATTGTTGATTCACTGCATCTTCTGTGGGCTAGCCAATACATAAAACATGATTTTAAATATTTATTCCTTTTTTGAAAGTAGCTGTAATTGAAAAATAGGTTTGTTTACCTTTTTTTGCTAACATTGCCTAACTTTGCTTATGTGTTTCAATCTGCATACTGCCGTACTAACTAGCATCACTGGTGGTGTACTAATGTAATATAGTATAACCCCATTTAAAAGTAGGGACGCTTTGCAAAATGTAAATAAAAACAAAATGCAATGATGTGCAAATAATTTAAACCCTATATTTCATTGAAAATACTACAAAGACAACATATCAAATGTTGAAACTGAGAATATTTATTGTTTTTTGAAAAATATATGCTCATTTTGAATTTGATGCCAATAACACGTTCCAAAAAAATTGGTAGGCACCAGTAGTGCTGAACGATATATACATGTTTTGGCAACACATGCTGCCATCCAGACGACGTCTTTTTCAGGGAAGCCCTTGATTATTTCAGCAAGACGATGTCAAACCACATTCTGCATGTATTACGACAGCATTACTCCGTATTAAAAGAGTCTGGGTGCTAAACTGACCTGCCTGCAGTCCAGATCTGTCACCACTGAGAACATTTGGCACATTATGAAATGAAAAACACAACAAATGAGCCCCTGAACTGATGAGCAGCTGAAATCCTGTCTCAAACAAGAACAGGAAAGCATTTCACTTTCAAAACTACAGCAGTGTCTCCTCAGTTCCCAAACACTTACAGAGTGTTGTTAAAAGACGAGGTGATGAAACTCAGTGGTAAACAGGCCCCCGTCCCAACTTTTTTAGAATGTGTTGTTGGCATCAAATAAAATAATGGGCAAATATTTTTCAGAAAACAATAAAATTTCTCAGTTTCAACATTTGATATGTTGTCTTTGTAGTACTTTCCTTTAAAAATATGGTTTACATGATTTGCAGATCGTTGCATCCTATTTTTATTTACATTCTGCACAGCGTCCCAACTTTCTTGGAAATGGTGCTGTATTTAGTATGGTGTGGACAATATGAGGCAAATATTATAACATCCGCTTGACAGTCCCAACACAGTTCACAGTGGAGCTCAAAACCAGAATGTCAGGTCCAAAACTGTACACTTGGCAATAGGAGCGTGCGATACACTGAAATTCTTCCTCAGGTATGGGTTTAATCAGAACCGTTATACTGAGATGCCACAAATAAGCAGATACTGCGATATGCAAACCACGCTACCGTTATCCCGTTTAGCTGAGTGTCTGACTCGGGGATGTTTTGAGTCACATTTCATATGAAAATGAAACCCAGTAGACCTTCAGTCACCTCCCGCCGTCTAGTCTGTTTCTTAATTATACCATTTTTGGCAATACTAGCCATTACTACCTGGCAACCATACAATCATTCTGTTGTGCCACCATCCAAAAACCCATGTAGAGGATTCTTTAAAGGCACGATTCATAAAAAATTATAGCCATATTTATAAACATCCTATTTAAAAACACAGCCAGACGCTTCAGCTGGAGGGGTGGTGTCATCAGGAACTCACACAGAATGGCTGTCATCTCTCTCCCTCTTTCTCTCCCTCCTTTTTTCCTCTGACGCTTTCGTGTGACTCAGTATCCGGTCAGACCGTGAAGCACAAAGCCTTGACTAACACCACCCCCCTCGTTTTTTTTAATCTTCCTCGAAAGCAAATCATTGACGATGATTTTTTTCTGGTCCATTTTTGCCACTGTGTAACTCAGAGACTGAGTATGCTGACATCAGATGCCACGTCCGAGGTCCTCTTTCCATGACGTAATCAAAACGGTGGGGGGGGAGAGGGGACACAGGGAGCAGGTGCAGACAGTGTTGGTGATGAGCCACGTCAGTGACTTAATTGGGGAACGAGGAGTTTTCCATTTTAGACGTTTTCTGCTGATTAACTGCTGTAGGAGACAGTGAGTGCGTTTACATGCACTCAATAATCCGATCATAATTGGGTTATCTGATTATTCAAATGGTCATGTAAACACCATACTTCAATCTAGATATCTGACTAAGAAATCTGATAAAGACAAAATCTGATTTTCTGCAGTTATCCGATTATCATGTGGGGGGCCAGATTGGTTTAATCAAACAGCTGAGACTGAGATAGTAGTACTGGTTCATCTGGTAACAAGCATGAAAGGGTTCTTCAGATTGATAGAGAGTGTGTGTCAACAACCTTGACATCATAACAATATCAGAACCCTTTTTGGTGCTTTTAGTACAGAAAATGGTTCTATATAGAACAATGAACACTCAAATAACCCTTTGTTTGATTAAAGGGTTCCTTGCATCATGAAGTGGTTCTTCAGATTGATGGAGAATGTGCTGTAGATAGTTCTCTGTATAACATTTTTGAAAAGGGTTCCAAATAGCACCAAAAAGGGTTCTGCTATTATTATGATATCAGGGTTGTTATGACAAAAGAACCCTTTTTTGTGCTGTAGAGAACCCTTTTCTAAAAGGTTCTATAGAGAACTATCTTCAGCACATTCTCCATCATTCTGAAGAACCACTTCATGATGCAAGGATCCCTTTAATCATACAGAGGGTTCTTTGAGTGTTCATGGTTCTATATAGAACCATTTTCTGTACTGACTGTTTTCATTTTGCTTTAACTGTGATGATCAGTCTTATGTTGAGCGTTCAGCAGTTGTTCATTCCAGCAAGAAAATCCACCTGAATTAGTTTGTTTTCAGAGACTGTTTACCTTTTTTTATTTATTTATTTATTTTTTATATGAATTGTACAAATTAAGATGGGAAAAAGTACTCTGTTCTAGTATTTTCTGTGCTGTCAATAGAAAAGATGCTAAATGTCTAAGGGTGGCTTCACACAGTGTCTGAAGATTTTTGCCAATCTGATTGAATACATTCTGATTATAGATTAAGACTGAGGTGTTTATTCTCACTCTACTCAACAGTCTGATGGAAAATCTCCATTTACATCCTCACTACAAGTAATCAGATCCAAAATTACACGCATGTGTAGAGAAACACTTAGTGTACATTTTACCATGACAACGAGCATCACGTGAGACCAGTCAGAGTGAGATGAGCAGCAGTGAGCAGTGCTGTGTTTTTAATTGCTTTAAAATGATGTCAGACTCAGGAAAACGTCCTTCACATGTCCTTATTAAAGAAGGCCGAGAGGAAGACGTCGTGTTCTGAGACACATAAGCTGGACGTCCGTCCCACCGCCGTCTTTTAAAGATCAGAGCATAAACTTCGTCTCCTCTGCAGACCAGTTTCTGCTCCGCCATGTTGAACGGTATAAACTTTCACTATGACGTGACGAACATGATCAGAACGGACTTAAACTTTCCGATAGGGAATGTAATCAGATACAGGCGATTACACTGATATTATTCTTCTATTTAACAGGTTATTTACAGGATTACCCACCTCGATCAATCGGATAGAAACTGTATTCTGAATGGCCTCAATCAAACTAGACTATTCCGATTAAGGTGTTTACATGGACGTATTCTATTCCGATATTTACGTTCATGCAGCTAGTTATGTAGTGTGTTGTCTGCGACATAATTCCTGTATATCTTGACTGTTACATGAATTAAAAAAACAATTAGTCGCATACAACACATTTTTACTCTTCTAGATAGTAGGGGTGGGAATCACGATATGATATTATCACGATACTTTAGCCACGATATGATATTACCTCGATTTTAAAAATATTGTGATGCATTTAGAAATAAGATTGACATGCATTGCGATATATTGCGATTATTACCTTTTTTGAATTGCAATTTTTGTCCCCAAAGCAAAACTTTGTGAACATCTGTTTTATCCAATGAAATAAAGTTTTCAGTCTGTTCATCTCACTTCAGTCATTTTTACTACAGCAAAATGGGATTTGAAAAAGGTTCTATATAGCACCAAAAACGGTTCTTCTATTGTCACACTATCAAGCTTGGCACAATAGAAGAACCCTTTTTAGTGCTACATAGAAACTTTTTCAAAAAGGTTCTGTGTAGAACTATCTACAGCACAATCTCCATCAATTTGAAGAACCCTTTCATGGTACAAAGAACCTTCTAATCATGGAAAGAAAATAGTTCTATGTGGAACCATGAACATTCAAAGAACCCTTTGCATGATTAAAGGATTCTTTGCATTGTGAAAATGTTCTTCAGATTGATGGAGAATGTGCTGTAGATGGTTCTCTTTATAAACTTTTTGAAAATGGTTCTGTATAGCACCAAAAAGGGTTCTGCTGTTGTTAAGACGTCTAGCTTGTTACGATAGTAGAACCCTTTTTAATGCTATATAGAACCTTTTTCAAAAAGGTTCTATTTAGAACCATCTACAGCAATTCTGAAGATCTCGATCAGTCTGAACAACCATTTCATGATGCAAAGAACCCTTTAATCATGCAAAAGGTTCTTTTTGCGTGTTCATGGTTCTATATAGAACCATTTTTTTACTAAAGAACCTTTGAAGAAGTTAGCAATGGGTGTGGCTAAAACACCTGAACTCAGTAATTAGGAGAGGTGTCCACATACTTTTGGCCATATATGATTCCCGTATGATTGTGCTGCACTGTCTAAAATGTCCCCTGAGCCGTTTGACTCTTCCCGTGCATGATGTGGGTTTTTCTGAAGTGACTGTGTGTGTGTGTGTGTGTGTGTGTGTGTGTGTGTGTGTGTGTGTATGTGTGTGTATGATCTGCAGGTGTGTGTCGAGACGTACATATCGAGTTGTCATCAGCGCAGCATCAACACCGCAGTGAGGGCCACCCTCAGTCAGATACTCGGAGACCTCACTCTGCAGCTCCACAGGCAGGAGGGCTTGGTGAGTCACCTGTCAGCTCAAACACTCATACAGTGGGGCTCAAAAGTCTGAGAGCACCAGGAAAAATGTTGCGGTGAAAATTTCATTCTTCTCGATTTTAAAGCAAAGTTTTTATTTACAAACTAAGAGGGAAAGTTTGCGAATGAACTTTAAGATGGCCTGACAAAGCCAGCTATTAACACATGAAAAGGTGAAGCAGTTATAGATTTCCTTTGATTGTTTTTAATATCTTAAGTTGGGTTTAATTCCTACGTAAGTCCAGAGAGGCCATGGGGTAGTTATAGTTTTCTGAATTGTTATTTTAAGATAATGAGTTAATGATCTTGTTATGTCAAGATAACAAAACTGTTATCTTGAAATAACAAGTTACTTGTTATCTCGAGGTAAGAAAAGTTGTTATCTTAAGATAACAAGTTAATTATCTTGTGATCTCAAGATAACAAAGTTGTTATTTTGAAATAACTTATCTTGTTATATCAAAATAAAATTGTTATCTTGAAATAACAAGTTAATTATCTTGTGATCTCAAGATAACACAGTTGTTATTTTGAGATAACTTATCTTGTTATATCAAAATAAAATTGTTATCTTGAAATAACAAGTTACTTGTTATCTTGAGGTAAGAAAAGTTGTTATCTTAAGATAACAAGTTAATTATCTTGTGATCTCAAGATAACAAAGTTGTTATTTTGAAATAACTTATGTTGTTATATCAAAATAACAAAATCGTTGTCTTGAAATAACAAGTTACTTATCTTGTTAGACTTTTAACTGTTCTTTGGCGCTGCAGCCTCGTTCTCCTGCGGCCGCGTTCGGACATTTCTGTCGAAATTTCAGGTTTTGGATGAGTCTTTTCAAATTTTTGGTACAGAAACATCAGCCCAAATGTTTATGAGGCCTCAGCAATGTGAAATTATGACGAATGTTGAGATGGATTGACGTAAAAGTCGCACAAATTCCGATTTGGCTGTTCAGGCTGAGTACGTATCGGATTTCAGTACCACATATAAAAGTGTTTCAAATTGGAATCAGATTCAGTGTGTTTATCTGTTCACACTGACACACATCTGTGCCACATATGAAGAAAAAGATCGGTACCACTTTTACCTGTTGTGTAAACAAAGCCTTTTCGTCTTCTCTCGAGTTTTTTGCCACTAGAACCTTACATTACTTCTCTTGGAGGTAAACTGTCAAACCAGTCTTACCAGGATTTTGACTCTGCCTTGCATTCACACTTTATTTACCTTTAAATTCACATGTGAAATGTGGTATATGTGAAAGTGCCATAAGGCCAAGAACACCACGTGAACTAATGCAGGATATTGAAAGACATTTTCTTTAAGTGTTCTTTTATATGCTTGTAGGGGGCAGATGGAGTGGAGATTTCTGTGCCTGCATCCCAGCGAAAAGGTACTTTTGATCACACTGACAGAACACAAACCATCACTAGTTGAGTGAATTTGCTCATTGGATGCTGAAGAGAGTAAATTAAACAGCTCTTATCTGAAAAGGTGGTTTTATTATTCATGTTGGCGAATGTTTTGTAGTGTATATGTGGGGGCGGAATAGGGCAGTTGGTTTAGTCAGATAGGCCTACTGATAAAAAGAAGAGCACAGCTAAAAGTAGTGCCGCTCAGCTCATTGCATTTATGCTTGTTTGTGGCTAGTGGAGCGGAAAATATAACTTTAGAAATTTATACAGCTCATCATTATATATTTCGGTCATTTTGTCAACTTTTTTGCTGTTGTACTATATATATTTATATATCGTCACCATCCAAAGAAAACCATGTATCTCTATTTTTGTCGATTTTTATTTCGCTACATCATTTTAACACACCAGCTGTCCTTTACATTGTTACCGATCGGGCATAACATTATGACCACCTCCTTGTTTCTACGCTCATTGTCCATTTTATCAGCTCCACTTACTATATAGGTGCACTTTGTAGTTCTACAGTTACAGACTGTAGTCCATCTGTTTCTCTGATACTTTGTTAGCCCCCTTTTCCCCTGTTCTTCAGTGGTCAGGACCCCCATGGACCCTCACAGAGCAGGTACTATTTGGGTGGTGGATCATTCTCAGCACTGCAGTAACACTGATGTGGTGGTGGTGTGTTAGTGTGTGTTGCGTTGGTGCGAGTGGATCAGACACAGCAGTGCTGCTGGAGTGTCCACTCACTGTCCACTCTATTAGACACTCCTACCTTGTCAGTCCACCTTGTTAATGTTAAGCCAGAGACGATAGCTCATCTGCTGCTGCACAGTTGGTCATCTGTCATCAGTGGTCACAGGACGCTGCCCACAGGACGCTGTTGGCTGGATATTTTTGGTTGGTGGACTATTCTCAGTCCAGCAGTGACACTGAGGTGTTTAAAAACTCCAGCAGCACTGCTGTGTCTGATCCACTCAGACCAGCACAACACACACTAACACACCACCACAACGTCAGTGTTACTGCAGTGCTGAGAATGATCCACCACCCAAATAGTACCTGCTCTGTGAGGGTCCATGGGGGTCCTGACCACTGAAGAACAGGGTAAAAGGGGGCTAACAAAGTATCAGAGAAACAGATGGACTACAGTCTGTAACTGTAGAACTACAAAGTGCACCTATATAGTAAGTGGAGCTGATAAAATGGACAATGAGTGTAGAAACAAGGAGGTGGTCATAATCTATCTATCTATATGTATATATATAATATCATGAAGATAATATTAAACAAAACTAATTTTTATGCCATTTCAGCCGTTTACGTAATATGCATGTGCAAAAGTTTGGGCCTGTTGGCCAAATTACATTACCTTTTGAAGCTCTGCTGTATACGATATTCGCAAATGTAAATGCAGACTTACTCTATGTTTGATTAACATGGAAAATAATACAAAACAAAATAGTAATTGTGGTATGTGCAAAAGTTTGGACACCTTATGAAGTCGCTACTTAGTAACACCTCCTTTGGCAGATATCACAGCTTACAAACACTTTTTGTAGCCAGCAAGGAGTCTTTTTATTCACCCACTCATCCTTACAGAATGCTTCTACTTACATGACATTCCTGGACCATCTTGCATGCACAGCATGCCTCAGATCTACCCACAGATTCTTTTCAGTGAATCAGCGGACTGTGAAGGCCATTCCAGTAGCTGCAGTTTGCGTTTCTCGAAGTAGTTTATTGTGGATTTTGAGGTCTGTTTTGGGTCATTGTCCTACTGTAGAAGCCAGACTCTTTCCAGCTTTAGCTTCTTGACTGACTGTGTCACACCTGCCTCCAGAATTTGCTCTTATTCAGTGGAATCCATCCATTGATCCATTGAAAATTTCCTCTCCCACTGGCTCCCCCGCAAACGCAAAGCCTAACAGATCCACCCCCAGTTGGCAAAGTGTCCTTTTCATCAAATGCTCCTGTTTTCTCCAAACATACCTTTGGTGATTTTGGCACAAAGTGTTGAATTTTTACTGCATCAGTCCACAGCACGTTTCCAAAATGCCTGTGGCCGTTTTCACACGTCAGTGTTTAGAGTGGATTCACTAGACCACTGAGTCATGGTTTTCTGCGCATATGTGAACATGCCAAACGAACTCAGACCCTCTAAACGGTGTTCGGTTCGTTTGTAGTTCGTTTTGTGGTCCGACTGATTTGCGTATAGTGAAACCAATACGGCCTCAGTCCACTTTTGCTTTGCTTTATGGTGAAGACCTCGAGTCTCACCGTACTCACAGCTAGTCTTCCAGCACTTCAGCAGGTAAAAACAGACCACCAAAGATCATAAGGTTCTGCTCAGGATAAAGCCTGTCCATGATCTGCGACAAGACAGCAGCCCTGGCATATTAAAGTGATAAGATGCGAGAGCCTGTGTGATTGTACCGTGTTAAAGGCTCACGCTGGGCAACGCAGAGTTTTAAGCTACTTGAAAATTCACTGCACTTTCAAATACAGCACTTCACTGCAGACATGGATTGGGATGGGTGGAGCTCAGCGAGGAGCACAGCCGAAAATGGAACCCACAGCGGCACACAGGGTCATGTTTCCAATTTTGTGTGATGCACTTTGGCATTTCATTTCAGCATGGCTAATAGGAGAGCAGCGGGCAGGTCTGGTGTTTCTTCTTGCCTCCTGAAAGGTCAGATTTATCCGAGAATGGTGCCCACTTTGTGAGCCCTGACGCCCCCAGTGAGTGCTGTGAAAGGGGTCTGACTTCTAATGGAGTTGTGGTCTGAACAAGAAGTGGTCTGAGATCTCAAAGGACCAGAAAGAAACCCGAGTCCTCTTTATAGTTCACTTACATTGTGAACACAAAAAGCACTGAGGTTGTTTGCAGTTGGTTCCCTTTCAGGTTCACTTTAACAGAACTCAGTTTGGTTCATTCAAAAAGAACTATATGTGAAAACACCCTTCGGCTTGTCTAGATGTGGTTTTGCATACATGTAAGTTGCAGGTTCTGGTGACTCTACCATGCAGATCATGTTTGTGCAATCAGAGCCGCACAGTAGAACGGTGCACCACCACTCCTGTGAGCTAAACCTGCAGGTGCTTTGCTCTCATATGGTGGTTTTGCTTTTGAGATTTTTCTTGGTCTTTCAGATCTTGTTTTGACTTCCACAGTTCCCCTTAACTGCCATTTCCTAATGACATTGTGACCAGTGAAAATTGCAAGCTGGAAGCATTTTGATGTCTTTTTACAGCCTTCCCCTGACTGTAGGCATCAGTTCGCTTCATTTTCAGATCCTCAGCCAGCTGCTTAGAGGAGTCTAGTGTCGAGCGGTCCTTCTCATTCCACAGTATAACTTTGATAGATTGGAACAAAACGCCAGGCCCCAAACACACCGCAAAAATGGTATCTTGGCAAGTTAAATCAGCTTAAATCTAGTCTATATATCTAATATTTCTTGTTTTGAGAGTGTTTTAAGCTTATTATAAGATAATTTAGCTTATTCCTAGACATTTTACTTGTTTGAAGGGATTTTATTACGTCAAATGATCTCTCTATTGGCAGATAATCATTTGACTTAATAAAATTACTTCAACAAGTAAAAAATGTCTAGAAAATTAGTCAGAGAATTTCTAACATCAGCTGACAATTCCTGGACAATTCTTGACTTGCCTAATCTGTCCTTACGAGTTAGTTAAGGTCTGAGAAGTTCATTAAGGCCTAACAAGTTAAGTTCTGAGGCTTTGCAACTGGAAGGATGTCCAATGTTAGTTGTACATGTCACAGTTACAATTTTATTTTTTAAGTTAACAGTAAACTGTGCATTAACATTTCACTACTGTCGGAATACAACCTTGTATCTTCATTTTTATTGTTTTTCAGTTTTTGACATAATTTGAAAACACCTGTTTCCCTTTACATTGTGTGTTAATTCCGTGATGAATGGACCAAAAGAAACGGCCCAAAATGACTTGGAAAAAAGTCTGGTTCCATTGACTTACATTAGAAGTAAAGTAGGTTTTTTCTTTCTCTTGTAAAGTTATCACAAGGTTTTGTTTTGAAAACATTGAGTTGCAACTTTATTTATAGATCACTTTTCTTACCTGTGGCAGCTCAAGGTGCTTTACAGACAGGTGATAAAGCGTAACAGTAGTAAAAGAGATTAAAGTTGAGTTTGATTTTCTGTTACTGTTACTGTGATGAGTCTGGTTTGGATTTACAGAGTCTATGTGTGTGTTTATTGTGTGTATACGCAGACATCTCTCCCACCACTGCTGCGCTGTATGAGGACGTGGTAACTGTTCTCACTGTGTTCTGTGAGAAACTGGAGTCAGTTTCAAGGTAAGTGAGAGCTGATTGGCCCTGTTATGTGAGCTGAAATAGTTTCGGTCCTGTGCTCACCCACTGTAACGATGCTGTTGTGCTCATATATTTTTTTAACGTGTTCTTAATGAAATGTGATCAGTGCTAACTGTGAGTCTGGGGCAGGTTTTTGCCTCGAGGCATCATGTTTTCACTCTCTCTGTTTCTGTCTGTGATCTGGCTTTGAGAGCAGGAGGTAAACCGCATTATAATGTGTCTGTTTTTTTCAAACAGTGAGAATCAGCTGCTGCAGCTGCTGTATCTGGAGTGCATTCTGGCTATGCTCAGCAGCTGCCCTCCCACAATGCACCTGCACCGCAACTTCACGGACCTCGTCTGGTGAGCCCTCGCCTGCAATGTCATTTTAATCTCGATGTTATGCCAGTGATTATTTTGTGATGCGATCCACTCTAATAAGTAGCAACATGGCGCATCTGTCAGTCAGGAACATGCTGTGACAGTTTAAAGGGCCCATATTTTACGTTTTTCTTGTATTTTATTGCTTGAGACCAAATGCTGAATGGAACCAAAGCAGCGATAATTTATCATAACATAACCATTTACCTCTCTTTGTCTCTTAGAATTAAACAGGCTGCTTTTGTTACCGTCTTTACAACTGATGTATGTAAATGAGCTCTGTTCTGAACGTTCTGATTGGCTGCCCCGGTTGTACCTCATTCAGAAAGCAGTCGAGGCTCAAACGCTCCTTCTAACTACTGTAGGCTAAGGCTGGGCCTATACTACACGATTTTATGTCCGATTTTAACCCCGATTTGCCCCTTGCGACAGATTTTCACAGTCTTAAGCGATTTTCCAGGTCGGGAGCTCGATCGGAAGCGACTGACAGCGCGGATGATCTGATAGTGTGAGAGGAGGAGTGAGCGAATCTTTAGCCCTCTGATCTAAGTCTGAAGTGATCAGAGACCCTCCGATATTATCAAACATGTTTGATATTTACGACTCAAAACGTTCACGAGTCCTGCAGTGAGAGAAGGTCAGAGATTTACTCAACGAGTGATTCAAACAGCAGCCAATCAGAGAGCTAGAGGAGAAAAAGAAATCATGTTTGTAGTGTTGATCCAGATCAGGTCACTCTCTTTACAGTTTCAGCTCAGCTGCCAGTTTGTAGTGAAATAGTTCTCCAGCTCTCACTGTATCAGTGTTTCTCACCACAGTTTAATCCCCAGTTTGCGCTTTCGCTGCGCGTAAAAGCCCAAACAGGTCCAGTAAGGCTACGTTCACGTTACAAGCCTCATTGCTCAAATCCGATCTCTCTGACAGGATGGTTCACACTCGTTTAGGTAAGACTCAAATCTGTCATTAATGTGATGAACCGGCGTCCTGAAATGACCCTCATGAGCTCATCCTACTCAGTAACGTCACGTGAACGAATCACGAGCATCATCAGCACAAACTAACGAGCAGAACGAGCTTCGCTGAGAAGATCATTAACTCTGATCAGCTCTCAGCTTCATTATTAGAGCGAGACGAAGGAGAAAAAGGTGAGATGAGCTGCTTTTCCACCGTTTACAGGCTTTAACTTCTGTTCGGCGCTGCTGCCATGGTAACGCTGAATGATGGAGCACGCACAGTGGGAAAAAAAAAGCACATGAATTCCGATCTGAGCTTCACATTAAGGTCACATGACCACGAATCAGATACGTGTCTGATCTAGGACCACATATGAAAGTGGCTCAGGTCGGATTTGAAAAGATCAGATTTGTGTCCACACAGCACTGAAAACATCAGATCTGAGTCACATTAGGGCAAAAAAATCAGATTTGTGCCACTTCAACCTGGTAATGTGAACGCAGCTTTATTTGTGTCATGATCTGAGGAGATCTGGGAGTTTGAGTTCTTATTCGTAGCCCAAACTCATTATGTGTGTTAAACTCTCTCTTTGCTCTGTCGTCTAGTCTGAGCGCCTCACAACAACAAGACAAGAAATTCTGTGACAAACTGACGTTAACTTTGAGATGCTCTCTGTTTTAGAATCTCTTAATGGGCGAATATGTGTAAATGTGTTGTTTTTTGTGCTATAACAAATCATCCCTTCCTGCTTTTTGAATGAGGCACAGTACAGGACAGCCGCTCAGAACAGAGCTCATATGCATATATCAGTCTTAAAGGCACAGTAACAAAAACAGCCTTTAATTCAAAGGGATAAAGAGAGGTTGGAAAATGAGCATGAAAAAATAATATTGACTGTTTTTGCTACGTAAACCACATAAATGTTATAAGAGAAGCGCAAAAGAAAAATAAAATACAAGAAAATGTAGGATATGGCTCCTCTAACAATGTCTCCATACTACATCTAGCTCATATTTTTTTAAATGAGGTCCTTTAAACCAAATCTCATGCAGTTTCCATGTTTTTGAATAGATCATGTCTCGTCTCTTATTAATCTCTGATTTCTGTTCTGACGCTAAACCTTTGAACAGTGTCTTAGATGCTGTCCGTCTATATTTACTCCACGTTTTTGACATGTACTGTTATGTATTGACAAGTTCTGACTGCCACCCTACAGGAAACAGCTGTGTCCAACCCTGGTGGTGATCATGGGGAACCCTGTCAATGATAAAACAATCACCTCTGCTCATGGAGGGGCATCCCAAGAGTCCGACCCCGCTTGTGGTGCGGGGGTGACTGACCAGGGCCGGGGGTCTGGCTGCTCCTCTAGTGCCCCTGCCATGATCGGACCGGTGGTCCGCACCATCTGCTACATCGCAGCGGAGCTGGTCCGGCTGGTAGGCTGTGTGGAGTCCATGAAGCCTGTGCTGCAGTCTCTATACCACCGCATCCTGCTCTACCCACCCCCCCAGCACAGAGTGGAGGCTATCAAGATCATGAAGGAGGTGCTACTTAGGCCCAATCCCATTTCACCCCTTGCCCCTACCACTTAGCCATTTGCCCTCTGTTTTGCGCGTTCTCGTCTAGGGGTAGGGTGTCCCGATTCTTGTTGAGATAGAGGGGGAGGGTGAAGTGTTAGGACTACATGACCCTCCAAACAGAGGTTTTTCAGAAACTCCAAATAGAGAGATATGAGGAAAAAAGAATTTTCTCTGTTAAAAGTTACGACAATCATTGTATTATCTTAGTTTAATGTCGTTTCTGTGTCTTATGGTCGTTTTCTTCATAACAAGCATAAAAAATCTCTAGTTGTATGATAATATCTCTGTAGCTAGCTAGCTAACTTTCCCGTTCCACCTTAAATAGTCCAGCAGTTTTGACGCCTGAAGCGCCAGAATGTAACTGCTGCTCCATTTAAGGTGGAACAGGAAAATTCGAACAAGAAGCTGGTGAATATCTGACTTCAGCTTCATATCACTGAAGAATTAGTGGTGGGTGATAATAAATAATTGCCCCCCTCTTTGAAGGCATATGACCCCTAAATGTAACTAAAGCCCAGCAGTGAGGAGCTGAACTTTACCCTCCTCTGCTGTCACTGCAGACTGGCAGGGTCGCCTACAGAGCAGCGCTGGTAGCTGTTAATGAAGTGATGCTCTTTTTATTTGAGGGTCCCATTTCAGAGGGAAGGTTTCAACCACTACCCTGTAACTCAGCTCCAAGTGGTTAGGGAGACACTCAAAAACAAGGGGTAGGGGTAGAAAAAAGAAATGGGCCTAAGACTTTTCTTTCATTTATAGGCCATGTTTAACAGACCTAGATTAAGCCTAAACTTAGACGTAAAAGAATTTTGAATAGTGATTCACCATTAGCACTTAGTCCAGCACTAGACTTAATCCTTGTCCAGGAAACTGGCCCTTAAATAAATGGTTGGGCAAAAAAATTGATGCAATTTTCCACTTACTTCAGATATAGTGTGTCAGCCAGAACACGTTTAGATCAAATGTTGCTTCTTTTTTTTTTGTGAAAATATTTTCATCAAACATTTTCCGTACAGAAACAAACAATCCAACAAACGAACATACACAAAGATGCATAGTTAATTAAAATAAATTAAATTAAACAAGGTCCTGTCCCAAACGCTTTTGACAGAGCCATGACATCCTCAAAATAGAGCAAGAATGTATTTCGGTTCTGCACGAAAGTTCAAAACTGCTGTCTTTACAGCTGTCAGAGAAGCCATTACTATGTTCTTTTGACTGGGTTTAATGTCTCTGAGCAGAAACAAACCTGGATATAAGGGCAGGTCTACTTCTAAAAGAGTAGTGAGCAAGGAAGCTGTCATTTCCCAGAGATGCTTCACTGGAGAGCACTTCCAGAAAACATGAATAAAGGTTCCGAGAGCATCTGAAGAGCATTTAGCTCCTTACTGTGCATTTAGAGTGCACAGTGAGGGGTTATCTAAAATCTGTATGCATATTTATAGTGTATCAGCAAATGTTGCCTCTACAGTGCTGGACTCTTTAGTGCTAATAAACACTAAACGTCAATAGTCACCTAGAACTTTTCCGTCAAATACAGCCGCAAAACCTGCTCAGACCACATCCAGGTCTTCTTTAACCCTTTAGACTTCAACAGAATTCTAAAACACTCTTATGGATTCCTGACATTACTCAGAGGTAGAGGGTTGTTGATAATGTTTTAATTAAGACATTATTTAAGGTGTTTTAAAGGTGAGCCCCAGCTCTTTAATGTGAAAACAAAGCCAAGGGACAGAAATCAACAGAGTTATCAATTCAGGACTAAAGGAGAAATGGACACTGAAGTTATGCGTGTAATACTGAAAAATTAGGGACATTAAATTAACTACAACAACTAATGAAGTTGTTCATCATTGTTTCTTAGCACACCAAGTCATACCCTGCAACAGGGGTGCCCAGTCCTGGTCCTGGAGATCTACCTCCCAGCAGAGTTTTGCTCCAGCCCTAATCTATCACACCTGTTGCAGATAATGAAGACCTTTGGGGCACCTGAATATCACAGCCTGGTAGATCTCCAGGCCCAGGAATGGGTCCCGCTTGCCCTATAGCTAAATCTAGAGCTTAAGTCTGCATAATTATTCTAAGATCTCTGTCCAGCTACAGTTTCGCAAAGCCTCCTCATTTCCCTGGATTGAAGGCTGAAGGAAGAGATATGAAATAACCAACATTTACACAGAGTGAAATAACCAAGAGAATGACTGCTGAGCATTAAACCACTCTGAATCAAATGTGCCGAAAGTTCCCCTTTAACAACCACAATTATGACCAGCTAATTTCTGTTGTCTGCTGCTCAGATCCTTGGAAGCCCTCAGCGTTTGTTTGACCTGGCTGGTCCGTGTGTCCTCGAGCCTGAGACCAGGAAGAGATCCTTCTCCAAGAGAAAGTCTCATCTCGACCTCCTTAAACTGTAAGTAATATAAAAACATACACAATGCATCCAAACCCCACATTTATCATGAGAATAACATGCCACAATACAGAGAACTAATGAAGAATATCGCTGTTGTTTGATCAAAACCTTGTATCTCCAAAATGGAGATAAAAACTTTACAGGAAATGGAAAAAAAACTACTTTACTTTTAATGTAAGTCAATGGAGCCAGACTTTTTTCCAAGTCATTTTGGGCCGTTTCTTTTGTTCCATTCATCATGAAATTTAAACTCAATGTAAAGAGCAACAGGCATTTTCAAATTATGTAAAAAACTGAAAAACAAGGTTTTCTTCTGACAGCAGTGATAAGAAAAATAACCAAAAATGCAAAGCATTCTCAGCAGCTCTGCCTCGCATTATTTAAGACTATGAGTTTTTGCTGATCACCTCTGTTTATTTGAGTTTTAAGAAGTGTGATACTTAAGAACGGACAGTCCTGTCAGTCAGCACTGTTTAACTAAAACTATTATAAAATATAAAAGGGCAGGCCAAGATTATCGGTTATTGTAATTTTAGCCGCCTAAAATCGGTATCGGCCATGAAATGTCCATATCGGTCCGTCCCTAATGTTCTGTTTTCACAGAGTGATGGATGGCATGACGGAGGCTTGTGTGAAGGGCGGTATTGAGGCCTGCTACTCCTCTGTTTCCTGTGCCTGCGCCTTACTGGGCGCTCTGGACGAGCTCAGCCAGGGGCGGGGCCTGCAGCCCGACCAGGCGCAGCTTCTGCTGAGGCGGCTGGACGATTTGAAGGAAGGGGTGGAGTCTGCGCGGGAGTCTGTGGAGCTGAACGAGGCTGACTTCCGCTGGCAGCGGCGCGTGCTGTCCTCTGAGAACGCGCCATGGGAGCCGGGCATTCCCGAGCGCAGCCCTGACATCAGCATCAGCGTCACCACAGAGACGGGACAGACAACGATGGAGGGGGAGCCGAGCCAGACCACCCCAGAGGAATGCGGGGAGGAGCCACGGCTGCCATCGCCCTCCTCTGGGAGGGGAGCGGCGATGGCGGGGGCCGCTCCAGACCTGCCGTCGTGCGCGCGGGAAAGTGGTGGCCATGAGGCTCCGCCCTCCAGTGCTGCCCCTCCTGACGTGGTGCAGCGCAGCCATGGCCTGGCCTACCCGGACATCACCAACTTCCTGTCGGTGGAGTCCCGGGCCCGTTCTCACGGCTCGCGCTACAGCGAGAGCAACTTCAGCATGGACGAGCAGGAGCTGTCGCGCACCGAGTTCGACTCGTGCGATCAGTACTCCATGGCTGCCGAGAAAGACTCTGGACGCTCCGACGTCTCGGACATGGGCTCGGACAACTGCTCGCTGGCCGACGAGGAGCAGACGCCGCGCGACTGCCCGGGCCACCGTTCTCTGCGGACGGCTGCTCTCTCACTCAAGCTGCTGAAGAACCAGGAGGCGGACCAGCAGAGCGCACGGCTTTTCGTCCAGTCCCTGGCCGCCCTGCTTCCACGTCTGCTGGCCCTACACAGCTCCGCCGATGTGGACGTCACCCTCCAGAACTTCTCTTCCACCTTCTGCACTGGCTTGCAAGCAGGTACGTCAACAAAGCACAACTGATCCTTTTCTGAAGTTGGGCTAATGCTGATCAGACGCATCTTTTGCCTAGAAAAGGCTTGTGTTGCTGTTAGTGAATGACAGCTGGTTAGGAAGCACCAATATAGAATATGATCATTATGACTGATAATGAACATCTTGTTGTTGTTATTTTTGTTAGTTAGTTTTGTTTTTTGTGAGATTGTTTACAAGTACTTTAATACACTATATGTCTGAAAGTTTGTAGACACCTGCTCCTCCAGCATTTCTTTTAAAATAAATGGTATTTTTTATTTTTTTGGATTTTGCCCCCAATTTTTCTCCCCAATTTAGTCGTTTCCAATCCCACCCACTAGTCAGGACTCCCCCAGTCACACGATACGATACTACCAGTGCTAGGAGGGTGAAGGCTAACACAGGCTTCCTCCGAGACCTGTGAGGTGCCACTGCATCTTTTCGGACTGCCGCTCACACAACATCACTGGACGGCCGAACACCCTCCGAGGAAAGCGCCAACTGCCAGTTCTGTTATGTCAGCTTACAGACGTCTGCGCTGACTCGCATCGTGCTGAGTGATGGGGGGGGGGCATCCTACCCACCCAGAGAGCGAGGCCTGTGGTGCTGTCTTGGAATCCTGGCCACGGACAGATGTAGCATCACCAGGGATCGAACCCGCGATCTCCTGATGACTGGGCCAACGTTTGTTGCCCTTTGCTGCGGTAACAGCCTCTACTCTTCTGGGAAGGCTTAACACTAGATGTTGAACATTGCTGTGAGGGTTTGATTGAGCATTAGTGAGGTCAGGTACTGATGTTGGATGGTCAGTTCTGGATCACTCCAACACATCCCAAAGGTGCTGGATGGAGCTCCATCACTCCAGAAAACACAGTTCCACTGCTGCACAGCCCAATGCTGGGGGGCTTTATACCCCTCTAGCCCACGCTTAGCATTGGACATGGTGACCTCAGGATCATGTGCAGCTGCTCCAGACCTTCCCATTCTATTGATCAATGCTATCAACCTGTTTGAACAGCTTAAAGTATCCACTCATTTGAAATGGATGTCTGGATGCTTTTGGACATACAGTGGTGCGTGAAAGCTGGTGCACCTGTGGTCTAATTCTGTGTGTTGTTGATTTTCTAAGTGAATATGATTTAACATACTCTACAGAGAACACACTTCTGCAGATTTTAATGCACAATTATTGTCTTTTTGGCTGAATTTAACATACTGGAAAAATAGAGCATGAAATAAGCCCTGGCCAAAGGTTATGGTACATTTTACATGTTATGTTTATTTTTTTCCAGTGTGTTAAACTCAGTAAATATATAGAAATTGTGCACTAAAATGTGCAGAAAACACCATATTTAAGTGTGTTCCCTTTATAAATTTGTGTTAACTTGTTTTTACTTAGAAAACTTAAATCCATTAACATTGTTCCATTTGTCAGTGAGTGTTATGCCGACCGCTGACCTTGTGCACCCCTAAAAGCTAGCAGGGCCTGTGCTCTGCTTCTCAGTAGCTTTTAGGGGTGAGGGATAAGGCGGAGATATGTCAGTGTACAGTATACACAATATGTAACAATATTTATTTTTTCTGACATCTGATGTGTTGGAAGGAGCAGCACAGTGATGCAGTGGGTAGTGCTGTTGCCTCACAAGAAGGGCCTGGGTTTGAGTCCCTGGCCGGGTGACCAGGGTCCTTTCCGTGTGAATGCTCTCCCCGTGTCTGCGTGGGTTTCTTCTGGGTGCTCCAGATTCCTTCCATGCAGTCAGGCAGATTGGAGTTGCTATATTGCCCCTAGGTGTGAATGTGTGTGTGTGAATGTGTATGTCTGTGTGTCTGCCCTGTGGTGGACTGGTGACCTGTCCCGGATGTTTTCTGCTGGGGAGTCTGCTGGGATAGGCTCCGGCATCCCCCGCACGACCCAGGCGAATAAGCGGCTTGGATAATGTGTGTGTGCTACACTGGAACAGACAAAAAAAAGAACCAGAAGTGCCACATTTAAAACATTCTATCGAGTACAATGATTCGCATGCAGTATTTCACACAACTGCGCTGCACTAAATCCAGTTCAACATGACTAATTATGCTTTCTTTGTAACTAAACAAGAATTTGTTCTGTGTTTTTCAGGGTAATGTCATTTATCATGAAAATGACAATTATAGAACAGTTAGTTCCGGCCACGCGAGCTGATTGGTTGAGAGGTGTTCTAACCGTGCTTTTATTTTGCCATAACATCAGTTTTTTTTCACGAACACCGTATCACTTCGCTCTAACTTGGCGCACAAACAGAAAATGGACATTTTTAAGATCTCATTTGACCAACAGCCGATTCGGTCGGACTCTGAAGATGAGACGACACTAAATTCCCAAACTGCTAAACAATCTGGAATCAGCTAGAAATTAACCCAACACCATTCGCCAAACTAAACGGGCTGAAAGATGCTTTACAGACTGGCTGGATCAAAACAACATTAATATTGATCTGGCAAAAACTGACAAAACTGAGCTGAACTTGATATTGCGTCAGTTTTATGGCTCAGTCTGATTTGGTCAGACTCTGAAGATCAGACTACACGTTTGGCGAATGGTATTGGGTTCATTTCTGGCTGATTCCAGGTTGTTTAGCTTTTCTGTCACAGCTGCCGACTGAAAAGCTGCTCAGTGGTGATGACAGTTTGGGAATTTAGTGTAAGGAGCTGGAGAACGAACTGCCAGCTGTGCAGCGAGTGGGCGGAGCTCGTTACTCTGACGTAGCAACAAGCTGCTCGTTAAGGAACTATAATTTGGTGAAGGAACTGCGAACATTAAAACATATTAAACGCCGCGTTCACGGCCCAGTTTATTAATTTATTACTGTATTTATTTAACTGTTGTATTAAAGCAATAGAACACTCGAGGAGTGTGTTATCGCCAATAACATCACGGCTGTGATGATCTACGGCGACCAAATCACAGCCGTGATGTTATTGTGATAATACACGACCTCTCATGTTCTATTGCTTAAATATTGTATTGTCCACTCCTTCCAGCTTGTATTCTTTTTTTATCATTTATGTCATTCTCTTATTCTGCAGGGGGTATCTGCTCTCCTGGCTTTGAGGGCAGTGACAATCTGAGTTGCCAGGCTTTGATGAACGCTGATGGACTTTACCTGGTGTCTTACTACGCCTTGCTTCTCAACCTCAAACTTTGCACTTGTGATTACTACCACCGGAAGCCCACGCCAGCCCTTGTCACTCTGGTAAGAGCAGAAAGTAACATTTTAATAATATCTACAGTTGTATGTGAAAGTTGGACACATCTGGCCAAATCACGTTTTATAAAAAACAAGTAAACGCAACCTTTACAGCAAACTACTTTAAAAAAACTCTTTTTCTGCACATCGCTGCCGTCGCAACAAAATCTCATATCTCCAAACATTTTTGTTGTTTCTAACTTATTTACAGAATTTGAAAATGCCAGCTGACCTTCACAATGTGCCAAAATTTCCAACAGAAAACCAACAGAAATGCTCCAAAAGTGCTTAAAAAAAATCTAGTTCCATTAACGCTTAGAACCATAAAATCTTTGGGAATTTTTTTTGTTTTTTTGGTCAATTACAGTTACAATTGCAATTATAAAGTATTTACATGTGACAGTCACACATGCCATGTGTTGTTATTTTCAGGAGACCCTGGGCTGCTCATATGTGCCATTGTTTGGCATGTAAATGCTAACAGAAATTTGATATCTTTATGAAATTGGGTCATTTTTGGTCAAAAATGTACCTAGCACCTGCATAATTTTGTAATTTTTGAATCTTGAAAAGAAGTTGGGTAACACCTCTGCCTTCTACAGTATAGATTGGGGTTCAGTCCCCCGCCTGGGCAAACACCCTACGCTATACCAAAAAGAGTCCTTTGCACGACTCCTAACACTACCTTCGCCTACCTGTGTAAAATGATCAAACTGAGAGTCGCTCTGGATAAGAGCGTCTGCCAAATGACATAAAAATGTAAATGAGTGTCTGTGAGCTGAAAGTGTAAGAATTTTGATGGTGATTCATTCAGTAAAAATAAACATTTAGCATAAGGCGGCCATGTTTTTTGTTGATTTTCTGTCCTCTTGGATTCAGGCTGAGTGCTAAAACTCTGATACACAGCAAGACAGACTTTATTTTTAATTACAAATCGAGTTACATATTTAATATCAGATATTTCTAACACTCAAAATCAATGTAAACTGAAAGACAGAGCTAAATATCATTAATTTCATAGGATTATTTTCCATATTTATTGTTATTCATCTGTTAAAATGTGTTTTAGGGCCGGTTTGTGTGATTTTGAGGGAAAGAAGGAAAGTGCACTCAGCTCAGACACAGGCATCGACTGCATGGCTAGCGTTTAGCCTCAATTTTATAAGTAGGACTGCATTTTGAGTCTTTTTTTACGTGTATTTAGCTGTAAATTTCTGATTATCAGCACTAAACTCTGAGTCTGAGTCAATCAGAGGACTCTTTGAGACTCGGGTCGTACATGTGGAGTTAAGACATCTAACTTCCATTCAAAGTTAAGAATGTTTGTTTTTTCCTTCTCCTGTAAAGTTACCATTTTGGAGATACAAGGTTTTGTTCCAACAGCAGGGATATGCTAATGCACAGTTACTGTGCGTTTGGTTAACTTAAAAAATAGAAAAAAAATAGTAATTGTAGCATGTGCAGAAGTTTGGACACCCTGCTAAGTCAGTACTTAGTAACACCCCCTTTGGCAGATATCACAGCTTACAAATGTCTTTTGTAGCCAGCTTGGAGTCTTTCTGTCCTTGTTTTAGAAATGTTTACCCACGCTTCCTTGCCGAATGCACCTAGTTGTGCGATGTTCTTGGGCTGTCGCAGATTTTCAGTGATGTTAAAATCAGGGGTCTGTGAGAGCCATTCCAAAAGCTTCAGCTTGCCCTACTCAAACTAGTTTATGGTGGATTTTCAGGCAGCCTTTTTTCTAAGGAATCCATACTTCCAGCCACCTGTTCAATATTTCGTCTGCCACTGGCTGCCACATGACCCCAAGGCATTACAGATCCACCCTCATGCTGGACAGTTGGCACGGTGTTCCTTTCATCAAATGCTGCTTCTTTTTTTCTCCAAATATACTTCTGATGAGTGTTAGCACAAGAGTGACAGTGGATTACACTAATGACCTAATTACTGAATGACAGTTCTTGACCTGCCTGAAACAGACCTACCTAAAGAGTCAATGAACGAGTTTATTAGGGTCAAACAAGTTAATTAGGTTCTGAGATTGAACAGCAGGGTGTCCGAAGCCTTGAACGTTCTCCAGTTACTATTTTTTGTAAGTTAATCAAATATGAAGTAACTGTTCATTAACATGTTATTTTTAAAATAGTTTGCTGCTGAGTTTGTTCTTTTCTTTTTAACAAAATATGTAATTTGGATAATGATGTGCAGACTTTTACATAGAATTATGAATTAATTCATGCAGAACTGTGCCTCTATTCAGTGATGCTTGTTCTGACAGTGTGTTTGCCTCTGGCTTGTCTCTGCAGAAGGAGTTTGTGCGTCAGATCCAGAGCAGCGGGGTGTTGGTGGTGCTCTCTCAGGCCTGGATAGAGGAGCTGTACCACCAAGTGTTGGAGAGGAATCTGCTGGGGGAGGCTGGCTACTGGGGCTCTCCTGAGAACCACTCTCTACCCCTCATCACCATGCTTACAGGTAACACCCACTGTCTGAGAGGGCTGTTGCTGCTCTGGGCAACCTCGTATCTCTATTTTTGACGTTTTTGAGTTTTTGACATAATTTGAAAATACATGTTACCCTTTATATTGTGTGTAAATTTCGTGATAAATGTCTGGTTCCATTGACTTACATTAGAAGTAAAGTAGGTTTTTCCTTCTCCTGTAAAGTTACCATTTTGGAGATAGAAGGTTTTCTTCCGACAACAGCGATATGGTCTTAGTAATTGTCAGGAATAATGAATATCTCAAGTGAAATAGGGACGAATGTGCCACATGTAGGTTTTTGTTGGATGAGTAACAGAGGCTTCCTGTTCTGGTGAGCTAATGAGCTAAAACTACAGCTAACTGTACTATGCCAGTATATGAGGACTCTTCTTCTTACACGTGGACAATTTGCCAATGTTAGTTTGTCCAAAAAACTAGTTCTACTCTTTTCTGGACAAAGCTAACATCGTCTAAAGTAGGTAGTCTAGTTAACATTAAAGCTGTACCAAGCCCTGTTGTCTCTGCCTTCTCAATCATGTCCTTAAAGCAGCGCTATATACTTTTTTTGTCGTTAAAACTGAAAGGATTAGCGTTACTGAGTCATTGTTCACCTCTGGATGAGCCGCGTGAAGCTCTGTTCTTTTGCTCATGTGGGTCGGTTTAGGAGCTGATCTGTTCAGACTGATGTCGCATACAGATCACGTTTAAAATATATTGTGATCAGTCAAACAAAAAAATCAGATTTGGTGAGAAAATCAGAATTGGGTCACTTTTTTTTGCCTGCTGTGTGAATGAAGCCCTTGACGTTCAAACTTCTTAACTATTCATATTGTCACACCCACTGGCCGTTCCTTCATTCAGAGATCAGCTTCTTCGGCGTATTGAGAGCTGACTCCTCCCACACTCACGCACCTGCCTACAATCTGCTCATCAGCTTCCCTTTATAACCAGGACTCTCACTCTGCCTCCTTGCGAGGTATTGCCACTCTCAGTGACTTTACTGAGCCGTGATCCTGTGTTTTTGGTATTTTCTGTTTTTTTGCTCTGTGGATTCTGTTCATTAAAGATTCTCTGCATTTACATCTCACTACCCTGTCCGAGTGTTACACATATGCTCTGTCGAATTTTCAAAATACGGAAAACATGCTCTGTTAGATTGTTCCCATTGTATTACACTGTTTGTGAATATATTACTCATTTAGGCCTTTACTGTGACGTCGTTTTTCAGACAGTATTGTGTCACTCAAGCTCACAGAAAACACAGGGTTCCACTTCTTTTGTGAAAATAAATGTAAATTTATTGATACTTTGCCACATTTCCCTCCTCATAAGTAGCTGATGGTGGTGGAGCATTTCGGAAGGTGAAACTGTACAGTATAATTGACGCAATTTGAAATATGTATTTAAAAATATACACTGTAATGCGCATGTTTTCTCTCTCTTTCTCTCTCCTCTTAGACATTGATGGTCTTGGCAGCAGTGCTATCGGAGGTCAGCTGATCAGAAGAGCCTCCACACAGTCGCCCTTCAACAGTGATAAGAGCGGGAGTAACACCGTGATAGCAGGTAGCAGCTTTTCCCTGTGTGTGAGTGTGTGTACATGTGCAGGTGGGTGGGGGAGGCTTTCTTCTTTCATCAGCTCTCAGAACAGAGGCGGTTAGGCCTCCCTGTTCCCATGACAACAGCTGCCAACCAGGATAAAGCTTAACCATTGGACAAACAAAGACTTTTCCATGGTTGGAGAACTTGTGCAGTACTGCTAATGGATCACAGGGCGCGGGACTCTTCATTTCCATGCCTGTTTAAAATCTCTGATTAAATTGTAGGAATCATTTTTCTCCAGGCTGCTGCAGTTTCTTGCTCTGTATTTGTTTTCTCTGAATTTCTCATCCTTGTTAGTGACATGATTAAACTTCAGTGAATGCTTCACCCCCTGAAATACTCACGTAGCTCCAGAGAATGAAAGATAAATGTGGTATTTGCCTTAAATGCGATCAGCAATCAACCAGTTTATTAGTATGTTTGTAGCCGATCTGCTGCTTTGGCTGCACCAAAATCTTGCAGCATAATTGAAGAGCTGCATTCCAAAACAGTGTGTATACCAGGGGTGCACAACTCCGGTCCTGGAGGGCCGGATTCTGGCACAATTAGACGATTTACCTGCTCAAACACACCTGATTCAACTCCTTTGTTAATTGCCAGGTTTAGTGGGTGTGTTTGAGTAGGGAAACTACCAAACTGTGCTGGACACAGGCCCTCCAGGACCGGAGTTGTGCACCCCTGGTTTATACATTGGCAAGAATTTTGAATATAAGGAGTTTTTGCAAAGAAATAACAGCTGATGTAAAATGGAAAACGTTTTTATTTCTCTAATAAAGCTGAAAATAATGATAGTAGAATTTTGATATTTCTAGTGTACGGTGGCCGAGAAGACCCAACAAACTGCGAATAAAAAACGAGCAGCAAACTCAGTAAACGTTTTCGTCAAAATGACGACACTGACGCTACATTTCATAAACGCGCCGCAAATACAGAAACACATGCAACTTCAGAAACGCTGATAAGCCAGTCACAACACAGCAGGCGTGTTTCTGGAGGACTCAAAGAGGACGGAGCCATTAGGACCTTTAAATTCTTTGCAGCACAAACATTCACCAGTAAAAGTAAGTTAACTTTTATTTGAGCAGATTACTGACACCACTGTATTGTAATGGGAATTAGCTGCAGAGAGTAACTGTAAACGTTTAACTAGTAACACCAGATAAACCACCACAGCACAGCAGCGACAGTCAGATAGCAAACTAGCCAGCCAGGTTATCCATGAACTTGGGCTGTGAGGGTCCGAGTGTCAAGTCAAGTCAAGTCAAAGTTTATTTATACAGCGCTTTTTACAACAGGTGTTGTCACAAAGCTGCTTTACAGAAAAATCCGGGTCCAAGTCCCCATGAGCGTCGCCAATGGCGACAGTGGCAAGGAAAAAGAGATATTAGTGAGTTAATAGTGCAGCAACTGATATTAGCAAAATGGTTGTGCAAACAGAAAAATTTTGAGTCTAGTTTTTAATGTAGAGAGTGTGTCTGGGTCCCGAACAGAGGTCGGGAGATCATTCCACAATTTTGGGGCTACGTAGGAAATTCTCGACCACCTGCTGTGGGTTTTCTAATTCTAGGAACCGTCAGCAGGCCGTTATTTGTGAGGTGAGCGTATGTGTGGGTTCATATGACTGAATTAATTCACTAAGATACTGCAGGGCCGTTTAATGGTTTATACGTTAAGAGAAGGATCTTATACTCCACACGAAATTTAACAGGTAGCCAGTGTAATGATAACAGGATTGGGGATATATGGTCAAATTTTTTAGTCCTTGTAAGGACTCTAGCAGCTGCATTCTGGACCAGTTGGAGCTTATTTAGTAAAATGTTGGAGCATCCAGCTAAAATAGTGTTGCAGTAGTCCAGCCTGGAGGTTAAAATGCATGCACAAGTTTTTCCGCATCGTTTAGGGCTAGAATATTATGTAGTTCAGCGATGTTTCGCAAGTGAAATGTCTAACAACGTTGCAAACGTGTATCAAAGGAGCGACTGGAATCGATTTTTTACAGTAGTGCTTTTACAGTAGTACTTAGATGTCCGTCTAAGTTTAGTTGAAAATTGGAGAGTTGAGATCTCTCTGCTTTGGGTCCAAGTAGTAGGACCTCAGTTTTGTTAGGATTAAGAAGAAGGAAATTGTTGGTCGTCCAGCTTTTGGTAGTTTTAACACATTCTTCAAGATTATTGTGTCTGTGGTCTGATCTGCTTCTGTCAGTGATTTTCCATCATAGATATTCCATCCACTTTGAGCCCTTTGAGTCTTTCAGAAACATTTCCGCTGTGTTGTCACTGGCTTTTGCAGCGTTTCTGAAGTTGCCAGTGTGTTTGTAAAATGTAGCTCTGATGTCTTCATGTTGATGAAAGTGTTTGCTGTGTTTACAGGACGTTTATGAGTTTGCAATGTGTTTTTCATTGTGCTGTGAATAGGGTCTTGTTGGCCACCGTACTAATGTCTGTAAAGCACACACCCAACAGCTTACATCATAAAACATAAAAGTGGTCTACAATGTGTTTTGCCATGAAACGAAACACATAAATTATCAGTTAACACTATCCAAGACTTTGTGCTAAATAGTCACTTCTCACTTTCAGTGGAGCACTTTATCTGATTCATGTTATTTAAGAAGGCAGCATTAAATAGCAAATAATGCTATGTGACAATGATATTGTGACTTTGGCTTATGTAAAGTACTGGAAACGTGCTGGTGGGCTTCTTATCCCCATTTAACCCACACGGTGTGACCCTCAGGTTTTAAAGAAAAAATGGTCATCAGCCAATTTGACTAACAAAATTAGAATTGGAATTTGCTCTTAAATCTTATATTAAAATTCATGATCCATTGTTTATACAAACCCACACACTGTTGCACTTTCCCGCAGGTGTGGTCTTTGCCCGCTACATCCTGACCGGCTGCTGGAAGAACCTGATCGATACGCTGTCCACGCCGCTGACCGGCCGCATGGCAGGCAGTTCACGGGGGCTGGCCTTTATCCTAGGTGCAGAAGGGGTGAAGGTCCAGAACCAGAGAGAGAGAGACACCATCTGCCTCAGCCTGGATGGCCTGCGCAAGGCTGCTGCGCTCAGCTGCGCTCTGGGTAACAGCCTGCACTTTGTGATACGGAGATGGCAGTCTTAACTGTACTTCGGTGACTGCTATAGAAACGTATTGGTTAAGATTATCTTAACCCAGCGGTCGGCAACCCAAAAGTTAAGAAGAGCCATTTTATCCTCTCAGCAAAAATCAAACTACCTTGGGAGCCACATCATTTTATGTCCATTTTACCATCTTGGCTGTTAATATGTCTCAGTATGTGCTGATGTACTAGTATAGAATAAAAAATATAAACGAAAATGCAAACTTACTTTGCTCTGCTTTAAGCTTTAGCTCAGCTATAGCCGCGTTTCTCGCGTCTCCGGCAGGAAACTTTTCCGCAAAAGTAGAACAGTTTCTTGTAAAATGTCTCTCAAATGTTCGACTTTTTCCCAGGCTGAAGTCACTTCTCGTTCACCAGCTACTTGATCGAATTTTCCCGTTCCAACTTAAAAGGTGCCTGATGTGCCTGAATGTAACTGCTGCACCATTTAAGGTGGAACGGGAAAATTTGAACTAGAGGCTGGCGAACAGGAAACTGACTTCAGCTTCATGACTTTGTAGTGTTTGGGTTTCTCGTCGCAGATTAAACGTATCAGAAAACCAGCTGGAGTGATTATAAATGCAAATAAGTCCGTTCATCTCCAAATTATCAATGTTTGTCTTAAATCTTTCTCTTTGCCTTTTCGTTAGCTACTAGCTAGGCCAGATTCTTGTCTGTGTTGCTGTGGTGACCAGCAGTCTGCACTGATCTTCAGGGTTAAAGGGTGAATTAGCAGTTCTACATTAACTCCAGAGTTTAAGACCATTTATAGTTAAACTGTGTTGAACGATCAGCAGAGCTTTATTTTACTGTAAAGAAGGATTATTTTATTTTTACCTACAAATCTAATTCTGCTATGGAGCCACAACAGGGCAGTAAAAGAGCCGCAGCTCCAGAGCCGCATGTTGCTCCTGTTCTATGATATACCCTCAGTAAGCGAAAGCTAAGCCAGCAAGCATAGCTGAGCTGTCAGACCAGCTCATCAGTCCGTCGTTTGTCTGTTCATTCATCTGTCCATCCACCCACTCGTCCCTTTGTTCATTCGTCTGTTTGTTCATTAGCCTAAGCCAGTAGTCCTTGGATGCAAATCTGCTGGCATAGTGCATAAGAACCTTCTTTAAGGCTTTGCCATATAAAAGCTGAATAATTGACACAGCAAGATCTACAACATCACCTGTATATGTAGATCCTGAGTCACTCTCTTCCCTTTCGTTCTGTTTATATCAGCTTCAGTGATATACCAAGCACGTTCATTAGAATATTAGTTCTCAGACAGGTCTGATTGGCTGTTTTTAAGTGTCTTTTTTTCATTTACACTTTGCTAGATGTTTAATATAGCAGTAAATTTTAGTATCATATAGGGCTGCACAATAAATCATATTTTTATCGTTATCACAATATGAGTTTCCGCAACAAACACATCATTAAGTGCTGATGACAGAACAGATCTTATTACTTTGTACACACAGCGCCAGAGAGACATCAATACATTACTGGCACAAACCATTACAAGCCTGCTTCTCTGCGCCAGGACTGAACCTGCTCACCCATGCGGGAGATGGGTAACTTAACCATTCAGCGAAATGGCAATGACAAATACCCTTGGAGATGTTAAATATCCCAATAACCCAGCTTTAGTGGAAATTCAACTACAAAACACACACTGAGACCTTAAAATGTCCCCATAACGCAGCTTTAATGGAGATTCAACTACAAAACACACACTGAGACCTTAAAATGTCCCCATAACTCAGCTTTAATGGAAATTCAACTACAAAACACACACTGAGACCTTAAAATGTCCCAATAACCCAGCTTTAATGGAAATTCAACTACAAAACACACACTGAGACCTTAAAATGTCCCAATAACCCAGCTTTAATGGAAATACAACTACAAAACACACACTGAGACCTTAAAATGACCATAACTCAGCTTTAATGGAAATTCAACTTCCAAAGACACACCGAGACCTTAAAATGTCCCCATAACGCAGATTTAATAGAGATTCAACTACAAAACACACACTGACACCTTAAAATGTCCCCATAACTCAGTTTTAATGGAAATTCAACTACAAAACACACACCGAGACCTTAAAATGTCCCCATAACGCAGCTTTAATGGAGATTCAACTACAAAACACACACTGAGACCTTAAAATGTCCTCATAACGCAGCTTTAATGGAGATTTAACAAAGCAAAACACACACTGAGACCTTAAAATGTCCCCAAACTCAGCTTTAATGGAAATTCAACTACAAAACACACACTGTGACCTTAAAATGTCCTCATAACGCAGCTTTAATGGAGATTTAACAAAGCAAAACACACACTGAGACCTTAAAATGTCCCCAAACTCAGCTTTAATGGAAATTCAACTACAAAAGACAAACTGAGACCTTAAAATGACCCCATAGCTCAGCTTTAATGGAGATTCAACTACAAAACACACATTGAGACCTTAAAATGTCCTCATAACTCAGCTTTAATGGAGATTCAACTACAAAACACACACTGTGACCTTAAAATGTCCCCATGACTCAGCTTTAATGGAGATTCAACTACAAAACACACACTGAGACCTTAAAATGTCCCCATAACTCGGCTTTAATGGAGATTCAACTACAAAACACACATTAAGACCTTAAAATGTCCCCATAACTCAGCTTTAATGGAAATTCAACTACAAAACACACACTGTGACCTTAAAATGTCCCCATAACTCAGCTTTAATGGAAATCCAACTCGAAACAGCTCCAGCAAAGGGGAAAACACGCAGCACACAGGCTGCTCAGGCTCAGAGTCCTTCAAAATAAGAGTCCTGGACCAACTATCACAGTGCATAACTATACACAACCAATAGCAAGAACAACATTACTTTTAAACTAAATACGACCCGGCACGTCTGACGCCACAATATTCAAAAATGAAAAAAAAACAAATGAAACAAGAATATGTTTTTGTTCTTATGGGCCTATACAAAAACATAGATATAAATTTTATAGGTTTTGTAGCCTTTATATAAAAAGCTGTTGAGGTCATTCTGACTGTTTCAGTGCACAAAATATGTGTGTGTAGTTCTCATGTAAGTAGTTGTTAGTATTTCATTTTTTTTATTTTTTTATTTTGCAGAACAGTAAATAGTGCTTTTGTAATTTTGTATTTTGCTAGTTGTTTAAAGAGGAGTTTAAGGGGAGATTAGATTTCTGTTTACACATCCAAAAAAAATGTCTGCACTTACTTTACATCCAGCCAGAGACACATTATTTTAATAGTTATTTATCGCTTCTCATATCGTCATCGTGAAATCGGACAGCTTTATTGAACATCACATTTTATGTCAATATCGTGCAGCCCTAGTGTCATACAAGCATTTTAATATTATACTCTGTTCTCTGGGAAATGAGTGACCACTGGGCAAAAACAAATAATATAATGTACCAATTAACACACCTAAACACCAGCACGAGAGTAAACGTAGCACGTACTGAAGAAAATACAGTTTATGTTTGATAAATTCTGCTTTCACCAGGACAAAACTAAACTAATGACAAATTAAAACAGTTTGTATAAAATAAATTTGATATAATTAATAGAGTATGTATAATGCAGAATTTGATTTATTGTTCATTTGACAAAAACATGAAAGTATTTTATATAAAGTATTTCTGTTTGGCATCCTGACACAGATAACAAGACTACAAGCCTGCCTGCTGTTTCAGTTCTCTGAGTACTGATTAAGTAATTGTGTGTGTGTGTGTGTGTGTGTGTGTGTGTGTGTGTGTGTGTGAATGAATGTGTTTAGGTGTGGCTGCCAACTGTGCTTCAGCTGTAGCCCAGATGGCAGCGGCTTCCTGTGTGCAGGAGGAGAAGGAGGAGAGGGATCCGGCTGAGGTTGGAGATGCCATTACTCAAGGTACATACACACAGTACAGAGCCTGTACTGTCCTTACACAAGCAGTACAAGTCTGTCACAGTTATTATGTAATCACCTGATCACAAGTATTTGAGATGTTTGCACTTATTTTCTACAGTGGTTACAGGGGAACACCACCGATTTTGCAAAATTACTTAATCATTCAACCATGTAGATGTAAACAAAATCATTCAGAGTGGTTTGGTGTGAAATGCGCCCTTCTAGAGGAATTTAAAGAGTTGAAATTGTTCACCATTGTAGTACTAGGAAGCAGACGTTGTCATGTCTACACTACAGATATCACCATTTTATCTTCAATCCAAAATGACCAGTGAACTTACATGTGTCTTAGAAGGTTTTGTATGTCACACTGATAATGTTAAAATAGTGCTAAATTTGAAAAAAAATGTGGTTTTTGGGTATTGTTTTTTCCTTACCATGCCCTGCATGTACCTCTCTGCCCGGCACACCTTTTGTGTTGTTTGGGTTGGCGACGTTGTGTCGCACGGTGTCGGAGAAACTCATAGTTTATGTGAGTAACGTTATTCATCAGAGGAGCTGCGATAGATCACAGTTGCACCTCGCTGTCCTACCCCATAATCTGGTGAGCAGAGTAGAAAGTAGTTTGTTGTTGACACCGTTTCCATTTGCCCTGGGTTCTTCTGCTTTGGCGCCGGCGGGTGCTGTATCCGATTCAATTCCCCCTTAAAATTAACGCTCCCTTTGACAAATCAGGTCCTCGGATGTCTGCATTCACTGGACAACGCCAAGCAGCTCTGGAATTAGGGGCAGTTGTGGGCTGGAGGTTAGGGAACCAGCCTTTTGACCGGAAGGTCACTGGTTCGATCCCGTGAACTGACAGGACATGACCCCTCCGGGCGCTGTGGATAGGGCTGCCCACCTCTCCGGGCAAGTGTGCTCACTGCCCCCTAGTGTGTGTTCACTAGTGTGTATGTGGTGTTTCACTGCACAGATGGGTTAAATACGGAGGTGAATTTCCCCACTGTGGGACTAATAAAAGATAACTACGGAAAGCGAAAAGGTTAAAAAAAAGATTAAACGGCTGCGTATTTTCACCCAATCCCCAATATAAATTTACCCAAGATAACATTAATATTATTTTCAATTAGAGTAAACAGTAAACTATCAGACTGATAAGTACTTTCTGTACCGTTCGTCGCCGACTGGGTGAATACAGCTGCAGCACAAACCCTTTTGAATGCGCCGCCCGCGGACCTGATTTGTCAAAGGGAACGTGAATTTGAGAGGGAACTGAATTGGATACAACACCGTCATTAGCCGTGCTGAATGACTGTAGCTACAGGCTAATAACTACAAAAGCATGTTAGGTTGCACACATTGATCTCGGTTGAGAATGCGGTTTTGAGAGGAAACATGGAAATAATCCTGGAGTAATATTTTTACTAAAAATAAGTTTTAGGCAAAAACTTTATATCAAAGCCATCACAAAACAATGTCTCAGGTATCAGGCAACACATTTATAACCACTTTGTGTAATAACTTTCTGGTATGTAGCTTTTGGAGCCATTAAATACTTCAGACGTCTGGTTCCTAGTACTATAGTGGTGAACAATTCTGACTCTATAAATCTTTCTAGAAAGGTGCATTTCACACTGAACCACTCTGAATGATTTTGTTTACATCTGAACCACTGAATGATTAAGTAATTTTGTAAAAATCGGTGGAGTTCCCCTTTATTCATTTCAGATGATTGAGGGTCTGCTGTGTTTTCCTTTTCATTTGAAACGTGACTGAATCATTCCTGAGTCAGAACACCAGGCTAAACAGACTAACTGCATCGTGGTTCACACTGTTTGTACATCACATTATCTGTGGCAAACCGGTATCTAACGGTTCTAATGAAACTTATACCTAAAGATGAACTGGTATACCACCCACGGCTAAGAGCAACCCAGTGTTAGCTACATAGCAACGCTGTCCAGAGAAAATCTCCATTTTTACTATTTATTTACTTTTTTTTCAATTTTTACTACATCATTTAAACACAGCAGCTGGTCTTTACATTGTGTGGAAATTTCCTGTGAAAGGACCAATAGAAATGCTCCAAAATTACTTAAACCTCTTTACATTAACTTACATCAGATATTAAGAACATTTTTACTCTCTCTTGTAAAGTTACTATTTGGGAGATAATTGTTTTTCTTTAGACAGCGACAATATTAAAAATATCTAGGAAGCTACAGATGTTCTGTGTCTAATATCAGCCGTTTAACATTGACATTGTTATTACTGCTGAAGTACTGCAGTGGGGTTGAAAAGAGACTGGTAAAAAAAAATGCTTTCCTTTCTCATTTAATACAAAATGTTTCATTACAAAAAATATTACCAGTATAGGAATTTGAGTGAAAAGTAGAATAATTGAAATTGTAACATTTCAAGTTGAATTTCAGAATTTCCTAGTATTTGGTGGTACTGCTCCATTTTGCTTTAATTAACTCCTCAGGTTTGCAAAAGCATCTGAAAAGCAGATCAAATCCACCTGAGAGGCATCTGAACATGAGCTTGAAATAAAAAAAAAAAGCTAATCTGGCCTCTCTGTACGAAGACCTTAACATGGCTCATGTAACAAAGCTGTTTAAATTGGAATGGTTTTTACATGTCATAACTTTTCTTTGTGTATTTTTTTTAAATTATATGATTTTTGTGTTATTTCCAGGTCCAAATGAAAAAAAAATCACAAATTCTTTGTTTTTAACATGTATAAGATGTTGATATAATGCTCCGACAGTGAGGATGCTTGCCTTAATGAGGCAGTTGTATGTTTTGGTGATAGTTAAGCAGCGAATGGAGCAGAAGCTGGAGCAGATGGGTCGTTGTCAGGGAGTGAGGCTGCACACTGCTCACGTGCTCTGCATGGACGCCATCCTCAACGTGGGTTTGGAGATGGGCAGCCATAATCACGACTGCTGGCCGCACGTCTTCAGGTATGATTCGCAAGCCTTCATCTGACAGCATTCTTCTCAGTGAAGACAACCCTACACAGTTTTATTACTGCTCACAACACGCCTGGGCCAGGTAATCAGCGCTTGTGTAGCTGGCATTGTTTTTGTTTTCAGTGGGTCGGCTTTGTAATAAAACTAGAAATATTTGAAGGGGCTGATTGTTATGACCCAGTCTAGGGTTAGGCCATAACATAAAAGGAAAGAGAGAGAGAGAGAGAGAGAGAGAGAGAGACATTTGTGCCCTTCCAATTCCCTTGACCACGCACACAACAACCAGCTTTACAATGGTAATGATTTATTGAAGTTGTAACATAGATGAGAAAACATAACAAAGCTAACTAAATTTTAACGACTAACTAAACCAACAAAAAGAAAATACATCAAATTTAACCTAACTCCTTAACTTAACCAACAACCAGGAGAAAAGATAGAAAGAAAGATAAACAAAAATGTTATTGTGAAAGTGATTTACATGTTTACATGTTTAATGCAGAAATGATGCAGGGATTGAACAAAATTGTGAGCCCTTGCAGATCAATTAATCAATCATCCCTTATTTAAACTTGGGGTACACTGAGAGAGACCCTCATAAACAGTGTAGATGAGCAATGTACAAAAACAACAGGTTAAAAAGGGTAAATATGAATCTGTAATAATAAAAATGTAGTGAATTAAAGCATAATGTAATTAAAACCACTCCTAATAAAGATGGATCTTCAAGGGTTCTTTAGCAAAGACAGTGGTTCTGTGTAGAACCGTGAACATTCAAAGAACCCTTTGCATGATTAAAGGGTTCTTTGTATGGTGAAATGGTTCTTCTGATTGATGGAGAATGTACTGTAGATGGTTCTACATAGAAACAGTTCTATATAGCACCAATAGGGGTTGTGCTATTGGTACGATTTCAAGCTTGTAACAGTAGAAGAGCCATTTTTGGTGCTACTAGAACCCTTTTCAAAAAGGTTCTATTGTGGTGCCCAAGGTGGTTTGATGTTTGTTGAAAGGTCAAAATGGCTCTTCTTATCATTTGTGTTGTGACTCCTGACCTAACCTGGCTTTAATGCTGAGGGAGCCGGTCGGATTTTTCACTCATCCAGTAGTGTTTTTGTTATGAGCCGCCACAGACTGTCCGGGCGCTGCACTTCCGCACTTCCAAGTTCCGCCCTTTGCGTTCTGTCAACATTACGATCAAATAAAATGAACAAAAAATTGATTTTTGACATTTGTGAATCGATTCAGAATCGTCCACGTCCGCATCGCGATGCATCTAAGAAACGAGTCACCTCTAATGAAGAAGCAGCACTAGATGATCTTAAAGCTCGATTTGGAACATCGTCCATCAGCACTTAGAAATGTATGAAGGTGCTAAACCATTAAGGGATTTAGAATCTTTAACAGTTCCTGAATGTTTCAGGGTGATCGAGTACGTGAGCTCGCTGGAGCACACTCACTTCAGCGACGGGACCTCGCAGCCTCCTCTGGCCATCACTCAGGCGCAGCAGGCTGTTGCGGCGCTGGTGGACCCGGGCCTGGAGCTGAGCGCTGAGCCCGTCCCGGAGCTAGAGCTGAGCATGGGGAACCCGGTCATCCAGCCTGTTTCCATCCAGGAGCTGCTGCGCGAGAGCAGCCACGCTAAAGGATTCGACCTGCGGGGAGGCAGTCTGCTCACGGGCACCAACGCCGCCAAGGCCGTGTGCACACTGTCCACTCAGGCTGACCGGTATGGGACACAGGGAGCTTTCAAAGAGTCTCTTCTTATTTTCTTTGCTCACTCTTTATGTCTACTTTTTTGTTCATGTTGCTTTATGTCCTGCTTTATCACAGCTCTGCAGTAGGGAAGCTGAATGCTGAAATATGCATAGGACTGTTGTTCATCTCATTTAGAGTTTCCCTCGTGTTATCGTTATGAACATTTGTTCATGATGCATGTGTTGATTTTGTAGTATATGTATGGCCACTAGGGGGAGCTCATATCTGATACAGCTCAAACAGTTTTCTCTGCAGCTCTACCATAATGTACATAGTAGCACTGAATTATTTGGGCAAAATATCTAATATTGCAACTGTGATTTAAATTGCAATTATTTTTCTATTAATTAAGGTTCAGGTTTTTTTTTTTTGCCAAGAAGACCAGAATATTCACTTCTTCTGGCTTGAGTAAGTTGTGGTAGTGAAGTCATAACACATGCAGCTTGGTGGCCTCTGATTGGTCTAATTCATCTATAGGCAGTTCACAAGCTCTGTTTTATTAGATTAAATTTCCCCACTTAATTTTTTAAAAAATTGCAGCTCTTGCGATTTGAAAATTGGACTATTCATATTTGCACTATCAAATTGCGATTTCGATATAGAAACGATGAATCATTCAGCCCTAATACGCAGACAGGAATGCATGTTGAATTTGAATGTAGTCACTACAGTGGAAAAACGTGAAATGCAATGCACATGAGATTTATTGTTCCAAAATGAAAAGCAAAACCTCTGTGATATTGTTTTCATGTCACTTGACCTCTTTACTAAAACAGTGCATGAGGATTTGCATTTCGTCGCAGTCAAAACAAAACCTCACATCTCCAGAGTGGTAACTTTTCAGGAGAAGAAAAAACCTCCTTAACTTATAATGACTAGTCAAAAATTCAGAGAGGAAAACAAGTTATTGTTTGACAAGCTTCTTCTTATTGTGACAGACTTCAATTTTGATCAGTATTGTTCTTATTGTTTAGTGATTTATCACTGCTACAGTTCTCATTGTCCCTACAGTGTTTATCTGTAGTGCTTCATACTCATAAAATGTTTTGTACTTGAATCATAAGCTTAAACTTCCGTTCCACTGTTGTTTCACTTACAGCAGACCTTGTTTTGTTTGCAAAAGTTTTGGCACCCCCGGCCAAATTCCACATTTTGTTGTTTTTCTGAATGAAAATAAGTGAACATGTCCTCTACAGAGGACACACTTCTGCACATTTTAATACACAATTACTGTTATTTATTTGCTTAATTTTACATATTGGATGTAACGTGACAGAACCTCGCAAAGTCTAAAGCTAAAACCTCAGGCTTATAAACGATGCTAACGAGATCATGTGATACATAGCGCAGGTGAACAGAATCAGTAATCCTGTGACGGAGATCTCTGATTGGTAGTGTGGGGTGATGTCACAGTCATGTGTTCATTCTGAGGATTCTGGGAGATGGAGTGTTCCAGAGAGTCAGAGGGATGCGTGACAATTGGAAAAAATTAAAAATAAAATATGGTCTGTGCAAAATTTATGTTACATTTTATGCTGTATGTTTTATGTTTTCCAGCATGTTAAACTCAGCAAATGTGCATGAAAAATACCATATTTAGGTTTGTTCTGTGTAGAGGATGTTCTAACTTATTTTCACTTAAAAAATCGACAAAATCAAACCTTTACCTACAAATTTATATTATAACCATTAAAGTGACAAGGTTATTCAAACCTAACTAACTCTGATTTGCTTGCTCGCTGCACGTTAATACCAAATTTGTATATCGCTGTTGTCGGAACAAAACATCGTATCTCCAAAATGGTGACTTTACAGGAGAAGAAAACATACTTTACTTTTAATGTAAGTCAATGGAACCAGACTTTTTTCCAAGTCATTTTGTGCCGTTTCTTTTGGTTCATTCTTCATGACATTTACACACAATTTAAAGGGGAACAGGCATTTTCAAACTATGTCAGAAACTGAAAAATGACAAAAATTAAGATGTGAGGTTTTGTTCTGACAGTAGCGATTTGCTTCACACATTTTTACACTATGATTCTGCTGTTTCTCCATCATTAAACTATGTCATTTTTGGTTCTTGCTTGCTTCTTAAAGACTGTTTGAAGATGCTGTGAGCAAACTTAACCTGGTGGGTCTAGTGGGTTTCCTACACCAGCTGAGAAAAGCCTCCCAATCACAGCTCTTCGACTCGGTCACAGAGACAGGAGACTACTCTTTAGCCATGCCAGGTAGAAAAGTGTCTTGCTTCCTACCATGTTTACCTTATTAAAAAAGCATGTGGGATTTTGCTGGTCTTCATTTATATTCACCCAGACCTCAATTACACACATTTTAAACACAGGTCAACACAGTACATAGTATTTGATGATTTTCTTTTTGTTCTTTTGTTGAAGGAGAGGCGAAGTCCACTCAGGAGAAGCGTAGCGCTCTGCACCTCTTCAGGCTGGGTGAGGCCATGCTTCGCATCGTGAGGAACAAGAGTAGACCCCTGCTACACATGATGAGAGCCTGGAGTGTAGTGGCTCCTCATCTGGTGGAGGTATGAAAGAAGAAATGGCCTGTTGCTATTATTTATTTATCTTCAGTGAGTCACTCTTTACCTTTATTCCAGCTTCCATTCTTTTCAGGAGACTCACTTTCAGTTCCTCAAAGAATCTGCAGACACACCTCCAAAGTTCAGTCATAGAAGCTGGTTGATCATTTTCTGAAGTAATCAAACACATTCAGTGGTGTTGAGGTCTGGACTCTGGGGTGGTCAGTCCATCGTTCAGCTTCTTTGTTTGATGTGTCCGTCTCCTTTTCTCAGTGAGGTTCTTCTTGATCAGCTACACATCCTTTCAGACCCACAGCGCTGAGTCGTCTTCTCACAGTGGAAGGATGGACAGAAACACCTGTGGATGTTTTCAGATCTGAAGCAGCTTGATTTTCTCCTCTCTCTCAGAGATGAAAGCTTTAAGTGCTGTTTATCTGATGGGGGCAGTTTTGGGGTCGACCAGCTCTTCCAGGTGGTTGTTAGGAATCTGTAGCTTTTAATCATTTTTTGACCTCCAGTTTTGGAAATGTTTTTTTTTTTTCACTCATTTTCCTTTGACTTTTTCCTCTTTTATGCAAGTGGATCATCTTATATCTAATCTTCTCAGAAATATCTCCTGAAAATGAATAACTTGTACTTAATAGCTGTGTTAACAAAAAACTTACAGGACTTCCAGAATAAGCCACTGTTTTTCTTTCCGTCTCTTCAGGCCGCCTGTCATAAAGAACGGCACGTTTCTCAGAAGGCTGTATCTTTTATCCACGATGTGTTGCTGGAGGTGTTGAGCACCTGGGCGGAGCTGCCACACTTTCATTTTAACGAGGCGCTGTTCCGGCCATTTGAGCACATTATGCAGCTGGAGTTGTGCGATGAGGATGTTCAGGATCAGGTGAGTCCAACCACTGCTGCATTTGCAATTAGCAGCACCTTGTATGTCCCCTGTAATGAGATTGCTCAGTCATGACTGTTATCAAATGATATTTTTGTTTGTCAGACATAGTAAGTGTAAAGCAAGGCAAGTTTATTTGTACAGCACAGTATACACAGTAGCAGTTCAAAGTGCTTTACACAAACAGAAAAACAGAAGCATTAGATATCAATATAGCTTATAACATTTCTGAGATCCAGCACCTCAGAAAAGCTTTTCCAACGAGTGTTACTAAGAGATGATGATAAGCGTACAAGAAGTAAGAAATGCAAGTGCGGATTATACATGTCATTTCCAGCACCCCGAGTGAGGAGGAGCACCAAAAGTTACCACTTTTGCATGTTGAATAGCAGCTGTAACTGAACAAAAATCTTACTTCGAAGTAATAACAACCTCTAAGCTGTTAAACAAGTGTAGACGTATAATGAAAAGCATTTTTATTGGGCAGTTTCTGTTAATATTGTAATTTAGGCCATGACTGGACTTAATGTGCCAGGAAAAAGGATGTGATTTTCAATAATTAATGACTATTATTTTTAATTAATGGCATTTTTGTGGATAGTTTATAAAGAACTAGAGATAGCATGATACCATGCTCTTTTCATTATTTTTTCCTTAAAAACTACTAAGCTTTAAAAACAGCAGTTTTAAATTTAAGCACTTCATTTCGTCACCTTTCGGTAAAATTTGCGGTTTGAATGATAAATACGCCATAAATATGTCGTTCACATTAATTGTGTAGATTTTATTTTAAAAGGTTTTTAATTTAGCATTCTAAAGCTGGCAGTACACTACACCACTTTTAAGTTCACAGGATGTTTTTACCAAAATGTAAAAAGGGCCACGTTTCATAAGAATTGAAGTGTCATTTTTGCGTATTCAAATTTCTTTCTTCAGTAGCTTTCAAACGTGCGCAAAAAGGTTAATGTGTAGTAATCATCATTGTTAGCTACCAAGACAGTCAGCATCTATTTAGTTTTTGTCTGAATTGGATATAAAACACATTGATTTCTGTGGACTCTAACTACTATGAGAGCTAAACAGCCATCTACAAATTAAATCGTAAATGGCAATCATCGGGGTCCAAGCACCACATGCCTTGTGGAGCCGGTGGATACAAATGATGGGCAATGTTTTAATAATGGCCTCTACTTATAGCATATGTGGGGTCTTAAAGATCTGCCTAATATTTTCATTTTGACCAACAGCAACGTCCAAACAAAATTCTTTTGGGTGTGATTTGTATATGTGCATTTGTTGAACTTACATAGCAGCAATTACTGCTGTATTTTAGTATCAGAGTTCACCAAAATGCTAAGTAATTTTCATATTAAAATCATTTTTCATGAAATCAGCTGCTGGATCCCACTTAAAGGGATTGGTTTTTGTCATATTTTTTCACTGCTCATGAGTTTTTATGTCTGTAAGGTCTTGATCTGAATGTAAGCTGTGATGCGGAAACTATTACATCACATCACACTGTGCTGTTTCAAAATTTGCTATAAGATTGGATCACATTCACTCTTTATGCCTCCAGTATCCATCCAGATCAGAGCCATCTCTATAAAGAGATATTTTTTTCTATATGAGATCACTACTTTATTTTAAACTATTTGTGAGGTTCTCTGTCACACATACCATACTCCTCTCTTCATTGTGGTTGCCAGGTTATCACCTCCATTGGGGAGCTGGTGGAGCTGTGCTCTCCTCAGATTCAGTCTGGCTGGAGGCCTCTCTTCAGCGCACTCCGCACTGTGCACGGAAGCAAGAGTGACATGAAGGACTATCTGATTGGAGAATACTCTATGGGTCAGTACAGTGTACCTAACTGAAATGCCATTACTGTAACCCCACTCAGCGTTTCCTCCATCGATAAATAGACTGAGGATGAGATAGGATGAGATACAGACATGAGAATCTAACTGGCAGGCAGAAATAAATGTCTCAGTCTACAGGGTGATTCAGAAAGATTCAGCCAATTTCAAAATGATGTATTTCACTTGTGAATCATTACAGAACAATGCAGTAAACTGTAAATGGTTTAAATGAGCATAAAGTTTATAATGTAATTGTACAAGGTCTCAGTATGAACCTCCTCCAGCTTTACGAACAACATCAATGCCATAGTCAGATTCATCCCATACTGGATTGAGCATGTCGGGTGACGCTGCACTCACAGCTCTTTCAGTGCGATTTCGGAGATCATCCAGTGTTGTGGAACCAACGCCGAATGCTCTGAGCTGTTGGAGGTTCACTGCCGACGAAAATCACACTGCACAGTTCTGACGGATTCACTCTTATTGAAGTGGAGAACGCAGAACACTTTCTGCTCAGGGGTCTCATCTCCTCTCAGACTGAAGGGAGCCATCTTCCACTGACAGTCAGAAACTCTATGACCCCCCTCTTTCAATTGGATTGTGATTGGTTCCTATGTGCCTTCGTAATCAGATGAATGTTTTTGAATCACCCTGTATTTCTGGCACCGATCCGATCATTGATATAGCAGAATGTGGCTGAGGTGAGCTGGCTTATGCTGGAGGAGCAGCATCTAACTCTGGTCTTCTTTAAAGAATTTCTTGGTACTTAAAGAAACAAAGTTTTCTTGCCAACTGAGATATTAGTTTGAGGTTGTTGTGTTGAAATAAGCACCTATACACCTATAAAAAGGGTAAGAAAAGACATGAAACATAAGCATCCTTGCTTATGCTTCAGAGCTCCCCCTTTCTGGATGTTTTCAGATCAGCAGAGGCCTTCAGATCCAGACCCTGAATCTACTTTTCGGCCCTGTGTTTTGTAATCACTGCTAGTTAACTGAACTATTAATGTATCTGATTGGCCGCTTAGTATCATACCCACCAGTGACTGCAATCTCTACGACTGGAATCTGGATTCAAGGTCCAGATTTGAAGTTCTCGGTCCCATGGAATTCTTCAGGTTCTAATAACCAAAAGCAGATTTGTTTGGACATTTATTTTTTAAGGAACTATTAATTTGTTTTATATATTTATAGAAATATATTGTTGCTGTCCAAAAACAAAGCCTATATCTCCAGAATAGTAACTTTACTCTTAATCATCATAAAACACAACTGCTGTGTTCAAAAGTTATAGAAAAAAATTGGAGATACATGTAAATATATGTAAATATTTTTTGGCTCAGTATGAACTGTAAAGCATTCAGTCGCACATGAATTCTTTGGATAAAAAACAACTATAAATGAACAAATAAAGCACTTTTTCTAAAGTAGACGTGTAGAGAACATAATACTTGGTGTATTCACATGTATAGTAGGGCTAGAAAACTAGTTAATATGCAATTTTCAAATCCGGAGAGCTGCAATTTTAGTTATAGCTTACATTAACAATGCTGTTCGTAAGTTTTAAGTGGGAATATCTAATAACTTGTAGCTTGTGTACAGTCAGACCAAACAGAAGCACAGGTTATACATGAAAACGCAGTTACAACTTACTGGCAGTCAGATGCACTACATTCAGTGTTCACACCTCAAGCCAGAAGCAATGTATCTGCTAGCACTTTTGGGCAAAAAAATAAATAAAACAAATAAAGATAAATTAGAAAATAAATTAAATTTAAATCTCAAGGCAAGGCAATTTTATTTATATAGCACCTTTCAAACACTGCTGTCATTCATAGTGCTTTACAAATGTGAAAATTCAGAGTCAGAGTTTAACAAAAAGTAAAGTAAGCACAATTAGAAAAACATAACTAAAAACAACATTAAAAATATAATTAAAACCAGATTAAAACAATAAGTTTAAGAGAGAAAATCATTAAATTAAAAGTTAGATTAGTATTTAAAAAGTGCCGTTACAGAGAAAAAAGGAGCTAGAAACACTAACAGTGTTAAAACTGAGCTGAAAACAGGAACGTTTTGAGCCTGGATTTAAAGTGTCCAGTGTCGGGGCTCTTCTAAACCTCTCTGTCAACTGGTTCCATTTAAGAGCAGCAGAGTAGCCAAACGCTGCTTCTCCATGTTTAGTCTTTACATTTGGCAGGACTAACTTACCAGTTCCTAATGATCTGAGAGTTCTGCTCGGCTCATATCGCGGCAGCATAACTGATAAATACACTGCTCCTGCACCACTGAGCAATTTATAGACCAGTAATAGTATTTTAAAGTCTATTCTGGAACAGACTGGTAGCCAGTGTAAGGATTTAAGAATGGGGGGGGTTCCTTCTTTTACTCCTAGTGAGAATCTGGCAGCTGCATTCTGAGTCCGCTGAAGCTGTTTGATTGTGTTTTTTGGGGGTCCAGTTAGGCGACCATTACAGTGATCAATCCTGCTAAAATGGATGAGTGGATGAGTTTCTCCAGGTCTGCTTTAGTCAGAACATCTCTGATCTTGTTGATGTTCTTAAGGTGATAAAAAGCTGATTTAGTAACTGCTTTGACACAACTGCTAAAACTAGATCGAATTCAATTTATGCACCAAGGTTACATTCTAGTCATTTAGTTGTTAGGGCTCTTGAATTCGGATAGGCAGCTAGTCTTTGCCTCTCATTGCTGTTCCCAAAAAACAAAAAATCTCTGTTTTATCAATATCTGTTTTTATATTCAACTGCAGAAAGTTTTGTTCCATCCCGTTAGTGATGAGCTCAAGGCACTTACTTGTCACAGTAACAAATATTGGTCAGAAAAGTCGCAGTTAGATATTCTCTCCAAATCGTTCAGCCCTAATGTGTCAGCTTCAGAATTCTACCACCCAGCCTGTAAAAAAAACTAGAGGAAACACAGACTCCAGTGTTCGTCGTCACTAACACAACTTGTCACTAATACAACTATACAACTTGTTTTATTTCAGGCAAATCCCAAGCACCTGTGTTTGACGTCTTTGAAGCCTTCATTAATACAGACAACATTCAGGTGTTTGCCAACGCAGCGACTGACTACATCATGTGCCTTATGAAGTTTGTGAAGGGGTTAGGTAAGCCTCCTTTACTACAGATATACTGGAGTGAATAATGCTCACCCACACCCAAGACGATGATGCAGGTATTTTCTTAATATTCTGTCTTTCTATCTGGATTTATGTAGTTTTGTGACCGACTTGTTTGCAGGAGAAGTGGATTATAAGGAGATTGGGGATTGTGTTCACATGAATGGATACAGCTCTACAGACTTGTGCCTTCCTGCCCTGGATTACCTGAGGAAGTGCTCACAGGTAAGCAGAGCTCAAGTAATTGCTGTCCATAGTCACCCAAAAATGGCTAATATTAGTAGTAATTGAAAGCTTACTGGGACTAATCAGTGTTACACATACATGGCCAAACTAACTGGTTCCCTCTGGCTTGGGTGTTAGAATATTGGTCTGAAGTATTGCTTTTAGAGCAACACTGAGTCCAGCTCAATGCTGTGTTTCTACTATTAAAACAACTCAGTACTAATTAAAATGTACAGTCATCAGCTCTTTAAATTGCATTCATGTTTGGAATATGGATCTCTATTAGAAGCTTGCTTAAGGCAAGCCACAGTTAACTGCCTTAAATTAGTGTTGTGCAGGGGTGGAAATGGGCATCAGTTCCTCATTCTGGGAGTAAATGCCAGGACAGAACTTTGTTCTGGCTCATATCTTGAGACTATTTTTATAGCAAAACCACATATAGTTGTTTGAATCTGTTTTTAAGTATGTGCATGAAATTGTTTGCACCTCAAGTGGCAGCCAAATTACGCCACAGTCCGTAATAAAAGTGATAGTCAACGTCTAAATATCTACTCATAGTCCACTCAGAGTAATTTAATATCATTTGACGATTTGTTTGTTTATACACTAAAGCCTTGGGTTCACTACACGACTTTTAAAGTCTTAACAAATTATAAAAGACAGCATCTCACGCTGTCCGACTGATTTTTCAGGCGGCTGAAATATTGGGGATACGCACTAAACGATTAGGGATCACACACTACTCAGCTTTTAAGCTGTTGCTGAACCGAACAGAACTCACTGAACTCACTGAAGTCTCACGTTCTCCTGTTACTAGGAGACCCAAATAAACAAACGTGCAGCTGCTGCTGCTGTTTTCTCTGCTGTTTGTGCTGATGCAGTAAAGAAGCAGCAGGTAAACATGTTTAAGGATCATGGATTTAAAAATGTGATCAGTTTGGTATTTTTAGAGTTTTAGAAGTACATGAACTTGATTATGCCTTAAACTCAGCGCATTAAAAAGCTTCGCTCCACACGTGAGAGACCTTTGCCATTTTTCTTTGTTTACTTGGTATATTTTCTTCTTTCGCACTCTCAGGTGGAGGAGTCTGTTCAGATTGAGTCGTTGATCAGTTTACACTAGATTTCGCTCAGTCAGGTAAAAAAAAATAAAACGTTTGATAAACTGACTGGTTTGAAACGTGATCGGGAGGCGAAAAATCTGAGTCTGCGCCCCTCAACCACGACTCGACTCTCTCTCCAACTGTCGACTCAGACTGACCCAAAAATCTGCAACTAGCGCAGACCCAGCCAGACCGAGAATTGGGGCTAAAATCGGGGTAAAAGTCGTGTAGCCTAAGTTTAAAATGCCCACCAATAACTCAGTGCGTTAGTTGATGAGACTCAAATTTGGCTTGAGCCGCCTGAAGATGGTATCATCAGTTGCTGATAGTTGCCACCAGTCGTGTTTTAAACGTCCAGAAAGACGCTATCCACCACTTCAAGATTCACATAAGTAATTGTGTTTGTCTCAGTCTGTTTTCTTTTAATGTGTAACATTAGTCCATGTCCTGAATCAGCTCTGAAATCTGGCTTTAGGACATTCTGTAGCAGCGCGAGGAAGATCTTTTTCCCAGCTGTTGTCATGCTTGTTAAACTGATACAGACGTTCAGCAGCCTTCGCTCACAGTACATGAAAGGGGGCTTATAAGATTCTTATATTGTTATCAGTTATTCAAAACAAAAAATACTACACACATCAACAGCAATCGTAGACTTTAGGCTACTTTTCAGCTTTTTATTATTTTAAGGAGATGCAACCTTTAGGCTGTAAACATATGATGTAAACCTATAGCAAAAACTACCAAACCATACCAAACACTATCAAACCATACCAAGAATAGCCCTGGTCTTATGTGGCCTGGCCATATGCATCTAGATAAGTCTAGATCTGAAAAGCTGTGACTTGTGTGTAACAGTGATGTTTATGGATTCCAGCTATTAGCCAAAATTTACAAGATGCCTTCCAAGCCGGTGTTCCTCGGGGCGCGGCTGGCCAGTCTGCCCATGAGAGCTCAGGAACGGTCTGTGAGCAGCGAAGATGGCATGGACTGTGTTCTAGCAGAGTTTGACGATGACACAGGTGACTCCCAAACTTCATCTCACTCTGATTTCATTTAAGGAGCCCAGGCAGTGGACAATAACAGTGCATGTTGCGTTCAGAACATTACTTGAAGGATTATAAAGTGGCAAGTTATAGACATCCGGTATAAAAACTGTGTTGAATCCAACACGACACTCAAATCTTTAAGGCTGAGTGAATTTGTGTGTCTGCAGGTCTGATCCAGGTGTGGATCCTCCTGTTGGAGCAGTTGACTGCAGCTGTATCGAACTGCCCCCGGCAGCATCAACCACCCACCCTGGAACTGCTGTTTGAGCTTCTCCGAGAGGTCACCAAGACGCCAGGTACTCGGCAACTCTTCCACAGTTTGGGCATTCCTGGCCAAATAACATATTTTGTTGATTTGTGAATTGAAAAGAAGTAAACACAACCTCTGCAGCAAACTACACTATAGATTGCACCCATATGAGCTTGCTGGATGCCCCAAATTCATGGACATTAATATGGGGTTTTTGCTGCTACAACAGCTTCCACTCTTCTTGGAAGCTTTCCCCAAGAATTTGGAGTGTGTCTCAGTCAAAAGAGCCATTTGGAGCCATTCAGTCAAAAGAGCTTTTTTCAGATCAGACATGTCTTTATGGAGCTTGGTTTGTGCACAGGGGCTCAGTCATGGAACAGGAAAGGCAAAAATGTCTTTGTGCTGTAGCATCAACATCACCGTTCACTGGAACTGAGAGGTCCAAACCCTGAAAAACAGCCCAGCCCATCATCCCTCCTCCACTATACTTTACTGTTGGTACTATGCATTCCGTTAGGTAGCATTCTCCTGGCATCCACCAAACCCAGATTCATCCATCAGACTGACAGACAGAGAAGCGTGATTCATGTTTCCACTGCTTTTCGAACCCAGTGGCGGTGTGCTTTACACCATTCCAGCCGACACCTTCTATGTCAGTGCTTAGTAACACTCCCTTTGGCACATATGACAGCTTGCAAATGCTTTTTGTAGCCAGTTAGGAGTTTTTCTGTTCATTGTTGTCACAGTTTTTAAGGTCATCAAATATAAAGTAACTGTGCATTAACATTTACAGAAAAATGCTCATTTTTAATAGTTTGCTGCAGTGTTTTTGGACTATATGTACTAGGGGTGTAATAACACACTCAACCTATGATTTGATTTGATTCACGGTACTGGGTTCATTATTCAGTGTTCTCATTATACTTTGAACAATACGTCCATGTATACACCTCAATCGTAATAGACTATACAATGTCTATCTGATTGAACGAGGTGGGTAATCCTGTAAATAATCCGTTAAATAGAAGAATAATATCCGTGTAAATGCCTGTATCTGATTACATTCCCTATCGGAAAGTTTAAGTCCGTTCTGCGTGTGCGTCGCGTCATAGTGAAAGTTTGTAATGTTCAACATGGCGGAGCAGAAGCAAATAAACACCTCAGGCTTGATCTAGAATCAGAATGTATTCAATCAGATTGACAAAAATCTTTGCATGTAAACACAGCCATTGTCACAATGCATTGTTACACCCCTAATATGTGCTGTTCTTTCCTCCAAAGGCCCAGGCTTTGCCATTTTCTCAGTCATCCAGCTCCTCCTGCCAGTCATGTCACTATGGCTGCAGCGCAGCCACGGAGATTACTCGTACTGGGACGTCGCTGCCGCAAACTTTAAGCATGCCATCGGCCTCTCCTGTGAGCTGGTAGTGGAGCACATCCAAACCTTCATACATTCAGGTGAGTCTATATTTGTGAGTTATGAATGTGAAACACTAGTTTAAAACGTGAAAACCTTCAGTTAATAGACTCTAATTGTTATTTAAAGTAGATGAAGAATACGTTTTCAGTGTTTGTGTGTCCTCCTGTAGATATGGGCTATGAAAGTCTCATTAACCTGATGCTAAAGGACCTGTTCAAGCTGTTGGTGTCCTGTGTGGCCGAGCCTGCAGAGACCATCTCCAGAGTGGGATGTTCCTGTATCAGGTGAGACTGTTTGCATGGAGGGAAAGATAATCGTAGTGAACAGCGTAGACCTTAACGGGGAAATTTTCAACATTTCTGTATAATTCAGTGATTGGGATGTAAGAAAAGTCATTCAGAGTGGTTTGGTGTGAAGCGGTTGATTGTAGAGACTCTGATTTCTTTACAGTGGTGGTGATAGGAACCAGGGGTCACCATGACTACAACACAAATAAAGCCATTTTATTTACTATCCAAAACCACCAGTGAACCTACACGAGTCTTCTGAGTTTTTATTTAGAATGTTGATGATGGTAAAATAGTCATAAATCTGAAAAAATATATTTTTTCTGGGGACTTTTTTTGCCTGACAGTGTCCTGAATGTATCCCTCTGTCATGAATAAATTTAAAATAGACGGTGATTCGCAAAGATTCATCCGATTTCAAAGCCTCATATTTTCATAACCGTGAGGCGCATATGAACCAATCACAATCCAACTGAAAGAGGGGGTCATAAAGTTTCTGTCTGTCAGTGGAAGATGGCTCCCTTCAGTCTGAGAGGAGATGAGACCCCTGAGCAGAAAGCGTTCTGCGTTCTCCACTTCAATAAGAGTGAATCCGTCATAACTGTGCAGAGTGATTTTCGTGAGCAGTGAACCTCCAACAGCTCAGAGCGTTCGGCGTTGGTTCCACAACACTGGATGATCTCCAAAATCGCACTGAAAGAGCCGTGAGTGCAGCGACACCCGACATGCTCAATCCAGTATGGGATGGGTTTGACTATGGCGTTGATGTTGTCTGTACAGCTGGAGGAGGTTCATACTGAGACCTTGTACAATTACATAATAAACTTTATGCTCAATTAAACCATTTACAGTTTGCTGCATTGATCTGTAATGATTTACAAGTGAAATAAATCATTTTGAAATCGGATGAATCTTTTTGAATCACCCTGTTTATACGTAGTCCAGAAACTTCTCAAAACCATTGTAAAACACTGTCTCAGGTATCGAACAAAATAATGACTTCTCAGGATGCAACCATTGCGCACCACAACCATTCAATTACACAACAATTTTGAAAAATCAGTGTAATTCCCCTTTAATTGAAACTCTATAAAGAGCATATGTTATGTGTGGCTTTTTTCAGGTATGTGTTGGTGACAGCAGGGCCTGTCTTTACTGAAGAGATGTGGAGGCTAGCCTGCTGTGCTCTACAAGATGCCTTTTCAGCCACCCTTGAACCTGTAAAGGTAGGTGAGGTTTTGCCCAAAGGGTAATACAATGATCAGGCATAACATTATGACATTATGATTTGTAGTTCTACAGTTACAGACTGTAGTCCATCTGTTTCTCTGCATACTTTGTTAGCCCCCTTTTACCCTGTTCTTCAGTGGTCAGGACCCCCATGGACCCTCACAGAGCAGGTACTATTTGGGTGGTGGATCATTCTCAGCACTGCAGTAACACTGATGTGGGGTGTTAGTGTGTGTTGTGCTTACAGACTACAGTCTGTAACTGTAGAACTACAAAGTGCACCTATATAGTAAGTGGAGCTGATAAAATGGACAATGAGCGTAGAAACAAGGACATAATGGTCATAATGTTTTGCCTGATCGGTGTAGTTTACTAGTTTAGTCGTAAAAATAATTAATAATTTAAAGCCTGCTATATTTTCATGATATTCAAACGTTTATAAACCTTCCTGTTACAATCAAGCCTTTGTTTGCTGAAACATGTTCTTTACGAGGATGTTTTTGCCAAATATGTTTGCAGTTATAACCAGTATTCAGACTGAGAAGTTATGCACAGTCATATGCAAAAGTTTGGGCACTCCTGGTCAAACACATCCTCTACAGTGAACATACTTCTGCACATTTTAATGCACAATTGCTGTTTGTTTGCCAAATCTAGCATATTAGGGAGAAAAAAATAACACACAAAATGTGACCTGCACAAATGTCATGGCATATTTTAGATTTTATATTTAATTTTTTCCAGTAACTCAGCAAAAAAGAGACCAATTTTCACTAAAATTAACAAAACATGTAATTTGACTGGGTGTGATCAGACTTTTGCATATAAATGTAATTGGGGGCAGTATTTTACTGATGTAAGCAAAAAACCTCTAATTTTGCTGGGGAAGTTGGGGGTCAAGTGCCTTCTCTCAAGGGATACACCAGTCAGTACTGGGAGTTGAATTCACGACCCTCTGGTTGCCGGCTCACCTCTCCTGCCGCTAGGCTGTCAGCCACCCTGATAGGTGATGAATTACATTTTACTTAATGATTTTTGAATATTTTAAATCCATTATGGAAATAATAGGCACTCTGAGTGCAGAAGGTCAGGTGTAAAGTGGTAACTTTTGCATCTTTTGAGTGTTTTGGTCTGCTTACTTGCTGATGCTCTCATTTGGCTGTTACATAACTGTGACTATAAGAGGCGATACTGAGCACTGAGATGCTGCTTACTCTGATTTCTGGCACCACTCTGAATAATATCCTCTGTGCGTATTTTGTTGAGTTGGGCACAAGCTTGTGCTTTGGCCAAGTGGTATACTAGTGAGGCTTGTTTAAATTGTCCACTCTTGGGCCTTAAAGTGGCCGTAAAATCACTGATCAATGCAGACTCTGCACCAGAATGGGGCATCCATGTGACAGGGAGGAAAAAAAGAAAAACTAAGGAACATACGGGACGAGAAATCTGCAGTACTGTGCTGCAGTCGTCCCTGCTGTTTTTCTAAAGGCTCTTTCACATTCAGGAGAGAATAACCAGCAGAGCAGAACACCAAAGCTCTACACATGAATGAATCTGTCTGCAGACTTACCCTTAAAAACTTACAGCATCCCGGAAATGCAGGCAGTACGAAACGATGCGTGGAAACCCACCTATGTTAATCGATAACATTTTAAACCAGACACACGTTCAGTTTCACAGTGACGTTTAGTTGTACTTCCACTATAAAGACATGCACAAAATAGAGGGTTTAGTGGGGCATGATGGAGCTGGAGATCAGTTGAAACTAAAAGTTTTGATCTTGGTTTAAAACAACTAATAACACAGTCAACTCTATTTAATCTGTTGCTTGTTTTGGGTGTATGACAATGTAAGTATTCATTTGCTTCTGTTTTTATGTTTGTAACTGTTATCTTAGCAACAGAAATTATTTATATAGTTTAGTTTACCACTCGGCTGTATTAGAGTACTAACCAGTATGATTACAGAGAGCTGAAGTTTATTTTATGTTACATTGTTTATTAATCTGTTTGTAGAATATCATCAATTGTACAACAGTTGTACACTGTAATATTATAACTTCTTTCTCTAATAGTCATTGGTACTGTGGCACATATCCACCATCCTAATTGCACTGCATGCTTTAAATCGCTGTTGTCGGAAGAAAACCTTGTATCTCCATTTTTGTCGTTTTTCAGTTTTTTGACATAATTTGAAAATGCCTGTTGCTCTTTACCTTGTGTGTAAATTTCATGAAGCATGGACCAAAAGAAACAGCTCAGAACAACTTGGAAAAATGTCTGGTTCCATTGACTTACATTAAAACTAAATCATGTTTTTTCCTTCTCCTGTAAAGTTACCATTTTGGAGATACAAGGTTTTGTTCTGACAACAGCGAAATATAGCTTATCATCATCATCATCATCATCATCATCACTTTTATTTATATAGCGCCTTTCCCATGCTCAAGGACGCTTTACAATCAAAGAGCATCAACACATTAAACAACACATTAAACAAAAGGACAACACAGGTAAACATTAAGTATAAACGGAACAACGGTAACACAGAGATTTAAATGAAGACAGAGAGGTTGCATCCCGAATAGACTGGGGGAGAGAATTCCATAACTTGGGAGCTACTACGTTAAATGATCGACCACCCATAGAAGCCAATTTAAATCTAGCAACATGAAGAAGGCCTAGATTTTGTGATGTCAAGGTACGGGATGGGACATATAAATGAAGAAGCTCTGCCAAGTATTGAGGAGCCAGACTGTGCAGAGCTTTATACGTTATAAGGAGAACTTTGTACTGAATACGGAATGTAATGGGCAACCAGTGAAGACTGAAGAACAGGGGTGATGTGGTCATTCTTTTTAGAAAAGGTGACGATCCTATCAGCGGCATTTTGAACATACTGTAACCGAGTGAGGGTTTTGACAGGGAGGCCAGAAAAAAGAACATTGCAGTAGTCTAACCGTGATGTCACTAATGCAAGCACAAGTGTTTCTGCATCGGCTTGGCTGAGAAATGGTTGGAGGCGAGAAATATTGCGAAGATGGAAAAATGCTGTCTTACAACGGAATTGATGTGGATGGAAAAAGAGAGTGTAGGGTCAAAAATAACTCCGAGGTTGCGGACATGGGGAGAGCTTACATTATATTTTCTTTATTTCATTACAAACACATATTATACCATACTACAATTCAGTAACTTGGCCAACTGCCTTCACCGTTATCTCTCCGGAAATAAATTATAATTTAAGCGGACATAAACCTCTGGATTACTTTGATCTTTCTGATAGAGGGATTAGGCCAGACTGTTTACACCTGCATTTCACAAATACAGATCCTTAGTAGAAGCCGGCCTTGGATCAGTTGACTGTCTGATCGTGTATAAACTGAAATGTCAGCAAGTTGTGCCAACAGTGTCACTGTCAGTGTTTTCTGTTCAACCCTGTAGAACCTGCTAGCATGTTTCCGGAGCGGTTCCGACACGTTCACGGGAGACGCGTGTGAAGTGAAAGTAGCGGCCCCCACCCACTCAGCTTCTGCAGAGGCCGAGTACTGGAGGATCCGCGCCATGGCCCAACAGGTGCTCTTTAATTAACACGGCCTCATAGTCTGATACTTCGACAGTCCACAAAGTAATAGAAACTTCATACTAGGAGGGGGTGATGTGGTGAAAACCTCATATTATGGTACTTAGACATTCCCACAATACACATATCACAATATTCTAACAGACTGACACAGTGCAGTAGTAGTGCATCATAGTGTTGTAGTCAATAAATTCATTATCGTTCATTATACGTGATATACACTATATGGACAAAAGTATTGGGACACACCTCTTAATCATTAAATTCAGGTGTTTCATTCAGTCCAAATGCCACACGTGTATAAAATCAAGCACCTAGCCATGCAGTCTGCCTTCACATACATTAGTGAAAGAATGGGTTGTTCTAAAGAGCTCACTGAATTCGAGCGTAGTGCTGCAATAGGATGCCACCATTGCAACAAATGAGTTCACGAAATTTCTTCCCTCCTAGATTTTCCACGATCAACTGTTAGTGGTATTATTGAAAAGTGTGTTTGGGAACCACAGCAACTCAGCCACGAAGTGTCAGACCATGTAAAGTTACAGAGCGGGTCGCCGAGTGCTGAGGAGCGTAGAGCATAACAGTCTCCAACGCTCTGCTGATCAATAACTGCAGAGTTCAAACTCCTCTGGCATCTACATCAGCATAAAAACTGCACTGGGAGCTTCATGGAAGGGTTTCCATGGCCGAGCAGCTGCATGCAAGCCTTACATCACCAAGCACAATGCCAAGCGTCGGCTGGAGTGGTATAAAGAACTGTCACTGGACTCTGGAGCAGCAGAAACGTGTTCTGTGTAGTGATGAATCAGCTTTTCTATCTGTCAGTCTGATGGACGAGTCTGGGTTTGGCGAATGCCAGGAGAACGTTACCTGCCTGACTGCACTGCGCCAGCTGTAGAGTTTGGTGGAGGAGGGATGATGATATGGGGCTGTTTTTCAGGGGTTGGTCTAGAACCCTTAGTTCCAGTGAAGGGGAATCTTAATGCTTCAGCACCAAGACATTTTGGACAATTGTGCGATTCCAACTTTGTGGGAACAGTTTGAGGGAAGAACCTTTCCTGTTCCAGCATGACTGAGCCCCAGTACACAAAGCAGCTCCATAAAGGCCTGACTGGGTGAGTTTGGTGTGGAAGAACTTGACTGGCCCTCACAGAGCCCTGACCACAACCCCATCGAACACCTTTGGGATGAACTAGAACAGAGATTGTGAGCCAGGCCGTCTCGTTCAACAGTGTCCGAGAGTGGAAGCTGTTATAGCTGTGAAGGGGGACCAACTCCATATTAATGCCTATGGATTTAGAATGGGATGTCAAAAAAGCTCCTGTAGGTGTCCCAATACTTTTGTCCATATAGTATATATTAATGCATCATATTTTATAATATATTTTGTAGAATGTAACATTAAATAATACATAGCCTGAAAATACTATGAATTATTATTATATATATAGTCCTATGGACCAAAAAAGCATACATTCATTTTTATTACTAAATAAAAACAGTAATAAAAAGATTTCAATCTGCCCTCAGGGGATGTTTGAAATTTGGATCCAATGAACATCAACAATCAAATAATACCCAGTTAAGCCATCATAGAGAGATCAATTAGATCCTCAACCAGCAGCAAACATATTTTGTTTAAAGAACAGATTTACGGCTTCAATTTTCTAAAAACACATTGTTTTTCTCTTACTGTTCATCTCTATTCACTCTGTCTGAAACGCTCTGTTAGAGCTCCTGTGCCTTTAAGCCCCGCCTCCCGATGAGCCTTTTATTTTACAAAACAAAATTATGAACATTGAAAATGAGCATAATAGGTCCCATTTAAACGTAATAAAAATGAACAAATAAAAAATAAAGTTGAAGTTTTTGTGGATATTCAGTAATATTCAGTTTCCAGTAACTGCAGACGGAAACATCGCACTCGGTAAGTCTACCTTAAACCGGGACGGAAAATGATGTCAAGACCATTTACACTCTTTAAACTGGGCACAACAACACTAGTGCTACATCTAAAAACAGCTGTTGAATTCTGGGCACAATGATTTTTACTCAACATTTCATATATGCACTGCACTGAATTCAGTTTAACAGGATTAATTGTGCTCTTTATTTAACGCTTTCAGCAGCACACTATGAAATTGTATTGATTTTTTTTGTCCAAAATTAGTCATTAAGATTGTTAGTTGAGCTGCATGTTTAAAGGAACCCTTTTGGGAGACTGGGAACAATGCATGAGTAGCACAGTTGTACTATGTTTATGTGCCTCTATAAAAAACACAAAATATTCCACATTTTTTGACCTCATGGACCCACCAGAGAGAAAAACAGACTAAGACTAAATGACTGAGAAGAGCCCCAGAACACAAGCTAACATGAGGAAATATAAAAACACAATGCTCATGAATATTAAACATAAGACCCCAAAGGTTAATGAAATATGCAGTAAGTCAGTGTTCTTTAAGTACTAAAGATATTCATGATATACTCAGAAATGTTGAATTACAAATAAAGAAGTTTGTCGAAGTCCACAGGATGATCTCCAGGAATCTGCTCAACATGGCTTGTTTTCCCCTTTGTGTTTCAGGTCTTTATGCTGGACACTCAGTGCTCTCCCAAAACTCCCAGCAGCAAAGAAGGGTTTGAGCACGCTCAGTCCTGTGTGCTCATCATTGAGCTTCCTGCAGACCAGCAGTCCAACGGCCACACTCAGAAGAGGTGGGAATCTTATGGGTAGCTGAATGGAGATGGTGTTTTTTGTGTGTTTGTTATTTTTGTTTTTTTGTGTGTTTTTTTGCAGAGTGCCTATCCCTGTTAATTCCTATTTTTAATAAAGTTGAATGTTTTTATTTCTCGATAGGGTTGTCATTAAATCAGAATTATGGTACCAGTGCCAGGAATCACACTGCTTGATACCAAATGATACTGTGGCAAAAAGTAAAACCTCATCATTGTGTGAACACCAAAAAAATTGTGAAGCATTTAAGTACCACCAACATTTAATAGAGGATTCCAAAAGAGATGACGTCAGTTAAGAAAGTTATTAATAAAATAGAGAAGATAAATTAGCTGTGATACTTTGGAAATCACTAATCATACACCGATCAGGCATAATTATCAGTTTGAGTTCTCAAAGACAAATCAAATATAAAAACAAACAAACCCATTTGAACATATAGTTTTAAAAACAGTATCTGACAAAATTATGCATCAAATACTAACAATGAGAGATGAGCACGTGAGAAAAAAAACATTACAGTGCTGATGTAACCAAAAGTACTGCGGATTATATGCAAGTACGGGTTCCAGCGAAACTCACACATCTCATTTACAAATGAATTGAAAAGTTCTTTAGGTGGTTCTTCTATGGCATTTCTCTTAAGACCATTTTTCTTGACGTTTTTATTTTATAAGAATGTCAATACAGTGTCAACCTGGTGCTTTCTAATTTAAATAAAGAATAAAGTGTTGGAAATATTGCAAGTTAGTGTTGAATTGCCACTTTGCAGTTCAGGGTGGCCGATATGGCAAAAACATATGATATTATAAAGACATTTTCATACGACGGTGTTTTAGGGGCACTGTTAATAAAAATAAAAATAGTACACTTCAAGAATAAAGTCATGATATTTTGAGAAGAAAGTCGTAATATTTCGAGAAAAAAGTCGTAATATTTAGAGAAAAAATTCGTAATATTTCGAGAAAAAAGTCGTAATATTTCGATTAAAAAATTCGTAATATTTCAAGAAAAAATTGTAATATTTCGATTTAAAAAGTTGTAATATTTCGAGAAAAAATGCGTAATATTTCGAGAAAAAAGTCGTAATATTTCGATTAAAAAAGTTGTAATATTTAGAGAGAAAAAGTCATAATATTTGGAGGATAAAGTGGGCTAACTGTAGGGGGGGCTGACTGTAGGGGGGCTGCCATAACGCGTTGGGGTCTCGGTTGCTGTACTGGCGCCGGAGCTCCACTCACTCCTGTCTCTCTGTGGATCATTTTGATCATCATTCTCACTGTCTGTGAAACTTCATGCCCTCTTTGAATGGGGGGAGATGTAGCCCCCGATAGCCGTGTAGACGACCCTGCCTGAGATTCTCCTTCAACAACACAGACAGACAGTTTCCTCCGAGTCCGTCTGGCTCTTTATTCCAGATAAACACAGTTTCCTGCTCAGCCGTTTCAGCCGGTTCTTATACTATAACAGGCTGGTGCTGCTGTGCAGGAGAGACAGGGAGACTGAGTGTTTCTTTATGGGTGAATCGATATGAAAGTAGAACTCCACCAACTCACCTCCCCTCATTTAACACGAGGAGGCGCTGCTTCACTTTCGCAAAGACTTTGGTCACAATATTGCAACCTTTCCTGGTATTAATGCCACTTTAATGTCAGAATTCTACGACTTTATTCTCGAAATATTATGATTTTATTCTCGAAGGCTACTATTTTTATTTTTTATTAACAGTGGCCCTAAAACATTGTTGTATTTTCATGATACACAATACTTATATTTATTTTTTATAAAGACAAAAATGCCCCAGTGGTGCTAGATTTTAAAAATTCTTTTAAAAGCTATGAGTACAAAGTTTTATTTAGCATTTTACACAATGCACTGTACAAAATCCAGTTCAACAGGATTAATTATGCTCAATTATCAGTGAGACATGCAGTTATTCTGTGTCCTTTAAGTACAGACGATACCCATGATATACTCTAAACAGCACACTGTAGTATATCACGATGATGAAATATCATCATATTGCCCACCACTAATTGCAGTATTGAAAAGTGTTGGGCTTTTGTTAAACTGTGCAACTCTGTTTCTCCATTTACAGACAATGAGTCTGTTTACATGCATTCAATAATCTGATCATAATCTGATTTCTGCAGTAATCTGATTATTCAAATGGTCATGTAAACAGCACCCTCCGATTTCTTAGATCGGAGTAAGGTCTAAGGTGAGAGCTGGATTTCAGCTCAGTAATCAGATTTCTCAGTGCTTGTAAACTCTTACTCTGATTTCGGATTACTTTCGGATTTCTCAGTCTGTGCATGTGCGGAAATGAAACGTAAATATTCTTCATCTTCTAGATGATATAAATTCATATTTTCAGGTTAAGTGGCGCGATGTTTAAAAAAAAAAAAGCTGCGGCATGAAAGTTGAGTTTTACAGTATGTTTACATCACGTCTTCTTCTGTGAGTTTATTGGCTGGTTGTAAAGCAGAAATCTGATTACTGTCTGACTTATGTAGACCTGGAGTTTCCCCAGTATCTGATTACTCAAGTGCATGTAAACACGTTGATCAGATTACTGACAAGATCTGCAGTTATCCGATTATTAAGTGCATGTAAATGGACTCAATTTCTCAAAACAATTATTTAGTTTAGTTAGTTGAATTAAATTGATATTTCTTCTGCTGCTTTTCATTTGCTGTCAGTGTCTTTTTGTCTTGATCTGTCATTGTCTGTTACTGTAAAATATTATTACTTATCTGTAAAGCACGTGGAGCTGCCACTGGTATGAAAACGTGCTCTATAAATAAAGATATTATTATTATTATTATTATTATTAATAATAATAATAATAATAATAATATATTTTGTTGTTATTGTTAATTGAAAGCTCTGTTGCAGTTACCTGATTTTTATGAACTCATTCACTTCTTAAACTTAATGTTATATGTTTATTTCTTTTTTACTTGCTGAACTTGCTGCAGGAAAATTGGGTAAGGCTGAACCTGCATGCTTTACTTTTCTTAGAATCTCTTGTTTGTCTCCTCTGGCCTCCCTGCAGGTTAAAGTATAAAGCTGGGTTCGCAGATTAGTGAGAACTAGGGCTGGGCGATAAAACGATAATGATAAGTATCGCGATATAACTTTTCCTCGAAAGAGCGATAAGACAGGTTCGATACATTTTCGATATAATACACCATTCTCACACTTCCACGTTTTAGCGAAAGCCCTGGTGGCGTTTTCTACTGCAAGGAAAGCGACACTACTCTGCTGTCGCCAGGAGAGGGCGCACTTCTGAGTTTATCGACTTGATTAGAGAGGGAGGGGGCCACGAGTAAAAAAAGGGTCGCCAAATATACTTTAGCAACGGCTGAAACGCGGAGTTATACATTCCCTGTTTGAGTGGAGCGACCGGCGATCTGTTCTCCTGTGGCCGAGTGTGAGTGACGAGGTCAGCGGTGTAACTGTACTGACCTACAGTGAGCTCACCTCTTTCCGTGCATCCTAACAACTTTAGCGGTGTTAAATCACGTCTGCAGCGCCGTGTTACAGCGCCAAACCGTCATATTTTAGTATTAGTGCATTCTCGAGCAACGAAAGTGAAAGAAAGAAGTGGGTTCATGCAAATTACAGCCCTGATTTAAAAAGTAAAGAAAGTAAACTGAGGAAGCTGTGAGGCATTGGAGAGCGGGAGAGCGCTGTCTTTCCAGGCTAGCTGTTTTTAGCAGCTGGCTAACCTGAAGCAGCTCCGTCACTCCACAACACGGAGAACTGATGATACTGTAGATCAAACACGACACAAAATCACCACTTTCAGTTTAAACATACCTAAAAGGAGGACTCTGTGACTGGTGTGAGAGATTCACACTGCAGATAATGCTTTTACACAGCGAGCGTCAGATATACTGCGGTTCACCCCTTAAACTACTGCGATAGCCTAGAGAAACCCAGCCGTCTAGCTGGTGTCTGAATACTGTGATCTGCTCTGACATGGATGTGGTAGGAGTGACAGCAGTGACCGACCGAACCGAGTTGACGTTGTTGAGAAACTAAAGAGTTCAGCACTGTTGTTGGCCGCTTGTTTAGCGTTTGTAGCGGGGTAGCCGAGCGCTCGACACCAGACAGCTAAAATAATCTGTTTTCCTTCTTAAATCATGTCTATTACAAAAATTGCAGCTGTGCTTTTCAAGCTGATAAAAACAGCTCAGAAACTTTCTCCCACTGTCCCAAGACAGATTAGTGAAATGTTCCACTGTTTGCCGAGTGTTTGTCATGATCGGACCATAAGTGATAGTTTAAAACCACAGTTAACCCCAGGAGCAAAATCAGAAATCATGATTCGACATTTATCGCGATATGTAACGATATCGAACGATATGAATTTTGTTTATCGTGATAACGTTTTTGGTCATATCGCTCAGCTCTAGTGAGAACTTAATACAAAGTAGCTGAAAATCTCTGGGCTGTCTTTAGGGAAATTACATGGGATAAATTCTGAAAAATGTTTAAATCTTTCAAGTTCAGCAGCTCTAGAATACCGTTTCCTACTGGTGAACATAATGGGCATGGCCAAGAAAGTGTCAGAAAAACAGTTAGAGGATTCTGAATTGTTATTCTAAGTTGTTATGGTACAGTTACTTTCCCCTATGATCATAAGTTCATTAGTACTTGATAAAAGCATGAATCTCACAATGCAGCTGTTCATTTTTAATGATTGTGAAAGGTTTTTTGAAATGCATGGCTTCTCTGTTCACTGCAGCATTCCATTCAGGACAATCGTGGTGAGTCTGCTGTCCCACCAAGTGCTGCTGCAGAACCTCTATGACATCCTGCTGGAGGAGTTTGTGAAGGGCTCCGGGGGCGCTGAATCCCAGGATCGGGTCACACCGGTCTCGGAGCCCAAATCTGCCGGCTTCCTGCGTTACATATCCATGCAGAACCTGGCCATCATCTTTGACCTGCTGCTGGACTCGTACCGCACAGCGCGAGACTTTGACACGCGGCCCGGCCTCAAGTATCTCCTTATGAAGGTGTCGGGGGTGTGCGGGGCTGCTAACCTCTATCGGCAGTCCACCATGAGCTTCAACATTTACTTCCAGGTGCCTTTTCAGGTTTGATGTGTATCGCTGCTGTCGGAAGAAAACCATGTATCTCCACTTTGTCATTTTTCAGTTTTTGACATAATTTGAAAATGCCTGTTGTTCTTTACATTGTGTGTAAATTTCATGATGAATGGACCAAAAGCAACGGCCCAAAACGACTTGGATAAAAGTCTGGTTCCATTGACTTACATTGGAAGTAAAGTAGGTTTTCCTGTAAATTTATCATTGTGGAGATACGAGGTTTTCTTCCAACAACAGCGATATGTTTCCGTATTCGGGGTCTGTTTCAAATATTTTTAATACAATACTTTGCTGAAGTTGCAAATGTTTGGTAGATTCACAAAAATTCACAATAAAATGATAACACTGGGCCTCATTCATCAGTTGTTTTTTAAGAAGACATTTCGGTAACACTTTCTATGAATGTCACCTTTATAAGCATCTATGAACACATTCATAACATGTTATAATGCATTCATAAGGCATTATAAACATGGCTATAAATATTTATTAAAATGCATTACACGGTATAGCCATGCTTATTATGCATTATGAATTGTTAACATAATACATTATAAGTACTGATCATAACAAATTATAAGAGCTCATAAGTCATATTTGTCCGCTCTAAGTAAAGTGAAGCGTACTGTACTAAAGCCTCCTCCAGTGTGTAGTGCTGCATCAGTGTTTTACCCAATGTGGAAAGGTAATGTACACCACCGTTAGCTTGGTATTTGTCTTTACTTTACGCTCTCCAAGCTGGGACTGACTTCTTTGGCACTGTTATAACATGTTATACTGTCAGTGTCAAAGAAGTCAGTCCCAGCTTGGAGAGCGTAAAGTAAAGACAAATACCAAGCTAACGGTGGTGAACATTACCTTTCCCACATTGGGTAAAACACTGATGGCAGCTCTAGTTTAAACTCTGACATTTGAAGCCTGTAATGTGCTTTACTGTGAATGTTTTAGTGTTTCAGTAAATCCTTCAGTAAATACTTCAACTTGAAGCCTCACTCTGAACACTGGAGGAGGCTTTAGTACAGTACGCTTCACTTTACTTAGAGCGGACAAATACGACTTATGAGCTCTTATTTGTTATGATCAGTACTTATAATGTATTATGTTAACAATTCAGAATGCATAATAAGCATGGCTATAATGTAATGCATTTTAATAAATATTTCTAGCCATGTTTATAATGCCTTATGAATGCATTATAACATGTTATGAATGTGTTCATAGATGCTTATAAAGGTGGCATTCATAGAAAGTGTTACCGACATTTCTTCTTAAAACCCATCCAAAAGCAGTTTTTATGAAGATTCTGACCTTCACCAGTTTTCTTATTTGGGATTTGTTCTTAGGTAAGAACAGAATCTACACACACTCAAAAATACAAAGGTGAGAACAGTTCTGCGCTTTAAGAACCCAACATGAATCTGACGTAGACGTTTTCTTGGGACCTTTCACAAGAACACATTCATGAAAAACTCATTGGTGAATGAGGCCCAACACTAATGATGAATGGAAGAAAATGATTCATTGTTTTTACATTGAAATTGCAGCTTCAAAGAGTTTTGCAATTTGAAAGAGTCGAAACAATTTTAACCCCTCAAACTTCTCTCAAACCATTCAAACCACATCACGGTCTAAAATAAGGTGGCACTGACTTCTTGATGTGATGTAAAGCACAGTATGACTCACTGTGAGCTACAAAAATGAACTAAAACCTCACCAAGTAGCTGAACACTGCAATAAGCCTCATTAGACAAACAAGTGTTGTGCTGAATTCTGCCTAAATAAATAAATAGAAACAGCAGAAAATTGCAAAAATCATCTGTAGCATCTGTATACCTACTTGACAAGCATGTATGTGAAGGAATTGAGCACATCACCTGTTGTCTAAAGTGTCTGCCCGTCGTATTCAGCTATATGATGAGTGGGTGATCATTTTTGTAGCTCACAGTAAGTTATACTGTATCCTTAACCACAAGTCTCCATCACCTTATTGAAGATCTGGATGCGGTTTGAGTGGGTTAAGAGACGTTTGGAGGATGTATTTAGGGAAAACTTTTGGGTGACTGTTGACTTCTAGTGTTTGTTAGCAATGTTGGTCTTGTAGCTCCAGTTCTAAACTAAAAAGGTAAATTTGGAGAACAAACATGTTTGGCTGATTGACTACATTTGGGCTAAGTGAAAAATTGTGAGAAGTTGTTTATTAAAAATGTTCCATTAAAAAGGTTCTTCAAACTCAAACGCATTTTATTTGCAAAAGAACCATCAATTGAAAGTTTTTTTTTAGAGAAGAAAAAATTTCTGTGGTCGTCAGGTTGGCTTAGAAAAGGTAGCAATAGATTCGAGGTAGCAGTGGATTTAAGGTTTAAGTGGATTTAGAATACCATTGGTTTTAAAGCAGCAGTAGATTTAAGGTACCAGTGGATTTAAGGTAGCTTAAATGGATCTTCTCCTTATAACGCTTTTCGGTTCCAGAGTATTTTTGAGAATACTCCAATAATCCATTTACTCAGTGCTCCTTTTTCTCTGCTGATGTTGTCCAGGCTCTGCTCTGTGCCATGCTGACCAACCAGGAGAACATCACTGTGGACCAGGTGAAGAAGATCCTCAGCGAGGAAGAGGAGGGCAGCTCAGACTCCTCGCAGCAGTGCTCGTCCGAAGACGAGGACATCTTCGAGGAGACAGCGCAGGTGAGCCCACCGCGCGGACGGGAGAAGCGGCAGTGGCGCACACGAGTCCCGTCTCTGAGCACCCAGCCTGTCAGCAGCGTGGACTGGGCCTGGTTGGTCAAGCGCCTGCACAAGCTCTGCATGGACCTCTGCAACAACTACATCCAAATGCATCTGGACCTGGAGAGCAGCGCTGAGGAGCAGCCTCCGCTCCGGCCCCCCGACGCCGTCTTTTTCCTGCCCCTCTTCCCCTCCGAGACCTCCACGCCTTCCACGGGGGGGCACTCGGGACGCGGGACGCCGTCGGAGGACGGCTTCCGCCTCCACCTGGCTGACACGCCCTCGGAGGAGGCGCACAGCCCCGGTGTTGCCGGGACCAGCCTGCCCCAGCTGAGAGGCGACAGGAGGGGGGCCGAGGCTGGGCGTAAGAAAGAGTGGTGGGAGAGCGCCGGTAACAAGCTGTACACCATCGCCACCGACAAAACCATCACCAAACTGATGATCGAGTACAAGAAGCGCAAGCAGCAGCACAACCATGCCGCGTTCATCAAAGAGGTAAAGGTGGGTGAAAAGAGGGCTGAGGCGGTGACGATCAGAGGGCCGGACTCTCCGGGGCCCCAGAGGCCCCAGCAGCTGGTGGAACAGGGGCCCATGCGGCACTCGTTCAGTGCAGGACCAGAGCTGCTGCGGCAGGACAAGAGACCCCGCTCAGGCTCCACAGCCAGCTCCCATAACATCTCCCTGAGAGACTCAGAGGCGCAGATACAAGTAAGAGGGATCTGTTTATTTTTACTGTTTATATTTTTGTGGATTACTGAGGCTGTTAAGTATAAATAAAAACACTTACATTGTGGGCTATACAAGAATTACTCCATCAAGTAAAATTAAATGTTTAATGAACACGTTTTTGTGTACAGCCAGTATAAATAAACATACAGTACTGTGCAAAAGCAAAACCAGTTTCTAAGACTGAACACTGGAGGCAGATTTCTTTGAGGAACTGAAACTGAGTCTCCTGAAAAGAATGGAAGCTGGAATAAATGGAAAGAGTGGACACACTAAATACTGTAAAATTGATATTTATATGCTTGTTTTTTTAGGCTGCAGTGTAATTTCCTGTTAAAAACATTTGTCGCTTTCATTACTGAAGCTGAAAATGAATAACTTTTATTCATAACTTAATGGTCGTTTTGACTGGCAGTTAAATAAATTAAGGGTGGTCTGTGACTTTTGCACAGTAATGTAAATAAAAAAAAGTCCAACCAATAGAAAAATGGCCCTTTGCCACTTTTAAACATTTATATTTAAACATTTTTCCTCAGCATAGTCCTAAATGAACTAAAAAGGTAATGCATTTTTTAATTTTATTTACTTAAAATGTACTTATATGTATGTTTGGTGATTTTTTTACTGGATGTTGAATCCAAAGGGTTTTATTTTGCTGGGCTTGCAGATATTTTTCTGCTCAAAAAACAATTTTACCAGCTAACTGCATAGATCCCTGATAATCCCTGTCTGTACTAAGGACTCACATTTAAATGTACTTAAATATTAAAAGTAAATGTACTGTGTAAAAAAACAGATTAGGGCTGCACGATAAATCATATTTTATGTTATTGTGATATGAGTTTCCACAATGAACACATCATTAGAACGGCGATGACAGAACAGATCTAAATACCTCAAACATGCAGCACCTGAGAGACGTCATTACACGCCTGCTTCTCTGCGCTGGGACTGAACCAGCTCTCCCACGTGGGAGACGAGTAACTTAACCATTCAGCCGTATGGCAACGGAAATTCAACTGCTGTGTCTGATCCACTCAGACCAGCGCAACACAAACTAACATACCACCACCACGTCAGTGTTACTGAAGTGCTGAGAATGATCCACCACTAACTTTAGTGGAAATTCAGCTATGAAACACACACTCAGTGCTCAGGCTCTGCTGGTTTTTTGCTGACCAGCTGGGCTACTGAAGCTTGTTACCTTATGTCCCCCAGAGTCCTTCAAAATAAGAGTCCCGGACCAACTAAGAAGACAGTGCCTACCTACACTCAACCAAAAGCAACAACACCACTTTTAAAAGCAGAAGTGTTGTTGTTGATTTTGGTTGCTTCTGGTTGTTGCTTTTTGTTGAGTAAGTACAACCAGACGCGTCTGATGCCGCAGTATTTAATAACTAAATAAATAAATAAAATGAAACAAGAATGTGTATTTGTTCTTGTTTGCCTTTATAAAAAATAAATATTTCTTTATTTGGTTTTGAAGCCTTTGTTGAAAAAGCTGTTGAGGTAATGTTGACTGTTTCTCAGCCCTTTAGTGCACAAAAATGTGCGTGTAGTTCTGATTTAAATAGTCGTTGGTGTTTCATTTCTTCTTATTTTCCAGAATAGTAAGTGGGGCTTTTGTAATTTTGTATTTTGCTTTTTGTTTAAAGAGGGGTTTAAAGAGAGGTTAGTTAGTTTCTCTTTTTACATGTCCCAAAAATGTCTGCACTTGCTTTGCATCCAGCCAGAGACGCATTATTTTGATAAAAATTTATCACTTCTCATATTGTCATCATGATTTCTAAGAGCTTTGTCAAACATCGCATTTTAGGCCAATATCGTGCAGCCCTAAAACAGATATAGCAGTTCATATCTGCATGTTATAAATGAAATAAATGCCTGTCTCTTTAGTTTAAGGTCCCTTATGTCAATACAGTGTCATTTACTTTATAAAACATCTCATTTTGTCTTAAGCTGTGTGTAAATGCTCAAGCATTGCTTTATACACCGATCAGCCATAACATTATGACCTTGTTTCTACGCTCATTGTCCATTTTTATCAGCTCCACTTACTATATAGGTGCACTTTGTAGTTCTACAGTTACAGACTGTAGTCCATCTGTTTCTCTGATACTTTGTTAGCCCCCTTTTACCCTGTTCTTCAGTGGTCAGGACCCCCATGGACCCTCACAGAGCAGGTACTATTTGGGTGGTGGATCATTCTCAGCACAGCAGTAACACTGACGTGGTGGTGGTGTGTTAGTGTGTGTTGTGCTGGTCTGAGTGGATCAGACACAGCAGTGCTGCTGGAGTTTTTAAACACTGTGTCCACTCACTGTCCACTCTATTAGACACTCCTACCTTGTCAGTCCACCTTGTAGATGTAAAGTCAGAGACGATAGCTCATCTGCTGCTGCACAGTTTGTGTTGGTCATCCTCTAGTCCTTCATCAGTGGCCACAGGACGCTGCCCACAGGACGCTGTTGGCTGGATATTTTTGGTTGGTGGACTATTCTCAGTCCAGCAGTGACACTGAGGTGTTTAAAAACTCCAGCAGCACTGCTGTGTCTGATCCACTCAGACCAGCGCAACACACACTAACACACCACCACCACGTCAGTGTTACTGCAGTGCTGAGAATGATCCACCACCCAAACAGTACCTGCTCTGTGAGGGTCCATGGGGGTCCTGACCACTGAAGAACAGGGTAAAAGGGGGCTAACAAAGTATCAGAGAAACAGATGGACTACAGTCTGTAACTGTAGAACTACAAAGTGGAGCTGATAAAATGGACAATGAGCGCAGAAACAAGGAGGTGGTCAGAATGTTATGACTGATCGGTGTAAGTACGTTACGCAATGCTTACGGATGCGTTATGAAGTTGTAGGTGGCTGCTTTCGTGTACTGTTATGTATGTTGATGATTTGGATGAAATAATACTTCAGTAATTTTCTTACAACTTAATCGGTCTGCTTTTCTCTTTATTTCAGGCATGGACCAACATGGTCCTCACCATCCTGAACCAAATTCAGCTGTTGCCGGACCCCACATTCATCGCCCTCCAGCCGGCCGTGTTCCCATGCATCAGCCAGCTGACCTGTCATGTGACTGACCTCAGAGTGCGGCAGGCGGTGCGCGAATGGCTGGGACGCGTAGGTCGAGTTTACGACATCATCCTGTGAGGAGCTTGCGTCGTTTTTTTTTTATTTTGTCGTTGTCGCTGTTGTGAATCGGCTTCGTCCACAGACCCATTTGATTGTAATTTATTTCCTGCTTTGGGATGTAGCGCTGACTGGGCTATGAAGGATTTCCTCTGTTTAATTTATGAACTTATTTATTGTTGTACTCTGTGGTCTCCGTAGAACATATTTATGTGAATGCTTTGCAAATCCTATGCTATTATACTGAGAATCTATATTTTGTTTATTTAAGCAATACCCCTCATGTGGTATTGAGTACAAGGACTTATGAAATTTACTTTATCAATATTACATTATCTATCAGCTTTAATATTTATTCCCAGCGAATCAACGTAGGGAAGAAGGTTGACTTTATGCACTTTCGTTGACGTCGTAATCTTTATGTAATGGAAAACACTGTTATTTCAGTGCTGTGGTTCATTTGCAACTTTCACATGACATAATTTAATGACCTGCCTCTGCCAGGTCTTAAAATATATACAATATTTTAATTCTTAAAAAAATTTACATATTGTTGATGGCGCAAGAAAATCTCTCAGACTTTCCAGGTAAGACCTTGAGTTTGCATGGTGTGTTTAAGGCTGCGTTCACATTAGCAGGCTGAAGTGGCACAAATCTGATTTTTTGTGACTCAGATCTCATTTTTTCAGGCCTGTGTGACACGCAAATCTGATCTTTTCAAATCTGACCTGAGCCACTTTCATATGTGGTCCTAGATCGGATACGTATCCGATTTGTGGCCATGTGACCTTAATGTGAAGCTCAGATCGGAATTCATGTGTTTTCTTCCACTGCACGTGCGCCATCATTCAGCGTTACCATGGCAGTAGCGCCGAACAGAAGTTAAAGCCTGTAAACGGTGGAAAAGCAGCTCATCTCACCTTTTTCTCCTTCGTCTCGCTCTAATAATGAAGCTGAGAGCTGATCAGAGTTAATGATCTTCTCAGCGAAGCTCGTTCTGCTCGTTAGTTTGTGCTGATGATGAACGTGATTCATTCACGTGACGTTACTGAGTAGGATGAGCTCATGAGGGTCATTTCAGGACGCCGGTTCGTCACATTAATGACAGATTTGAGTCACTTACCTAAACCTGTGTGAACCATCCTGTCAGAGAGATCGGATTTGAGCAAAAAATCTAATTTGAACAATGAGGCTTGTAATATGAACGTAGCTTAAGTGTCCCAGAGCTATGCTAGGCCCATCCCGATCATGACATTTTACTTGCCGTATGAATAATTTCAATTAACAATTTAACTGTCTTTTTCAAAAGACATATTAAGTTGTTTTAAAGTACAAGTCTAAGGTGGCCAGATTGTTTCTGAGTTTCTAAGTAGCTGCCAACTAATGACAAAAACAGCTCAAGCTCATATAAAAATATGTTACTCACCGCCGCCCTCTAAAGGTGTCAACAAACATCAAATAAACAAACAAAGTAAAATTGCTGTAGCTCCAATCGGAAGTTAGTTTGTTTTCGTGAGACCCGTTACATGTTTTCTACTTACCTTATTTGCATGTATTTGCCTCAAACCCCCTGATGAAAACATTCCCAATTGAATTCTGTTTGTTATGACGTAAATGTATGCTTGAGAGAGCAAACAGCTGTTTAACAACTAACACACAACTGCGATCAGTTAATTGTTGTGCCTAAGAGGGGTTTGCTGTGCTTTTCTTGTGGTAGGAGCAAAACAGCTCATTAACAGTGTCTTTAAAAAAATGACCCATGTAAACAGGTACTTCTGTTTTCTGTAGCATGTATTAAGTTGGTTGACAAACCAACCATAGTAATGCCCTAGCAACACCTTAGCAACCAGCTCGTATATGATAGCAATGGCTTAGGAACACCTTGGCACCCAGCTGGGATACCATAGTAACGACCTAGCAACACCTTTGCAACTACATGGGATAACACAGCAACAGCTTATCAACACCTCAGCAACCACCTGAGATACCACAGCAAAGGCCTAGCAACACCTTAGCAACTATCTGGATTAGCATAGCAACACCTTAGCAACATCCTGGAATAACATAGCAACACCTCAGCAACCACATGGGATAATATAGCAACACCTTAGCAACACACCTGGGATTATATAGCAACATCTTAGCAACCTCCTGGGATAACATAGCAACGCCTTAGTAACCACATGGGATAACATAGTAACACCTTAGCAACCACCTGGGATAACAGCAACACCTTAGCAACCATCTGGGATAACATAGCAACACCTTAGCAACCACCTTGGAGAATATAACAGCATCTTAGCATCCACCTGGGATAACATAGCAACACCGTAACAACCACCTGGGATAACACAGCAACACCGTAACAACCACCTGGGGCAACATAGCAACACCTTAGCACCCACCTAGGATGACATAGCAACACCTTAGCAACCACCTGGGATAACCTAGCAACACCTTAGCAACCACCTGGGATAACATAGCAACACCTTAGCAACCACCTGGGATAACAGCAACACCTTAGCAACCATCTGGGATAACATAGCAACACCTTAGCAACCACTTTGGAGAATATAACAGCATCTTAGCAACCACCTGGGATAACATAGCAACCCTTAGCAACCACCTGGGATAACAGCAACACCTTAGCAACCATCTGGGATAACATAGCAACACCTTAGCAACCACTTTGGAGAATATAACAGCATCTTAGCAACTACCTGGGATAACATAGCAACACCGTAACAACCACCTGGGGCAACATAGCAACACCTTAGCACCCACCTAGGATAACATAGCAACACCTTAGCAACCACCTGGGAAAACATAGCAACTTCAGTCACAAACTTTTCCCTGTTAGTTTATGATGTTACTCTATAAAGCACTAACATTCACCAGAATTACATTTAATAATAATAGTTTTGTCGGAGGATAATCGATCGAGCAAAATCTTAATGACGTTGCGTTTTGGTGACCGTCATGTCTGATAGCTGACGTCTGCTGTCTGACCCAAAGTGCTGTGATTACTGATGCAGCTTTCAAATCCCGTGTCGCTCAGCGTTGGCCTCAGACTCGCTGCCCTGCCTGGGTGACCCTGATTACCCCCTCTTAGTCCACAGACAGTGGGAAGCCATTTAATGAGGATAATAACACACACACATCAAAGCGGTTCTACCCAGGATTGGAATAAGGCCAGATCAGCCACCCTCGTCAAGAATTATCACGATTATTTCTCACAGATCTTTAATATTCTTATTAAATGGCCGTTTGCCAATACATGTTCATTGCTGTTCTCATATCCATGAATGGATCATTATGGACTCTGTACATAGCACCACTGTATGTCACCTACACTGTTCAGTTACTGACTGAAGCATATTTAACCCTTTAAGTGTTTGTTTTTCTCGCTTTAATGTCAAACTTAGAGCTGGGTTTAACCTCTACTGTGCATTTTATGAGCTTAATCGAGATTTCCTGAAACCTGAAGGTTCAAAGCTGCTTATTCTGTCATAAACTGTGTGCATTTTGTCATGTGATCTGAATCAGATGGACTCGTCGTCTTTCCGTCGTCTGAGGTTCTGCTTTTTAATCCAGTTTTCAGAAAGTAAAAGGTACCAGTGTAGAAAAACCTTTTCAAGTATCATTGGCACTTATGATTGTATGTAACATACAGTACTGTGATAAAGTCAGAGACCACGCTTCACCGGTCAGAACAGCCATTAAGTGCAAGTTATATATTTAACAACTAATATAATATCAGATTTTTCAGTGTTCAGTGTGTCACTCTTTCCCTTTTATTCCAGCTTCCATTCTTTTCAGGAGACTCACTTTCAGCTCCTCAAAGAATCTGCAGACACACCTCCAAAGTTCAGTCTTAGAAGCTGGTTGATCATTTTCTGAAGTAATCACATTCAGTGGTGCTGAGGTCTGGACTCTGGGGTGGTCAGTCCATTGTTCAGCTTCATTAGGACAATACTGAGGTAAAAGGTTTTACATATAAATGTATAAAAGTAGCAAAGGGCCATTTTTCTACACTAATAAAGCACACACTGATTGGATTTTGTTTATTTACATTACTGTGCAAAAGTCATAGACCACCCTTAATTTATTTAATAGCCAGTCAAAATGACCAGTAACTACAAGTTGTTCATTTTCAGCATCGGTAATGAAAGTGACAGATATTTTTAACAGGAATTTAGACTGAAGCCTAAAAAAATAGATATATAACTATCAATTTTACCGTATTTAGTGTGTCACTCTCACTTTCAGCTCCTCAAAGAATCTGCAGACACACCTCCAAAGTTCAGTCTTAGAAGCTGGTTGATGATTTTCTGAAGTAATCAAACACATTCAGTGGTGTTGAGGTCTGGACTCTGGGGTGGTCAGTCCATTGCCCAGCTTCTTTGTTTGATGTGTTCGTCTCCTTTTCTCAGTGAGGTTCTTCTTGACAGCTACACATCCTTTCAGACCCACAGCGCTGAGTCGTCTTCTCACAGTGGAAGGATGGACAGAAACACCTGTGGATGTTTTCAGATCTGAAGCAGCTTGATTTTCTCCTCTCTCTCAGAGATGAAAGCTTTCAGTGCTGTTTATCTGATGGGGGCAGTTTTGGTGTCTACCAGCTCTTCCAGGTGGTTGCTAGGGGCCCCATTTTCTCTGTAGTGTTTAATCAGTTTTTGAATTCCTGTTATGGAAACACCACATTGACTTTCTACTCTCTTATGTAAAGGGATTGTCTCATATCTAATCTCCTCAGAAAGATCTGCTAGAAATGAATCACTTGTACTTAGAGTCGTTCTGACTGGGAATTAAAGGTGAAGGATGGTCTCTATCACACTTTACCACAGTGCTGTATGTGTTAGCATTCTTTCCTTACACCTTAGACGTTATTGCTTCATGATTCAAGCAGATTCTATGAATCGTCCAACACAGAATCCCTGCATACAGGATTTCAAAAGGATTCAGAGTGAAAAAAGAGATGAATTTGAATGTAAAGACTTCTGGGCTTTTATTTGACTAACAGTTAAATGTGGTTGTGCTGGTGGGTAAAAAGGACCAAAGACTTGATATGAAGTGATGAACAGTGTTAGTTTTCACAGTGACTGTTTTTAAGGCACGTTTTGCCTGAAGAGGAGATTCTTTGGACAAGAATCAAAAAGATGTTTCTTAACAGCAAAATTTTAAATTCAGCGGCAACAGTGGAATTATATTTTGTACTCTGTTAGCCACAGTGAACATTGGAGATGAACATCAAGCGATATTTGGGTAAATTCTGCCCTCATTTCATTCAGGTCGTTTTTGTCTGGCAGTTTTTTTCTTTCCTTTTCCCTTCACCAAAGGAGCATCGTTTACAGGAACAACACAAGATGTATGATTTTTTAATTCAGCTTCATTTAACCAGACATACCAACATGTGAGTTTGTGAGTGTTTTTTTGTTGTTTATTTACTTTTGCATAATTTGATATAGAGATTTCCAAAAATGTCATGTAGAAATGCTAAAGAACCCCCATCTCAGGATATTTGCCAGTCTCACTTCTTAAGTCCCAAACTAGCTTTTTCTCTGTTTTCTCTGCTCTATTCTAAATATGATCTCCTGTACGTGATTATCGATACAGTCATATGCAAAGGTTTGAACACCCCAAGTCAAAGTACACATTTTGTTGATTTTTTAAAGTGAAAATAAGCAACACATCCTCTGCACTGTTAGAAATAAAGGTTCTGTTCAGGTACATTTTTAGTTCATCAAAGTACAAACAGTGTAAATGTTCCCTCAAAGCTCCAACAGTGGTTTTAAGGTCTGATTGTGAACCTTAAATAAGTTTTTCCAGGTGAAAAGTTCGTATTTGTACCTTTTCATAACCGAATGTTTTAAACAGAACAGTAAAATAAAAGCCTGGAGGCGAGACGGGGTGTGTGGAGTCAGTACAGCTTAGAACATATCATTTCAGTGGGTTATGGTTCAGTTATGTTCCCTGACTAAAGGTACTGAGATGGACCCTTGAGGGTTCCACCCCAGTAACAGTTTAGTACCTTTATTTCTGAGAGTGGAACATATAATAATACACCAGAAAAAACAAAAAAATATAATATGCTGTAACTTTTGCACAGGCCACATTTTTTGTTTTATTTTTTTCCAATGTATTTAATCGGCAAGTAAACAGTAATCGTGCATTAAACTGCGCAGAAGCGTGTCTCTGTAGAGGATGTGTTCACTTATTCACACTTAGAAAATCAACATGTCATTTAACCTTGTGTCAGATTTATGTCGCTGCACCATTTTGCGTAGTTGTTCCCCAGAACAGCTTCACGCTGCATGTGAAGTAAAATGTCCATTCCAGTCTGTAATGCTGCTGTTATGCTCAGTAGGGTCGGTCAGCGGCGCTCTGTTTGTGCTTATTCTCTTCTTTATGAGGCTTTATGATCTGCTGATGACACAAACCTCCTCGTCTGGGTTCTACAGAGGGCTTTCGGTGTAAACCAGAGCAGAAGCTTTATTTATTGTTCCTTTATTGCCATAATTCACCACAATCAGACTACTGCAGTGAGCTATATGTGCACATGGCCAGTTTGTGTTTGCAGATGATCATTTATGTTGTACGTGTTGTAGAATAAACGAAAGCAAAGTTACTTGTTGACGGTGGGTTTTTATTTCAGTGGGATTGGAGAAGAACTCAAATTCAGCACTTAAATGAAAGTCAGTGTGGCTGAAATGAACAGCTTCATTAACCTCCTTCATCCTTATTCGAGAGGTCAAAAGGGGTCAACTGATTTAATTCTGGTTTTGACTTTGCTGGCGGCTGCAGCTGATTAAGACAGTCTGAGCAGCTCTATTGCTTTTTCCTGTCTAATGGACATTAATTCCGTTTGAAGACACTGCTGCAATTATATTTGAGGAGGAGTGTCCACATACTTTTGGCCATATACTGTGTGGACCAGTTCACCCTTCATTACATATATTGGCGATTCATTCAGTCAACTTCTATGTACTGAAGTGTTAAGTGTACTATCATTAAAAATTAGGATGCTAAGTCAAATTGGTAACGCTTCACTGTAAGATACTGGTCATATAGCTTTATGACTCCTACATAAGCCTGTCATGACAACCCTAACCCTACATAAATGTTTATAAATGCTTATTCCAATAGACGTGGTTCTCTATAAAGGTTACATTTGCCAGTTTTGATCAAAGTTAGCTGAAGTACAGTTATGTTCCCTGACTAAAGGTACTGAGATGGACCCTTGAGGGTTCCACCCAGTGACAGAGGTGACTGCCCATGAGTTTATATTTTTGAGGTAAATATGTAGAGATCTCATGCAGTAATGCAGTAAGCTTCAATCATGCATGGAACTGGGATCACAGAAATCAGTGAGACAAGAGGGTTGTTTCCCATTTCACCCCTCGTCCCTATCACTCAGCCCTAGCCCTCTGTTTTGTGCGCTCCCGTCTAGGGGTAGGGTGTCCCGATTCTTGTTGAGATAGAGGGGGAGGGCGAAGTGTTGGGGACTACATGACCCTCCAAACGGAGGTTTTTCAGAGACTCCAAACAGAGAGTTATTAGGAAAAAAGACAAATCAGCAAGATGGAGAACAAGAGACCAAAGAAACACACAAATGTGAGAATATTCTCTGTTAAAAAATTATAACCAATATATCTTAGTTTAATGTCATTTCAGTGTATTATGGTCCTTTTCTTCATAACAAGCATAAAAATCACTAGTAGTATGCTGATGTCTCAATTTTCCCGTTCCACCTTAAATAGTCCAGCAGTTCTGACGCCTGAAGCGCCAGAATGCAACTGCTGCTCCATTTCAGGTGGAACGGGAAAATGCAAACAAGAATCTGGCGAATATCTGACTTCAGCTTCATATCACTGTAGAATTAGTGGTGGGTGATAATAAATAATTGCCCCCCTCTTTGAAGGCATATGATGCCCTAAATGTACCTAAAGCCCAGCAGTGAGGAGCTGAACTTTACCCTCCTCTGCTGTCACTGCAGACTGGCAGGGTCGCCTACAGAGCAGCGCTGGTAGCTGTTAATGAAGTGATGCTCTTTTTATTTGAGGGTCCCATTTCAGAGGGAAGATTTCAACCACTACCCTGTAACTCAGTTCCAAGGGGCAAGAAGACACTCGAAAACAATGGGTAGGTGTGAAAATAAGAAACGGGACTGGACCTTAGACTTTCCCTCAGTGTGGCTGCTTGTATCTGGCTGAAAGGGTAAACGCTCGTCTCTGGTGTCCTTTTGCGCTCAATAAAGATAAAATGGCTGTGTCGGCTTGTGAGGACAATAAAAGTGATGAGCCATGAAGTGAAATCCACTGCCCTGATGGAACATTATGAGCTGGACAGTTTAACCTCCATCAAAGCCGGGGTCACTGTGCACCTGGTGACGGTGCTGGTCTCTGTGTTCTTCCTCACCTTCATCACCCTCGCTCGGGCTCCAGTGCAGCAGGACACATGAGGTGCTGGATCTGCTGAGAGCCAATAACAGAACTTTCTATGACCTAAAGCTCATTCGTCTGCTCTGAGTAGCAGCCAATACCACAATACTACACTCTCTCTAAAACAATGGTTCTTCAAGCGTTCTTTAGTGAAGAAAATAGTTCTATATAGAACCGTAAACTCTAAGAACCCTTTGCATGATTAAAGGGTTCTTTGCATCATGACAGTGTTCTTCAGACTGATGGAGAATGTTCTGTAGATGGTTCTATACAGAACCTTTTTAAAATATATTTAAACCTTTTTTCTATATAAAATGTTGTTACAAGCTTGTTATAGTTATGACAGCAGAACCCTTTTTGGTGCTATACAGAACTACAGCACATTCTCCACCCATCTCACGAACCATTTCATGATGTAAAGAACCTGTAAATCATGCTGAAGGTTCTTTGAGTGTTCATGGTTCTACATAGAACCACTGTTTTTACTAAAGAACTTGAACTACATTCTTTAAAAATGTATCTTCAGGGGTGCTTTAGTAAAGACAACAGCTCTATATGGCACAAAAAAGGGTTCTGCTGCTGTTACGATGTCAAGCTTATCACAAAAGCAGAACCCTTTTTGGTGCTGTACAGAAACATTTTCAAAAAGGTTCTATACAGAACCATATACAGCACATTCTCTATCAATCTGAAGAACCATTTCACCATGCAGAGATTCAGATTGATGGAGAATGTGTTGTAAATGGTTCTATATAGCACCAAAAATGGTTCTTCTACTACTACGACGTCAAGCTTGCAATCATAGAAGAACCATTTTTGGTGCAATATAGAACCCTTTTCCAAAAGGTTCTATATAGAGCCATCCACATTCTCCATCAGTCTGAAGAACCCTTTCACAATGCAAAAAACCCTTTAATCATGCAACGGGTTCTTTAAGGTTCATGTTTCTACATAGAACCACGGTCTTTACTAAAGAACCCTTGAAGAACCATCATGTGAACTTTGGAGGCCACACAAATCTTCAAATAGTGGCTTTTCATGTCACTGACTGTGCGTTTAAAGTGTTATATGATTTCTGCTTTATTAAATGTGGTAACATTAAGAGGGAAGAACCTCCTGGGTCAGATGTCCTTATTCTCTCTCCTGACCATATGAGGGTCCAGATCTAATCTTAGTGAATGTGTTCGTTCAGCTACTTCTGAAACTTCATCTGCACGACAGCATTGCTGGGATTTATCCCCCTGGAAACATCTGAGGTCAGCTGATAATGTTTTTATTTTTTTTTTACATTTGTTAATTTTAAACTCTGCATTAATATTAAATTAACCCTGAATTGCATTAATTATTACTTAAACATGATGGAAATGTTTTTTGTTATTTAAAATTGCTTAATTAATGGATAAAATAGGGAAAAAAAAAAAAAAATATATATATATATATATATATATATATATATATATATATATATATATATACACATATCATATATATAATGGCAAGCCAAACAGGAAATATTTAATGAACATTGATATATATGGAATGAAAGTCGCTGTTGAAGGGTTGAGGATGGCCAAGAAGTTCATTTAATATATATCAATGTTCAATCAATATATGTCAAAGTTCATTGTATATATATCAAAGTTCATTGTATATATATCAATGTTTGTTCTACTGAGATATATTGAATGAACACTGATATATATTAAATGAACTTCTTGGCCATCCTCAACCCTTCAACAGCGACTTTCATTCAATATACATCAATGTTCATTCCATATATATATATATATATATATATATAATTAATAATAATGTGTGTGTGTTGGTTTATGCTTGATCCTATACATGCTGAAATCATGTGCTCATGCAGTTTAGCTTCACAGTACATGGTCATGTTCTTCTTCCTGTAAACCCTTTAGCTACATTTTACGTGTTGCAGCGACATCTACTGGTCAGCTGCTGAAACTCCTCTGCAAACTACTAACATCAGAATCAGAAACAGTAACATTTGTTCTCTCGTGATTATTATTATATTTTATTAAACCACATCAATCACAGAATGGCTTCAGATTAAAAACAAATACATTTCATACACCAAATCAACTTCATCTTTAAACAGATGGCACAAACTCACATTCAGGTACAGGCAATGATCTGGCCTCTGGATGAGAGAGCCACAGCAGTGGCCACTTTACTGCTCTCTTGTTTTTCGTGTGGGATCAAGACTCGTCCCCTCATACATCACTTTATTCTTAATTCCATCCTGAATCACCTTCTGCTGCACTCGCAGTTTTGCGGTGTTGTATCGGCAGTAGAACCTGAAGTGAAGAACGGCGTCATTACAGTTATTCAGTCGGTCACTGCTGTCACATCACTTAATTATTTTTATTTATTTATTTATTTATTTATTGATTGTTACACTTGTTATGTGAACATTTTCATGCCAAACCGATCAATAAAAATAGTGAAATAAATTCTAATTAATATTAATTAATGCTCATTAAAATGAGGAATGTTTTCTTTTTTCACATATATTATAGATATAAACACACACACACACACACACACACACACACCACACACACACACACACACACACGCAAATTTTGAACTTCCCTGGTGAAATTACATGTTCTTGATTTTCTGAGTGTAAATAAATTAACATATCCTCTACAGAGACACACTTCTGCACATTTTAATACACAATTACTGTTTATTTGCTTATATATGTTATTATTTGCTAAATTTAAGAGACTAAAAACAAATAAAACGAATAAAATATAAAGTATTTTTCCAAATGAATTTAACATTTCTAATGTGAAATTCAACAAATGAACAATAACTGTGTATTAGTCAACATCAACAAAATATTAAACACTCAAACTTTCGTTTATGATTGTATACTCAAATTAACAAACAAGGAAAAATATATGACATTTGAAAAATAATAAGAACGACTACAGGTGCTAATAACAGCAGCGCATACACCGATCAGGCATAACATTATGACCGCCTCCTTGTTTCTACGCTCATTGTCCATTTTATCAGCTCCACTTACTATATAGGTGCACTTTGTAGTTCTACAGTTACAGACTGTAGTCCATCTGTTTCTCTGATACTTTGTTAGCCCCCTTTTACCCTGTTCTTCAGTGGTCAGCACCCCCATGGACCCTCACAGAGCAGGTACTATTTGGGTGGTGGATCATTCTCAGCACTGCAGTAACACTGACGTGGTGGTGGTGTGTTAGTGTGTGTTGCGCTGGTCTGAGTGGATCAGACACAGCAGTGCTGCTGGAGTTTTAAACACCTCAGTGTCACTGCGTCCTGTGACCACTGATGAAGGACTAGAGGATGACCAACACAAACTGTGCAGCAGCAGATGAGCTATCGTCTCTGACTTTACATCTACAAGGTGGACTGAGAAGGTAGGAGTGTCCAAAGAGTGGACAGTGAGTGGACAGTGTTTAAAAACTGACACAAACAACACACACACACACCACTACCACGTCAGTGTTACTGCAGTGCTGAGAATGATCCACCACCCAAACAGTACCTGCTCTGTGAGGGTCCATGGGGGTCCTGACCACTGAAGAACAGGGTAAAAGGGGGCTAACAAAGTATGCAGAGAAACAGATGGACTACAGTCTGTAACTGTAGAACTACAAAGTGCAGCTATATAGTAAGTGGAGCTGATAAAATGGACAATGAGTGTGGAAAAAAGGAGGTGGTCATAGTGTTATGCCTGATCAGTGTATAATAATATACAGTATAATAATACAATTATACAATTATAGAAATAACAATTCATTCTACTTCAGCAGACTAATCACATACCATGAGCCCAGTGTTGTCAGCATGAATCCAGCCATTCCCATATCAAACGAGCGCTTCACTCTGCCTGTAGATGAAAGGACGAGGCGGGTAGATCCATGAAATTCTAGGTTTACAACCATTACAAACTGCACACAGACAGAGGAGCTACAGTCCTGCTGACAGCACAGCAGAATATAATATGCTGCACGCTGCATAACACAAAGTACACTCTTAAAGATGGATCTTCAAGGGTTCTTTAGTAAAACGAATGGCTCTATTTAGAACCATGAGTTCTATATAGAACAATTTCATGCTGAAATGGTTCCTCAGATTGATGGAGAATGTGTTGTATATGGCTCTATATAGCACCAAAAAGGGTTCTGCTATTGTTATGATGCCATGCTTATTACAATAGAAGAACCCCACTTAGTTCTATATAGAACCATTTTCAAAAAGTTTTTATATAGAACCATAGAACACATTCTCCATCAATCTGAAGAACCATTTCACCATGCAAAGAACCATTTGAGCATGCAAATGGTTCTTTGCGCGTTCATGGTTCCATATAGAACCAATGTCTTTAATAAACAACGCTCAGAGAATGTGTTGTATATGGTTCTATGTAGCACCAAACATGGTCCTGCTATTGTTATGATGTCAAGCTTGTTACAATAGAATAACCATTTTAGTGCCATATAGAACCATCTTCAAAAAGGTTCTATATTGAACCACACAGCACATTCTCCAACAATCTGAAGAACCTTTTAAGCATGCAAATGGTTCTTTGAGTGTTTATGGTTCTATAAAGAACCACTGTCTTTACTAAAGAACCCTCAGATTGATGGAGAATGTGTTGTATATGGTTCTATATAGCACCAAAAAGAGTTCTGCTATTGTTATGATGTCAAGCCTGTTACAATAGAAGAACCCTTCTAAGTGCTATATAGAACCATTTTCAAATGGGTTCTATATAGAACCATACAACACATTCTCCAATCTGAAGAACCATTTCACCATGCAAAGAACCATTCAAGCATGCAAATGGTTCTTTGAGTGTTCGTAGCTCTAAAAAGAATCACTGTCTTTACTAAAGAACCCTTGAAGAACCATCTTTTTTAAGAAAGAATCTGACCGTTATCAACTCTGAGACTTACTAGTTGCCAAAAAGTGCACAAGTCCTGCAACGACAGATCCGCCTGCTCCATGGAGAAGAGCATCTCGCGCACAGGGAGTGTTCTCCACGTCCAGGATCCCTAAAAGCCTCACCCCCTGTACAGTAAAATACACTGAAATAAATGCCAAAGAAACAGTGCAGAGAAGCTCCATCTCTGACTGACACTCATCTACAACTCGTCTTCTTTTGTGTTATTTTGAAAGCAGAGCCGATTTCTCCTTTAACCCTTGATCGCCTCACTCAACAGATAACATTCCACTGTACAGCAGGCAGTCTGGACATCCTGACAAGGTCAGACTACTATCACGAATAAGCGTCCTTGGGTTTGTGAAAGGCAATACACCGATCAGGCATAACACTAAGACCACCTCCTTGTTTCTAAGCTCATTGTCCATTTTATCAGCTCCACTTACTATATAGGTGCACTTTGTAGTTCTACAGTTACAGACTGTAGTCCATCTGTTCTCTGATACTTTGTTAGCCCCCTTTTACCCTGTTCTTCAGTGGTCAGGACCCCCATGGACCCTCACAGAGCAGGTACTATTTGGGTGGTGGATCATTCTCAGCGCTGCAGTAACACTGACGTGGCGGTGGTGTGTTAGTCTGTGTTGGGCTGGTGCGAGTGGATCAGACACAGCAGTGCTGCTGGAGTTTTTAAACACTGTGTCCACTCACTGTCCACTCTATTAGACACTCCTACCTTGTCAGTCCACCTTGTAGATGTAAAGTCAGAGACGATAGCTCATCTGCTGCTGCACAGTTTGTGTTGGTCATCCTCTAGTCCTTCATCAGTGGTCACAGGACGCTGTTGGCTGGATATTTTTGGTTAATGGACTATTCTCAGTCCAGCAGTGACACTGAGGTGTTTAAAAACTCCAGCAGCACTGCTGTGTCTGATCCACTCAGACCAGCGCAACACACACTAACACACCACCACCACGTCAGTGTTACTGCAGTGCAGTACAAATAGTACCTGCTCTGTGAGGGTCCATGGGGGTCCTGACCACTGAAGAACAGGGTAAAAGGGGGCTAACAACGTATACAGAGAAACAGATGGACTACAGTCTGTAACTGTAGAACTACAAAGTGCACCTATATAGTAAGTGGAGCTGATAAAATGGACAATGAGTGTAGAAACGTGGAAAAAATGGTAATGAATTCGCTGCCTGTGACAGTCTTGTGATAAGGTTTGGGTGTAATATGTATTTTAATCCATGTATGTTCATTTATTCATGGAGGAGAGGTTCAGGGCGTTGTGAAAACATTTAAAGCCAAAGCTTCATCATAAAACAGTGTCTCAGTCATCAGGCAGTGAATTCATAACCACTCAATGTAATAAACCTTCTGTGAGGGAGCTCTCTCAACCATTAAATGCAGAATTCTTGCTAAATCGGTGGAGTTCCCCTTCCAGGCTGTTAAAGGAGGTTACTGTGTTCCGCTCAGCTACGAAGCCTCCGCGAACACGAAGGATTAATAAACAGACTGACCCATCACTGACCTGCTTCTCGCCGCCGGGCTGCTGCTCCGCCATTCCTGAAATGATGTTATGATTTTATCAGCATGTTATTATGATTTTAATACCTTTCTGCTTTCATAACATCACTGACTTTCACACTACTGCTGTACCCCGCTAAACGGTCCGGACTCAACATTCACCAAAGATCGTTAGTTCCGCTAGTCGTAGATCAGTGTCGGAGGGTGAATAAATAAAATAAAAATAAATGATTTAGTAAATTAATATATGAAGTAGAATTGCAAATAATAATGATAATAAATCTAAAAAATAAATAAATATATATACGTAGCAATTAATATATTATTAATTTATCTAAGATTTTATTTATGTCTTCATTTATTTATGTTTATTTAGTATTTCCGCTTCTCACTAATTTTTGTATTTGTTTTTCAGTTTTTCTATTCATTTATTTCCATAACTATTCATTTCTATATGTATTTATTTCTCTATTTATTTATTTCTGTATTTCCTCGTCCTTATGCTAATAAAGGGGCTGTCAGTCAGTGATGTCACAGCGTCTTAATATTCCTATTGGTTGATCGATATCAGATTCTGTAGATCGATTGTACCTGTCTTGCTCTCTCAGCGGTAACTAAGAACCAGACAGTACAGTAACAGCAGACAGTCAGAGATCTGAGAGTCTCGGCTGATCTGGCTGAAAATGCAGGTCTGGATTATCGACTCTCCCGTTGGAGGCTGTGGGGACAGTTTGGTCCATTTAGCTGACCTGCTGATTCAGAGGTCGACCAGTAGTGTTCAGAGCTTTGGAGGAGGAGGTTCAGCGTCTTTTTCTGGAGAATTCAGATTAAACTCAGACATTCGGACGCCCGTCTCACACACGGCCTGTGGAGCCATCGAGAGTTATTCATCAGCAGGTCTGTCTGTCTGAGACTCTGCAGCTCTTCATGGAGTGAAAGAGCAGTTTAATCAGCTCTTCTCCTCCTGGGCTTGATTGCTAAGCCTGAACGTGAAAAACACGCCCCCTCATTATCATATGAACGACGAAATACGGAAATAAATAAACGAATTAAAGAAAAAATAAATAAATTAATTAATTAATGAAACAATAAATGAATACATGAATCAATGAATAAAGCAAACAATTGTTAAAAATATAGATACGGAAAAAATATATAAAAATAGCATTAATAAAACAAAAATAATACAGGAATAAAATTGAGACATATATAACTGCAGAAAAAGGAAATGTGTTTATAATTACAATCACAATAAGCAATATATACTTTATTTGTTTTTTTTATTAATTTACTGAGCCATTTATTTTTTAATTTTATTTATTTTTCAATTTGGCAAATCTGGTCCTCCATAGAGGAGAGTTCCCACTCTGCAATGTCTTCCGGGCTTCTCGAACGCTAGAGGGCGCCTTTTTCCAAAAGGCGCTAGAGGGCGCCTTTTTCCATCTACAACACATTCTCCATCAGTCTGAAGAACACTTTCTCAAGGCGAAGAACCCTTCAGTCATGCCAAAGGTTCTTTCAGTGTCCATGGTTCTACATAGAACCACTGTCTTCACTAAAGAACCCTTGAAGAACCATTTTTTTAAAGAATGTAGTTCTTCAAGCGTTCTTTAGTAAAGACAATGGTTCTATATGGCACAAAAAAGGTCCTGTTACTATTACTACGTCATGCTTGTCACAATAGCAGAACCCTTTTTGGTGCCATATAGAACCGTTTTCCATCAATCTGAAGAACAATTTGACCATGCAGAGAACCTGCTAATCATGCAAAGGGTTCTTCGAGTGTTCATGGTTCTAGATAGAACCATTTCTTTTCCCGAAGAACCCTTAAAGAACCATCTTTTTTTTAAAGTGTGAGTTTTAAGCAGACATTTCTTAAGAATGGTTGGGGAGTGAGGCCCACTGTCTTTACTAAAGAACCCTTAAAGAACCATCTTTTTAAAGAATGTAGTTCTTCAAGTGTTCTTTAGTAAAGACAATGGTTCTATATGGCACAAAAAAGGTCCTGTTACTATTACTACATCAAGCTTGTCACAATAGCAGAACCCTTTTTGGTGCCATATAGAACCCCTTTCCATCAATCTGAAGAATGATTTGACCATGCAAAGAACCTGTTAATCATGCAAAGGGTTCTTCCAGTGTTCATGGTTCTAGATAGAACCATTTCCTCTCCTGAAGAACCCTTAAAGAACCATCTTTTTTTAAAGTGTGAGTTTTAAGCAGACATTTCTTAAGAATGGTTGGGGAGTGAGGCCCACTGTCTTTGACTAAAGAACCCTTAAAGAACCATCTTTTTTACCTGGTTATATGATCAGTACAGAATTAAGACCGCTGGCTTTACTGACACCGCAAACGGGCCGATGATGACCGGGTCACTGACTGAACACATCCGAATTTTAAATGAAATGGCAGAGAAAAGTGGTTGGCTAATCCTCTTGGCGAAGGATGCGGAGACCAGGACGAGCAGCAGCGTCATGTTACACTCAGAGTAGCCTTGAGAAATGAGGAAGTCATTACAGAGGAGGATTTACCTGTAATCCACCTGAGATTAATGAGATTAATGTCAGTACAGTCAAAAACTGAATCTCAGTCAAGGTTTCAGTTCTGCACGTTATATAAATGTGTGGAGATTCACCTGGAGCACAACAGCCTGCTGAGCACAGCACAGTCCCTAAAGTGAGACTCACAGCCTCAGAATAGGCCACTTAATACTGTCGCCTTAAAGTTAAATACACTTACATTTCTGAATTAATTTGGACTGTTTAATTGTAAACATGGTTCTCCTTTATTAGCTGTTGTTTTCTTGATGAGCAGCTGTTTTCACTCTGCTTTAAACGTAAATTTGACTGCATTTTCATTCGTCTTCTTCTACAGGATGTCTGTTTCTCCAGCCTGCGCTTTTCTTCTCCTGTTTTGCTTTGGCACCGTACTCACCCCTGCCCAAAGCTATCTCCTCCAGCCCTGTGCGCCCATCAACGAGACCGTGTCCGTGGAGAAAGAAGGCTGCCCGAAATGCCTGGTGTTTCAGACCACCATCTGCAGCGGACACTGCCTCACCAAGGTGAGTGCGCTGAGCTGTTCTTGGATATTTTTGTTTTAAACATTACTGACATAATTTATACATGTTATATATGGTTAAATGGTTCTTTGCATGGTGAAATGGTTCTTTACATTGATGGAGAACGTGCTGTATATGGTTCTTTATAGCATCTTTTTGAAATGCATTCTATATAGCACCATGATGTCAAGCTTGTACACAACAGAAGAACCCCTTTTGGTGCTATTTAAAAAAAAAGGTTCTGTATAGAAGCATATAAAACACATTTTCCATCAATCTAAAGAAGGATTTCACCATGCAAAGAACCATTTAAGCATGAAACATGGTTCTATATAGAACTCAAGGTCCTAAATCGAACCATTGCTTTTATTAAAGAACTCTTGAAGAGCTTCTTTTTATGTGTTTACCATAATATATAATACATAACAACTGTAAATAGAGACATGTGCAGCTGCATAAACACTAAAGTTTGTAAATTTCTAAAGTTTCTAAATCTAATCATCAAAAAATTGATTATACAGCAGGAAATATAAGAATATAAAAAGGGAGGAAGAATATAAAATGTAAACATACAGGGACATAATAAAATATAAGTGGCATATGTGAGTCGTTCTCCATTTGGAGTGGGAATTCAGGTGGATACATTTTTAAAAAATCAATTTCTTTGATCCAAAAACTAAATAATCTTAATATGTCCATTAACATCTCCTATTATCATCTATGCAGAAAGGAGAGCTTAATTTCAAACATATTTCACAGTCACTGGTGTTGTATGAATATGGTGTAACTCCAGTGACTGTGGCTCCAGTGACGCTCTGGTTGAATCGCTCTGACCCGCTCCAGTGTTAACGTAGCATTAGCTCATCTGAATGGGTGCCTTTCATCGCTGAAACCTCCTCCTGATTAGACATGAAAACCCGCAGCTTAACGTTGAGTGATTAAGTGTTACATTAGATTAATATATACATGTTTTGGCCTTTGTTTGTTTGGCCTACGTTTATATTTGTCATTTCTCAAACATGTATGTCTGCCAGGCGTGATGCTAGGATCAGAGCTTTAGGGGTGCCAATGAGACTAGCCCCCCCCCAATCACAGAAAGTGGATCATACCATTTACTTATCAGAGACAAACTTCCCTTTCCAAGAAAAAACAAAATAAAACAAACAAAAAACATTTTACTCTTATTTTTAGGGGTCCTAGGACTAAATTCAGTGCAACCCAGCAGGCTGCCGGGAGGCGGGACTTTCTACGAATTCTACAAATGGTCGGATTGGACAAATACAGCTTTTATAATCTTGATAGAAAAGCATTGATCAATAGAATGGGACGCTCTGGATCAGCCACACATAAGCCTAAGGTCACCTTGTCCAAAGCCAACGTGGGCTAGAGGGGTATAAACCCCCCAGCATTGGGCTGTGGAGCAGTGGAGCTGTGTTCTCTGGAGTGATGGAGCTCCATCCAGTACCTTTGGGATGAGTTGGAGTGATCCAGAACTGACCATCCAACATCAGTACCTGACCTCACTCAATCAAATCCTCACAGCAATGTTCCAGAATCTAGTGTTAAGCCTTCCCAGAAGAGTAGAGGCTAAAAGAGATAATGTTTTAGCATAAAGGATGAATAACCTGGAAGCCTGAGTTCATTACCTGTAATAACACATCATCTAATACTGTCATAGGTTTAGAAAACGTTCTGATATTTTATCATTTCTGCCCTGTAATGAAACGTTTCCACCTTCATGTGTTCCATACAGGAGCCGGTGTACAAGAGCCCGTTCTCCACCATCTATCAGCACGTGTGCACCTACAGGGACGTCCGCTATGAAACCGTCCGCCTGCCCGACTGCCCTGCTGGCGTGGACCCCCACGTCACGTATCCTGTGGCTCTCAGCTGTGACTGCAGTCTGTGCACCATGGACACCTCTGACTGCACCATCGAGAGCCTGACGCCAGACTTCTGCATGATGCAGAGAGAGTTCATAGCTGACTACTGAACATCATACAGCACACGTCCCAACTGGAAGGATCTGCACGAGTCCATTTTACTCCACACACTAAATGCACTGTGTTAATGAATTACAATATTAACTATAATAAACAAACATCTTTTAAAAACATTCTGCATTTCAATGTATGTTTTTATTTTGAAATATACATCAAGTATTTTCCCGAAGACAATTTTTGTTTCCAGTCAGTCACACGGGAGCAGAGGCGGTCACTATACAAAAGTAGGACCCAGATGAGCCAAAGGTCCCATGAAAGTATAAATCAGATATAGATGTGTTGGCGTTAAATAACCTGTTCTGAAAGTAAACTTAATTCAATAAGTAAAATTATCTGCCAATACTCCTTGTTTCTGTGCTCATTGTCCATTTTATCAGCTCCACTTACTATATAGGTGCACTTTGTAGTTCTACAGTTACAGACTGTAGTCCATCTGTTTCTCATCTGTATCTGTTCTTCAGTGGTCAGGACCCCCATGGACCCTCACAGAGCAGGTGCTATTTGGGTGGTGGATCATTCTCAGCACTGCAGTAACACTGATGTGGTGGTGGTGTGTTAGTGTGTGTTGTGCTGGTCTGAGTGGATCCGACACAGCAGTTTTTTAAATAAAAAAGTGCTATTATACAGTTTAGAGTTTAGTTTGTAGGCGGAGCCTTATTTTAGCCACACCCCTGCATTTTAGTGCAGGAAGTGAGGCTGCATCCCTGTCCCTCATGTTCACATGGTGAGCAGTTAGATCCCATTGTTTTGAAGTAAATGTGTCCCACAGTCTGAAAATCTGCGTGGAACATTAAGAATTGTCACATATTTTCTGTAATTAAGTATTTTTTATGTTTTAATGAAAAAATAATAATTTTGTGTGTTCAAAGCTGCATTATTGAGCTCAAAAAGAGCTAAAATGGTCACTTTCAAAACAGTCACTACTGAAAAATTTGGTAAAGTTTGGTTAGAGTTATGACTGTTGGAATGTTCAATCACTTCTTTTAATAAAATAAACATAATTAAGATATAGGGTCGCTCAAAGCAAAAGGATTTTAGTCTAAAGTCCAAGATCAGTTAAAAGTCCCAATGTGTTTTAACTCTGACTGTGAACCAGTTCAGTAGAATCATCCATAAACACGTTTCCAGATTATCATGTAGTGCGGCTTTAGGAACATGTTGAGCAGAAGTGCTGGCTGATCCACAGTCAGGTCAGCTTTTGTTAAAGGCAGAGTCACTGCTGGCTGAGATAAGCCACCTCTGACAGATTCTTATCTAAGACAAGATCATGTTCTTTTGTGTTCACTTCAGTGCTGACAGTTGGTTTCTCTTTTAATGTCAACCACCTCACACTACAGACGAGTTTTCATTATAGAGCAGCCACCTCAGACACATCAGATGACCTACAACCAGCAATCGACGCTGCCTATTGGCCGGTTCCCCTGGCCACAATTTTCCTGTCAAAATGCAGTGTTTTTCCCTTCTAACAAACCTGTTTGGTTGGACAGGCAAACTGCATTAAATCTGACTTTGTCAGAATTCATTAACTGTCACTACTGCATATGTGACAGTGTGGTGACCGTGTTGACCCCCCAGACTTGTTCAGAGTGGTTTAGTTCCAGAGAAACTTACCAAGTCAGAATTGTTCACAGTGGTGGTGATAGTAACCAGATGCAAACACAGTTGGCTAAAGGTTCAATTTCAATCAATTAACTTAAACAAAAAGCCAGATTGGTTTGGTGTGAAATGCCCTGATCCAGATAAACTGACTCAGAATTGTTCAGTGTTGGTGATAGGAACCAGACATCCAGTGGTCACCAACTCCTGTAGATCTTCCTTCCTGCAGAGTTTAGTTCGAGCCATCTATCCTGGCTGCCCCACCTTACCTGACTCTAATACATCTGATCCAGCCAATCAGGGCACTTGGGAAGAGATTGATTAACTGGAGCAGGTGTTGCAGATCATGGTTGGAACTAGACTCCACAGGGAGGTAGATCTCGAAGAGCAGGGTAGGTGACCACTGTTTGATGAAATAATCCATCGTTATGATCTAATACATGGTGGAGAAGTACATGCAGGGTGTTGTGAGGCAAATAGTCCCCAAGGAAAACTATTTTTTTCAGATTTAACACTATTTTACCATCGCCAACATTCGATATAAAACTCGTGTACGTGTAGGTTCACTACTGGTTTTGGATAGTAAATAAAATGTCTATATTTGTTTTGTAGTCATGGCAACCCCTGGTTTCTATCACCACCACTCTGTAAAGAAACCAGAGTCTAAACCACTCCAAGTTTGTTTACATCCTAACAAAGGAGCTGTGCTAAAATTATGAAAAACTGGTGGAATTGCCCTTTAAGGCTTCTGAGTATGCCAGAAAAGTAAAGCCCTCAATAAAACCGTGTTTAACCCCTTAAATGGCCAGGGTCCACCGGCAGGCCGAAAGTTTTATTGCACACTTCTATAACCTAAGAATACACACTTAAAACGCTTAGCTCTTCAAGGGTTCTCTAGCTAAATAGCTATATAGAGCTATATAGAACACTCAAAGAACCATTTGCATGATTAAATGGGTCTCTGCATGGTGAAATGGTTCTTCAGATTCATGGAGAAACTGATAGAGAATGTGCTGTAGATGGTTTTGGAAAAGGGTTCTATATAGCACCATAAAGGGTTCTGTCATTGTTGGAATAAGCTTGTAACAAAGAAGAACCCTTTTTGGTGCCTTTCTAGAACCATACACAACACATTCTCCATCAACCTGAAGAGCCATTTTACCATGCGGAGACCATTTAACCATGCAAATGGTTCTTTGAGTGTTCATAGTTCTATATAGAACCATTTCCTTTGCTAAAGAACCCTTGAAGAACCATCATTTTAAGAGTATAGCTCAAGCAGTTTGCCTTAATGTCCCTGTAGTTACTGAAAAATGTATTAGTTTGTAATAAGCCTGGGATTTTAGGGGGTTAACTCAAGATGAGATGTATATTGTGACATATGCATTTTAGCTGTACTTGCACCTCATCGCCACGAGATGGCAGAATAGTTTAACATGGATAAACTCCAGTGAGGAATAACTCCAAAGTGATCTACTCATCGACATGACAAACAAAGGGAAAAACATTAATCAGTTAATTTATAACAGAGAGAAGTGTCATCAGAACACCCCAGGCACTCCATAGAGAGCATACTCTATAAAAAGATGGTTCTATCAGTGTTCTTTAGTAAAGGCAATGGTTCTGTTTAAAACCCATTGGTCCTATATATGACAATTTGCATGCTTATATGGTTCTTTTTATGGTGCAATTGTTCTTTGGATTGATGAAGAATGTGTTGTATATATGGTCCTATAGAGAACCTTTTTGAAAATGGTTCTATATAGCACCGAAAAGGGTTCTGCTATCGTTACGATGCCAAGCTTGTATACAATAGAAGAACCTTTTTTGGTGCTCTATAGGCACTGTTGGGATATAACAGAATACAAGTATGGGGAATACATATTCAAAATACAGAAACTAAGTATTCAGTCCAAGTTACATTCTGTTAAGGCAGAATTCAGAGTACAGTTACTTTTCCAAGTACTTTTAAAATACGTACCCACTAAATTCGAAAACACAATCTTTTAAAGAAACACCATCAACAACCATACTGAGCTCTGCTAAAGCCTGAGTAGACTGATAAATCAATGTGATCGGTTATTAATCTCAGTGTTACTGAGCTCTGCTAAAGCCTGAGTAGACTGATAAATCAATGTGATCGGTTATTAATCTCAGTGTTACTGAGCTCTGCTAAAGCCTGAGTAGACTGATAAATCAATGTGATCGGTTATTAATCTCAGCGTTACTGAGCTCTGCTAAAGCCTGAGTAGACTGATAAATCAATGTGATCAGTTATTAATCTCAGTGTTACTGAGCTCTGCTAAAGCCTGAGTAGACTGATAAATCAATGTGATCAGTTATTAATCTGTGTTACTGAGCTCTGCTAAAGCCTGAGTAGACTGATAAATCAATGTGATCAGTTATATATAACATATGTATAATATAATGTAAATATAATACATTTTAGTGTTTGGAATGTATTTGGAATAGACTGCAATGAATTTGAAATGTATTTCAAATATAAAAAATGTACATCCATATATTTATTTCCATATAGAAACCCTTGAAGAACCTTATTAAGAGTGTACAGGCAGAGTGAAGTGCTCATTTGATGTTGATGTTGTTTTCGAGGGTCACTCTAACCCCTTGGAACTGAGTTACAGGGTAGTGGTTGAAATCTTCCCTCTGAAATGGGACCCTCAAATAAAAAGAGCATCACTTCATTAACAGCTACCAGCGCTGCTCTGTAGGCGACCCTGCCAGTCTGCAGTGACAGCAGAGGAGGGTAAAGTTCAGCTCCTCACTGCTGGGCTTTAGTTACATTTAGGGCATCATATGCCTTCAAAGAGGGGGGCAATTATTTATTATCACCCACCACTAATTCTTCAGTGATGTGAAGCTGAAGTCAGATATTCACCAGCTTCTTGTTTGCATTTTCCCGTTCCACCTTAACCTCAGGCACCAGAATCTAACTTCTGCACTATTTAAGGTGTAACGGGAAATTTAGCTAGCACACTACCAGCGAATTGTTCTCTTGTTATGAAGAAAAGAACCATGATACATTTAAACAACATTAAACTAAGATCATACAGTGGTTATCATAATTTTAATGGAAAAATTCTCACATTTGTGAGTTTCTGTGAGGTTTATGAGGTTTTCCTGTTTTTCCTTATAACACTCTGTTTGGAGTCTCTGAAAAACCTCAGTTTGGAGGGCCATGTAGCTCTAACACTTCGCCCCACCCCTCTATCTCAATAAGAGTCAGGACACCCTACCCCTTTAAATTACACTGAAATACACTGAATAATTCTAAAATAATGGAAAATTTCTAAAATTAATATATATGTTTTTTAACAGAATTTAGCAGTAAATTTACGGAAAATATACTGTTTTTTTTTAAATACTGACCAACTGTAAAATAACGGAAACTGCCAGTACATTTTCCTTTTTTTATGGAAGACTTTTTTACAGCGTAGGCGTGAAAAAACGGAGGGGTAGGGCTAAGTGGTAGGGGCGAGGGGTGAAATGGGACT